ACAACCTAATTTAACACTTGATATGAACACCTCGAGCAATAATTGCTGCCTAAACATCACTTCTATATGCAAGGGAGAATTTGGAGCTCAAATGATGCTCAGGATATTTGCATGCACATAAAACTGACATATGTAGTAATAACTTCATAAACACGTGCATGGTCAAGAACTGGCACTGCGTGGGATGTCTTGCTCTGAATGATCAAACCAGAGTTTGGTCAGTGAGCAGCCCAGCAGCTCACTGGGCTGCACTTAGCATCTTGAAATGTGGTGCGTACTGTACATAAACAGCTGTTAAACATTCACACCACATATATGCATATTTGTTCTTGGCCATTGATGAATGGGGAGTCACCTCTTCCATCGCTAGTTGTCTCGCAGGATGCATCTGGAGTTAGCATGATGACCAAACCACGCACCAGAAGATGAAAAATTACATTTTGGTCCATCATGGTGCTACATAGCCTTCCCTGTTTGGTGCCTTCTTTTTGATAATTACTTACTTGGTCCATCCTTGACCATTATCAAATTGTATCTGAATAACTTATTTACCTGAAGGGCTACTAACTCTAGTGGCCTCGACAAGGACAGGAAGCTGGCGGTTTGTCGAAGGACCACCTATTTGCCTTGATCATTATTTCCAGGTAGATTTTAAAACTAACAGTTTTGGCATTTACAGCTTCAGTGGGTATGAGGTTCCATGGGTTCGAAACCCTGTGGGTGAAAAAGCATCTGTTCTCAGTCCTACATTGTTGCTTGTTGAGCTTGAAACCATTGCTCCTTGTTTGTGTTGCATCTGACCTTTTGAAGAAATTGTCCGGATCATCATCCTCTAACTTGTTCTGTATTCTAACCGCTAACTATATTCAGTACTCTGAAGTATCCTCTAACTTCAAGCAGTATTTTATAAGTTTCAATGAGATCTGCCCTGTCATGCCTGGTTTGTAGTGTTGTTAGCCCTGTGGCCTTCAACCATTCCTGATAAGAGATGACTTAGCTCTGAAATGACTTGTTGCCCAGGGTTGCACTTTCTTCAGAGCAACTATGTCCTTAAAATTTGGTCTCCATGATTGGATACAGTAATACAAATGATTACTACACCAGAGATTTATACAGTTGAATTATTACCTTTTCCTTGAAGTCAAAAGTACGCTTGATTATTCCAAGGGTTTGCATGGTTAGCTTTTCTGACTGCTGCTCCTACCTGTTGTGCAACTTTTAGTTAGTCGAGGAGTTTAACTCTAAGGTCCTTTTCATCACCAATTTGCTATAATGTAATGCTATTAATTTGGTAGTTATGGCATTAGTTCTTATGCTCCACATGCATGGTCTTGTATTCGACAATATTAAAAAGCATTTGCCAGTCTTCTGACCATTTGTGGAGTTCCTGTAGATATTTTTGTAAGGCTTCAATATCATTACCAATTTCCCAATATTCTTGGGAACATGTATTGATGTAATTAGTGCATGTGGGATTGTTGGGAATCAAAAGTTTGTGCCATATAATTTCTTGTAGCTGCAACATTATTGTTTGTGTGGTTGGTACAGTATTATTTACCACCTTTCCCTACCACACCACACGTGTGCCCACTGTGCTCTCGATTCCTTCTCACCCCTGTACCACCACCTGCTGCTGCTGCCCCGGAGTGTAAGGTGAGGGTGTGGTCCTGAGTGATATTCCCAAGCTGTAACTTGACACCGTCCTCACATCCTCTCCTCCCCTCTCATACGCCCCTCACTTAATCTCTCCCACGCACCTCACCTCCCTCTCCCACGCACCTTACACCCCTCTCCCACGCACCTTACACCCCTCTCTTACGTCCCTTACCCGCCTCTCCCACGTCCCCTCACCCTCTCTCCCACGTCCCCTCACCCTCTCCAAACCCACCCCTCACCCATAATATTCGTCGTGCGAGTGGTAGTTATGTGTGAACCCCAAAATATTAAATCAGTTCAAAGTGTTAGATCAGAGAGGAACAGTGTGCAGCAGCTGGGAAGGTAGTGAAGGGGCCAGGGGTTCACCAGGCATTTACGCAATCACTTGCGAAACTTCTACATCCTTCAAGAACCATCGCGGTTTTGTTTACATTTCGAAACATCACATAAGTGTTTAATAAATGTAAAGAAAGCCACCGTGATTGATGCAAGATGTACAGGTTTCGTAGGTGATTGATGACTCGTGGCCCAGACCCATGTCGGTGTTCACTGTACTGTGGAGTGAGTCGTTGTGACGGGGGGGGGGGTGACATGTTAGATTGACTGGATTGAAGCGGTCGGGATGTGTGGATTGAAGCGGTCGGGATGTGTGGATTGAAGCGATCGGGATGTGTGGATTGAAGCGGTCGGGATGTGTGGATTGAAGCGGTCGGGATGTGTGGATTGAAGCGATCGGGATGTGTGGATTGAAGCGGTCGGGATGTGTGGATTGAAGCGATCGGGATGTGTGGATTGAAGCGGTCGGGATGTGTGGATTGAAGCAGTCGGGATGGCTTAGTTGGATGGGGGGGGGGAAGAAGAGTGTCTCGAGACTACCACTATAATTCCTGCCGGCCACATGTTACAAATTATTCTGTCAGCAGTAAGACAAATTATCATAGTTTCATTGTAACGAGGAGACGACCACACTTGTAAAAGAGGGACTAATGGTGCTGTGTAAGATATCTTTCATGTGTTCTTTCGAGGCTGCATTCGCACATATTGAGCACCAGCTCCTGGTCCCCGCCTTCTGGCCACCGTTGTCTGAATGTGTCGTGACTGGATCGTCGTGTGTTGTAGATTTACGCTATAACCGGCGCTCTGCACAGAATAAAAGGTTTAAAATCAAATTTGTATGGATACCACCTCAAATATAACCCATTATGTATAGACATTGCAGCCAAATTAGCATGTAACAAGGATGAAGATGAGTTAGACCTAGGTATCCCCATTTCTGTTGCTAAGACTATATGTTGTAAACACTGGGTCTAATAGAAGATAAATTATTGAGCCCAAAAGGCATCAGGAATGTATACTGGCAGCACAAAACGTCCACCAGACAGTGCGACACAGTGCTTGCCAGGATCTGCCATCTCCCACCCCTGAGATGGTGGGAGTGGACTCTACCTGGAGTCCACTCCAGGTGGACTCTGTGACCAGGAGTTGGGTCAGTTCATAAACTCCATTATTGAATGTCCAGTCAGTAGACCCTTCAGACCAGCCGGTACAGTACAAGGCATCTGGAGCTTTGCAATCCTTTTTAACTCGTGTTCTTGAGGATTTCCTGTCCCTGTATGTCTAACCAGCCTGCGGGATGGGGGCCCTTTAATATCACTGATACTTTATTCACTCTGGGTTTTTTAGGATATTGGATATCCTCATAATACATCTAAAGTTTGCCAGTGCAGACTACTCATCACATGGCCTTGTATGACTAACCACCCTGTGAGATGAGGAATTTTGTTTTTAGCATCACGGAGATAATTCTTGGCACTCTATTTATAGATGTACGTAAATATGGTAAAAAAGTCTTGAAACTACTTTTATATTTACTCTCCACTAACTCGTCTGATGCTGTCCATGTACATCCCTCTACACGGCACATTTTGACCTTCCTAGTGTTACATATATTTGTTGCTTCCAACCACGCCAAATAGTCTTTTTTGTCTAGTATCTTCTCATCAGGTTTCTTATAGGATTTTTGTTTTTTGTTTTATATCGATGCGAGATTCGATTCTTTTATCATGCACGAATTATCAGTGGTAAGTCACCAGCCTTGTGGTGGTACTCTAATGGTAATAAGTATATGTAATGAGTTAGATTTGTCCCTTCTAACTCATTTCCTTTACAGTTCTAGCATTTTTAAAATACTTTCTAACGTATCTGCGACTTATCCGTGTGACTAGTTTCCTTCTATGTGCCATGTTCCTTTGATCCTAGCTTGGAACAGTGCTGAACTGTCAACTTGATCAGTTCTATACACATGGAAGTGACAGTAGCGTTAGATATGAGAACATCGTTGGAGCAGGACGGAGATGGAGCCATGAGCGTCCTGGGTAACCCAACATTTCTTATTAGTTCCCTTATAATGTTATATGTGGTTGCTATGTCCCGCCCCTGTTACTCGACCCCACTCTTCAGTGTTATGTTCTACTTCTATCTTTAATAAAGCAAAGAGCTCTGGCTCTTTGGTCCCGCCTCTCAACTGTCAATGAACTGATGTACAGGTTCCTAAGCCTATTGGGCTCGCTCTATCTTAGCTACACTTGAAACTGTGTGCACGCGTGCTTGAGTGCTTGCCTGTAGTTACTTCCAGGCAGGGGAGCGTGATCCAGCTCGGAAGATTTTGTTGCAGTTCCCACTCACAGCATGTGAGTATTTCCTTACATTTCTCTGCTTCATAAACCCGTTACAGTGGCCAGCTAACAAGTTCAATTTCAAGTAAGTTTATTGAGAAGAAAAAAATACATCTCAAAGGGATAGAGTAGCTTAGGCTATTTCTATGCTGGCAGCCAGCTAACACTGACCTTCAGGGAGGGGTTCCGCGCGTGCTCCGCTGGAACCCCCAAAGTCGTACTATATTTAATACCAAGATTAATATAATTGTAATTACTATTATTAAACAATTAAAGATGTCCCCCCACTCTATGCATACGTTTTCTTCCATATACAGAAAAGATAAGTCTCAGCTTAGTCTATTGCGGAGCCCTTATATAGTGTCTTGTATAAGTTGTCATCATATCTCCTATTTTCCTCTCATTTAATGTCGTTATATTTAGTTCCCTTAACCTAGCTGCATCACTCGATCCTTTTATCTCGTTTTGTTTAGTTCAGTTAATTTATTATGCACGTAATGGGCTCTGGGACCGAACCCCAAAAGCCATTATAGCTAAACAAGTTACAGTCTTGTTCTGTGGAAGTATTCGTAAATAAATAAGTTTAGGAGTCCTCTGTCTCTCATATTATTTCAACAACAAAAGCTTAAATAGGCCAAGGAGTAGAGCATTGAACAAAGGATTGTGGGTTACTTCCCAGTGAACTGTTTACATTACAGAGGTGCCACGTTCACTCGCCTCAATCTTCTTCATATAAATAAAAAGTAAACGCCTTGCATGTTTTCACATGTTAAAAATTTGACTGAATAAGTGCAGCGGCTAATCCAAACTCGCACTGGAAGAGCTCATACACGAAATTCATGTATGTATTGATGGGCAATAGTTGGGGTTGTGGCACAGATTGGCACCGGGAGGGAAGGTTGGTGCCGAGATGGATGGTCGAGGCAGGGCCAGGGATGGTTGGAGGGAGGGAGGACAGGGCCAGGGATGGATAGATGGAGGGGAGGGAGGGAGGGAGGGTAGCCAGGCAGGCGCCACAGCACCATTCAGTCAAGGCCAAGGCTCTGGCAGTGAAGGTGTTCCTCAGGGCGGGACTCCCACACAGACCGTCACCAAGGGTCCACCCGGACTCTCTCCTAGCTGTCTTCTTACATTTGCCATCTACTAGAAATTTAATACATCGAGGTAATGGTGCTTCAGGACACTACAAGTGACACTATAGTGAACGTTATGGCTCGCTGTGATGTGTAGAAAATGCGAACTTGTATATAGATATTCGCTGGTGTAATTATAATTTTCAAAAGAACTTGCCGATTTTCGCATAAGAATGAAGTGCTCCGGGACAAACAAATGAAATTTTTGCTATTGTGAATAACGGATGTTTAAAGAGCTGCAGAACATTCAATGAACGTATAATTAATAGTTCATTGCGTCGGGGTCAGGCAGCCAGTGTATATATACGGACTTGTTAGGTATATATCGAGGGGGGACCCCCCCCCAACCCAAACTAGCCTCATCTAGCAGTCCTAGGCCTAATACACACCGAGGCTTAATATAATGTATAAATGTCCTATATTAGGCCTAGGAATATTTGGTTTTAGCTTTATTCCCCCCCCCCCCCCGACTGTGTAAAAATAGTCATATATTCTCATGTCACATGGTTAACTATCAAATACACATTTTTTGTTACTGGTAATAGCCTAACCAAATCTAAATACTTTGCATTATAGTCACCTAATAACTTTTAAGGTGACCTTAGTCTCTATACGGATACGATACTAGTTTTAAAACTTATTCCGTTTAGGTAAGCAAGTTAGAAAGTTTGTTAAATATATATATCACCAGTGTAGTTTTAGTAAAGCCTAGTTTAGCTTATTCGTGCCCCACATGTCCCTCGCAGCCGTCCAGTAGAGTACAGGTTACAGTGCCACGAGACACGTCCCTGCGGCTGAGCAAGAACCATTTGTTTAACCATAAACAAGATACAGCATTATAGTTACAGGTAATGCTGTTATAGTCATGCAATCCCCTCAGACATTAACATTGCTAATGTTGCAGGCGATGAGACACAATAACGTGGCTAAATTATGTTGACCAGACCACACACTAGAAGGTGAAGGGACGACGACGTTTCGGTCCGTCCTGGACTATTCTGAATGGTCCAGGACGGACCGAAACGTCGTCGTCCCTTCACCTTCTAGTGTGTGGTCTGGTCAACATTGCTAATGTTCCTGTGCTAAATAAATGTCTTAGCAAGTTGCAAGGGTAGAAGTCTAATTACAACTACTCTAATAAATGTGGAGTTTAAATTATACTCTAATAAATTAGAGTATAAAATGCTCTAATTACAACTACTCTAATAATAAATTACTCGCACATGTTGCAAGTAATAAACTTGCGAGATGTGCGAGCTTACAGGCGGTATAATACCCACACCCAGGGTTCACTTAGCTAAGTAAATTACAGCCTTGTGAGCTAATTACAGAGTTTAACATATACATGAACAGTCTATTAGCAGTTTATCAAAATTGTGTGGTTGTGTAGTTGAGTGCGGCGAGCGCCTTCTTGCTGACATTTTATACTTATATATACGATATCCTTAAGTATATCCTTACTTAGAATATATAATATATGTGTTCCCTTTTTTGAGGCCGTGGGTCCCTACAATTGTAGGGAGGTGGTACCAGAGGTGGTACCCCCTATATATATTATATATAATATATATACATATATATATATATATATATATATATATATATATATATATATATATATATATATATATATATATTATATAATCATACCTAATTTTATAATGGTACTAACTCTGGTTGCGTCTGTAAGGACCCTCGACCTCGAAGAGGAGGATATGTAGCATCGGCCGAGGGGGGGGGGGGGGACCTTGTGGGGCATCTGCGTACAATCACATCGCCTTCGCCCTCCCCCTCCCCCCCCCCCCCTACATATAAAACATCGATCATAAAAACACTGATCCAAGTATGAGGGAAAAACCACATTTGAAAAATATGAGAATGCTGAATGCGTTTTCGGCTCATTTCGCCTTCATCAGAGCGAGACAGAGTGGATAATAGAGGTAGATTGACACTATCTTGTTCTGATGACGGCGAATTAAGCCGAAAACGTGTTTAGCATTCTCATATTTTTTTCAAATGTGGTTTTTCCTGCATATATATATCATATATATATACCAAGCCCCTTGGCATATAGGCTATGGCATATGGCATATACCATATAGGCTTGGTATATATACCAAGCCCCTTGACAGTACAGTGGATAATCCATGTTAAAAAGCAAGTACATGATGTTTAACTGTAGCTGAGGTGCAATATAAGCTGTGAGTGTTGGCAAGAGTGTGTTGTTAGCGGCTCTGATGGGCAAGACTATGCAGACCCTTCAGCCTCGGCCACTCTCGACCCCTGCTTAACCTTGCACACCATCTCTATTTATAACAAATACTGCTCAATGTCTTGTGTGCTTGCATTATATCGAGGTTATGTCTAACGTCACTCGTAAAACACAAGATCAAAACACTGTTGTTGATTATGGGGTAGAAACTGCGCAAGGTTTCTCACAATATCGTTCATCCAAGTAAACGACTGTTAATACACCCCGGTTAGACTTTATTAACAAGGACTGGAATGTGCAAATCCCGGTGTAAGAGTTGCAGGCTGTCCAAATAATCTGTGGAGAACTTTTAAGTGCAGCTTGAGACGATGCCTAGTCAAGTTCACACTTGTGCCACCAAGGACAAGGCCCGCCCGAGTTTTAATAGTTAATATTTCTGTACAGGAATGTTATGATAGTGATTACGCTTAGCTGATAATGATGTTAGCGAGAGTAAATTATCAGCGGGTGTGGCTTCGTTCACTGCTGTGGTTGGCGCTGCTGTGGGCCACGCAGGCTCGGCCGGACGATGTAACCTCAGAAACACTGATCACAGAAGACTCCAACAGACTTCAAAACTTCCTGGGAAGTACAAATATTATGCAAACATCTCGTCATGATGTGATAACTAATCTAAATAGCCCCGGATATCGCTCGGCGTCCCAAAGCAATGATGACATACTGGAGAAGATCAAAACGGCGACGTCGACTAGGCTGGCGTCGTCGATTGAACTTGGCAAAAAGTTCTCCCAGGGGTACATAGACCTGGGCTCTCGTGACCCCGTTCAGGAGGGCGCCGCCACGTTAGCTTTCGTCTTCGACACTACAGGGTCCATGTCCGACGACCTGAAGCAGGTGATCGACGGAGCCGGCAAGATTCTTAACACCGTACTTGAGAAGTTTGAACGACCTATCCACAACTATGTTTTCGTCCCATTCCATGACCCAGGTAAGTAACTATTAACTTTATAGTTTTATTGACCTAATGTTATATGTAGATAATATTGGGGGACATTAAATGTAAGATGATAGCTATAAAAGTACAATTATAGTTATGGTAGCGGAAATAACTTCAGCAGCTATACAATTTTATAGATTTTTTTAATTTTAATTAAATTTTATGATTGCATTGCGCTGTACCAGGAAGGTCCGAGCACCAGAGGGTATTTAAAAAATATCTTAGTGATATCTGGTGCAAGTGTTTATCCTTGAGCTTCTCCCGCTGTACCCATGGCACAAATTAGTGTTAGTAGGTCATAGTACTTGAAGGGAAATAAACCCCGCAGTACATTGACCGCAGTGTTCAGTGTGTCTCACCATGTCACTGAGGAGGGCCTGACTTTCAGATCAAAACACAGTTCAGAAGGCCTATAGGCTCATGTAAGCCTGGACCCATTTACAGAAAATTCTTTTCATTAGAACATTTCACTTATTAATAATATAATATTAGTAAGCCTTCGTTATATGAAGTAAGCTTCATATATGAAGCATACACTCACAGTATATGCTTCAGTGTCGCTGCTTGCCGGTTGTTCCTGCAGCAGTGTCGATGCACCGGCTTCGGTGTCGATGCAGCCCGTCCTCCAAAGGTTTTCCAACGTCAAGAAACTGTCGTACGACCCCACCATAATTTATCACGGGGAGAGCGTACACTCGCAAATGTCAACAAGGGGCGTACATAACTATGTACCCCTAAAGTTATCATGGAGGACGCATACGTCCCCAAAACTCATTTCGGGGTGTACGCTTCACTGGTAAAGTGATCACGGGAAAGATTTCTGACACGTTTAGCTAGATTAAACGGCGCTAGATACCTTACCCTCAGATCGTTCCGAGGATCAATGTTGGGTGGTAGATACGCTTTACTACCTCCTGTATCGCTCACATATATATTTTTAGTGTATCAAAGAGTCGGCCAGTAATACTAATGTGGCTGGTGTGTAACTGCGGCATTGTGTGCAGGGAAGCTGGTGCTGGAGGCCACGTTGTTCCAAACTCTTCTCCCACCAGCCACACCATTATTCATTTCCCTGTTGGTTTAGCTTGGATACAAGGAGGAGCAGTAGGGCCTCTCAGTTAACTAACTGCCTTGGACACTATAAGAGAACTCGACCGAGAACTGCTAACTCTGTACAGACTGTCATCACTATATACGCTAGGCTACAGTAATACTAAAAAAGGTTAAGTGGTACATTCGCCAGTTAAAACAAACATTTATTTCAATCACTATTATTACGCTTAAAACGCACCACACTGCCTCCATACTAACACAACTGCAACTCTTCCAACCCTTCCATTCTTACCTTACAAAATCATATACACGGACTACCAGTGTATCCGGGTTAATCCCCACTCCCCCTCCTTCATTACTGCAGGGACCTGCATTGCCTCATCTCAAATGCTCCTACCCAGACTCCTACTACTTTAACCTGAAGGTTATAAGGAGAGTGAGATAACCTGTGGGGCTTCTGGTTAGTTAGAAGCCATAAGCCATGGTAAATCTTATCTGTCTAATATATATAATGAGAATGTCTGTCTGTCTACGTCCATGGTTGGAGGCCAGACGCTTCGCGCTAGTCTTACCCAACTTTGCACGGTGAATGATCAGGGGTACGGGACGAACATAGGCTGGTCCAGGGTTGACCTACTGGACATATTAAGAGGCAGTCGGGTCTAATAGTGATCCCCTCCGCATGTAATTAGTGGAATGCGGCGGGCCGAGTCCCCAGATTTCTTTGCATTTTCTGAGAAAGTCTGAGAAAGGGGAATGTCTAAAGAGAGGGATTTTTAATTTATGCCGTCCATTCAGCCCGTCTTAAGATTTTTAAACGTCAAGAAACTATCGTTCTAAAGTTCCCTTATCCTAACCTACCAGAGGACCCAAAACAGAAAACGCTACAGTACGATAATTTTTGGCCTTAGGTAGGGTATACGGCAAAATGCGACGTTCAATTAGGACAGGTTGATCCATTTGTGTTTATTATTCGATGCGATTCATTGAACTAATTTTCCTTTAAGGTTCGCTCAAAACTTAAGAACGAACTGCTCTGGAAATCAAAATGTTGTTTTAGTGAGATATGTGAGGGTGGTGAGGTGTGATGAGAGGTACTGGCCCCCGTAGCCTCCTGTCAACACAAGTTCCCCTCTGCCACCCACCTCTCCCAGGGGAGGCAGCTGTTGCTTCTCTAAACACTACTTCCTCAGACCTGGTCACCCTCACAGCTTTGCTTGTCCAGATGATTCTCTTTTCTCCCAACTGTTTGATCGCTCGGCGGACAAAAATAGAATACAATATACTTTTGAAGTACAGAAAAATGTGGAATGTCAGGGGTTGTGAATTAAATTTTTTTTAATTGTGGCAGATGTACGAACTTGAGTACGTCTCAATAATGAGCTAAGCATATGTATAACGAGAAACGAGCGAGACCAAAGAGCTGAAACACTAAACTTGTAGACTGCAGAGTATTCGTCCGTCAGTACAACCTATTCCCATTCCCGGCGCTATAGTTATTGACAGATTGTTCTACCACAGTAAGTTACCAGAACGATTCTTTCTCGCAGACCAAATATCTGTTCTAGATATTATAGATTCTGACGATTTTTTTTCAATAGCCTATTTATATTTTCCCTGTTTATGCCTTTCATTTATTTGTAAACGAGTCAAATCACTTCACAGGAATGTACTCCTTAGTCCTTAATTGTTCGTTAATTTATTTTGCGTCTCATAACATTCCTGTAGCAGATAGAAATGTTATCAATGCACGTACCTAATACCCATCATATGAGGGTGAACAAGAGCTTATTTCCAAGATTTCAAAAGAGGAGCGGGCTGGTTGAACACGAGTAGATTTTCAAAGGGGGTCAATTTTAGAACACAGACGACAAAAAGGGGCGCCAATATAGGAACATCCAGACACACTTCATTAGCAGACACACAAGTACAGCATCGGTTCACCTAGTTTTGTATAATTAACCATATTTATTTTCAACTTTCTGACCATATTGTGACAATTTATAGTAAAGTTTATACATAACTAGATGACAGCTATGAGAACTAGCTACCATTAGTACTTCCCAACTGTCAATTCAACTCTAATATGATCCGTCACACACTCCGTACTTCTCTGCTCCACCACCTACTTCTTATCTTTTCTCCTCCCCACACCTGCTGCTCCTCCTTCAAAGTATGCACAAGCACAACTATTAGAGCAAGAGAGTACAAGCACATTGTATGGAGACAAAGAGTGCAACATTTACTCATATATCTAGTCCCAATTAGCTTGATTAATTATTTTCTTTACGTAAATAGTTCTGACTATTAGGCCTAGTATGCTCATTAAATCTATATATTAAAAACTTGCTATCTGTGCCCATTTTTCTTTATTTACTCCTTCCTACTTTCATTGTTCTCCATTACTTAACGTGTGTGTAGGTTTAGTTCACATAAACAGCAGTGCATTGATGACAGTAATGTGTATTAATGAGGCCGTTTGACATGTTATGTGCACAGCCATTGTCTAGATGTGGCACTCACCTGAGGAGGGCCAGACCGCCCCGCTCGCCAGATGTAATGGTCATCAGCCCCTAGCCATGGGGAAGGGGGAGGGGGAGAATTTGTCAGGAAAAAAAAGGCCAAACCAAGCGCCATTACGTCGGTCACAGGGTTGCCACATTGGGCTACTTGTAGCCCAGTTGAAAAGCTAGCTATGTATGTCGCTACTTACTACTATTAAGATAAGCTGGCTTGTGTACTCTTGAAAAGGGAATCAAACGCTAACAAAACTATTTGACTAGTTTTATAGTAAAATTCGTGACTTTTAGTTCTTCAGCTCGTGACTTCCAGCAACTCAAATCTGGCATCCCTGAATTTACGACTATATAGCACTTGGAAGGGATCAGGATAAGGATGTCACCAGTTACAGCCCCCGCTCCTGTATAACAGGATAAGGATTTGGGATGGGACGAGGTGGGGGGGAGGAATGGTGCCCAACCACTTGGACGGTCGGGGATTGATTGATTGCCGACCTTCATGAAGTAAGACCGTCGCTCAACCATCCAGCCCGGTAGAGTCTGCGAGTCGTGGGAGACCTAATTTATCTCCCACGGCAAGGCAAAGAAAGTACAAGTAATCTACTAGTTATGGTTGTTAATTAAACAGCCCAGCTTACCAGTAACAGTAGTACGTAGAAGTAGTAGGTAGTCAGGCCAGAGTCAATTCGGTCACGTGGTAAATGGCGTCGCTTGTGTGAGCAAACGTCATTTACGTGGTGTAGTTTCTCATGGCGATTATAATAGTACTTGTAGCCGAAATGGGAGACCTTTATTTGCCTTGCATATTAAGGGCAGAAAACATTAGCATTATTAATAACACAAATCGTTACAATTCTGAACAGATGAACAGCAACACACATTATCTACGGACCTCTTCCTTACAATAGGGTTGACGCGGCGCATCTCATCCTACGGTCTTCCTTGCCCAGCAATCATATAATTCATATACAACAATACTACTTAAATATGAAATTTTCTTGCTCTTTTTGAAGTTTGAGAGTAAAGATGATTAACTCTTTATGAGAGTGAAGTTAATGCTGACTGAGGCAGTGTGGCTTACAGTACGACACCTGCATGTGGGACTTAACAATCCACATCACAGGTAAACTGCTGGTTCAACCTTGAAGACGAGCGGACGTCTGGTAACCACCTCCGCCTGGGAGCCGCCTGTTCACGTCTTGTTTTCGCGTTTTGGCTTTGCTACTGCCGTTTGGCATCCCCTTTCAGCGGTCCGATTGTACGACGCGTGGCGTACATAACGCCTTGGGTCACGAGATTCTTGATAGATTTTTTTTTTTTTTTTTTTTTTGGCGTGTACTGGCTGGTTCTCCCAGCGGGGTGACGGTGTTCGGGGGCCGGCTTGGCCGAGAGGTGCCGGGGGTTGGCGGGTCTTGGTGGGCGGCCGGCTTCTGCTATGCCGGGGGACGCTGGATGACTTTTTGCGTTTTAGTTGGGGGCCCTAGTTTTGGTTTTGCTACCTGGTGTTCTGTGTGTGGAACGGGGCCGGTGCTTGTCACCCTGAGGGACTCCTGGGGCTCCCCAATCATCTGCCTGACTGCGTTTTTGCGCCACATGGCGTATTAGTTTCTAGTGATTGGCGTCACGCTCTTCACGCCAATCGTGTCACGCTCACGCTCTTCACGTTAAACCTCATATTTAATGTAATGTAGGCCAGTGTAGTGTCAAGAATTTCAAAAGTCCAGTACTGTAACTCTTTAGCTGCCTTGGCTGAAAGCATTTGTTAATATTTATGCCTTGACTGTTGCAGAGGTGGGCCCCATAACTGTCACAACAGATCCTGAGGAGTTCCAGGAGTCCCTGAAGAAATCCTTTATTTCGGGTGGTGGCGATTGTCCTGAAATGGCCCTGAGAGCAATCAAGATGGCTTTGGAAGTTAGTCTCCCATCCTCTTATGTTTATGTCTTCACTGATGCCCGGGCCAAAGACTTCTACCTCCTGGATGATGTACTGAGACTCATACAGAAGAAACAGTCACAGGTTAGACATACAGTGTTAAGCACCATTGTGAGGTTTTACATTTAATAAATTGCAGGTACAGATTCATTATTTATATAATTTTTTATTTTGTTTTAAACTGTATGTGTACAGTATTGTATTTTGGTAGTACACAGAAGGAACAGGGTCCTCTGCAGTGAAATTTGTGATATTCAAGTTGCTAGCTCACATGTATCAAACCCCTGCCACTGAGTTTATTAAGCTCTCCAGGTTTTAATACATTCAACCCTTAATGTAAAATGGGGAATGCCTAGTTCTGAAGAACTTCTATATGGTGATTTCATAGTGATCTTGATCATGATACTTAAACAGTCCATATGGTCATGATGCCCAGAACCCGTTGCATCAAGCAGCAGTCCCTGAAGAGTAAAGTAATTCCTCCTATACCAATAATGTTTCACCTGAGAGAGCAATCTTATAGAACCTCTTTTAAAATTGTTCTCTTACTGTATGTAAGTAATCTATTTATGCTTAGGATTGTGAATGTTAAAAAAGTTAACAGAAATCTAAACTGACATTAAGACACATTGATTATAAAGGGTAAACATTGTTCTTAATGCAAATCAACTTGGAACTAACCTTGTAGAGAAGTGGATATTAGTTATAATTCCATGACAACTCACTTTATTTGTAACTTGGTGACTTAATCTAACCGGCATAGAAAAGAGTGAGGGCTTTTGAAATGGGGTTACACTTCTTGATATTATGAATTACACATTAATCAATTCTTTTGAGTGAAGATCGGATAATTTTTAATACAATGAAATAGTACTTTTAGAATCACAAACTAGTAATATTTTTATTTGTATAATGTAGATCATAAAAATGTTTTAAGCTGTACAGTATGACAGAGTGGTTTCCTTCCTGCCAGGTTGTGTTTGTGATGACAGGCGACTGTGGTAACCACACCCATCCAGGTTATCAGGCCTTTGAAACTATTGCATCCACTTCTTCAGGCCAAATTTTTCACTTGGATAAGAGTGATGTGAAGGAGGTTTGTGACTAATTGGTGATATAACTGGTAGATTTATTGGTGTTGTATAGAGATTTTCAGTGGCAGTTTGTGCAGTCGGAGGCTGCCATGTACATTTAATTTTATTTATGAAACTGTCTTTAAAAATGTGTTCAGTGTTAGTTAATTGATAAAGCTGTACATTCTAGTTATGTTTGATTTGTTAAATAGTACTAGATGTCCACAGTTATATTATTTAGATATGGTTGCTTCATGCTTATAAGTACTATTCAATAGTCACAAAAATTATTGCTTTCAATTTAGAATTTAGATAATATTGCCTCGGTGACAGATTTTCAGTTTTATCTACCTGATATTTATAAAATATTTAATATTTTTTTTTTTTACATTTTTAGCCTCTCGTCCCTTACATCTTAGGTACTGAATTTTGTGCGATTGTCATTGGAATCTCGTAAAGTGAACCTTTTGTCTATTGATCGAGTGAGTGAGGGCCCTGGTGAAGAAAATTTGCCACTCTTGGTAGACCGGACACTCAAGCATTTCACAATCTCCGTTTCAGGAGAGAAACCCAAGATTCAGGTGAGGCTGCTATCTTATAACTATTGATTATGAAGGTGGGATGGTATTATGTGATTTAAAAAAAAAAAATTATTATTAAATTTGCAAAATTTTAATAATACCAAATTTTATTACCCTGTATTAAAAAAATAACAAAATGAACAGTATAGTTCATATATGTAAATTGTTTATCTAAGAACCAAATACAGTATTGATTTTTAAATGTTGAAAACTTTGGCTTTTGTTGAAGGTTCCTAATAAAATTTGGCTTGTATAGCACCCTACTGTGTGCTGTCTGTGCTATATGTTCTCAATATTGGTAACATGTACTGTAGTAACTTGAGAATGTTTCTTCACATAAGCCTTACTTGAAGCTCAAAATGTTTATACTGTACTACATACAACTATAAACAGGAGATGAATATTTAAATTATGCATTTTAGTACCCAGTTAACTTTTCATGTCATCTTAGGTTACTTTATAACTCCAAATTCTGATGAGCTATAAATACAGTATAAATATTTTAGATTATTGAGAGAGAGAGAAAGGGGAGGGAAGAGAAAGTGGGGAAAGGAAATGGAACTATTAGGGAAAAGTACCAAGCCATTACGACTATACAGCACTGGGAAGGGTTCAGGATAAGGAATGGTACCCAACAACTTGGACGGTCGGGGATTGAATGCCAACCTGCATGAAGTGAGACTGTCGTTCTACCGTCCAGTCCAAGTGGTTGGACGGGGTGGGGGGAGAGAAAGAAAGGTGTTGTTATGCTTGTGCTCTTTCAGATTTATGGTCCAGAAGGGGAAGATGTGAGTAAGAATGAGGGAGTTGAGAACTTGCTGGCTCTGGAGAATGTGAAGATTGTAGGAGTCAAAGAGCCTTTGCCAGGTGAGTATAATACTGTAGTTGAAACTGTAATAACCATCTGTCTTACTCAAATGCAGATATAATAATTATTGACTGTGCAACTGTTGGGCACATCATGCATGTCACTTTTGGGGGGTTCCAGGGGTTACTGCTCCCATAGCTTGGTCTCTGATCAGGTTCTACTGATCCTGTATAGAATTACAGTAAAACCTCAATTCAACAAACTGGATGGGACCAAACCCAATTCACTGCTGTGAGGGATTTGTTGCAACTGGAGATGCCTCCAGGATACATTTCCCATGCCTTATGGCCTAATTTCAGTTGGAATTTTTGTTCATTTTGACCTTTAATAATAATAGACAACAATGAAATGAACATGTCTGCAAACAAATTTAACCAGTTCTTGCTCATTTCTCAAGTCCGCAGCTTCAAAACTCATTTTCAAAAGGTAGCAAGGCTATACCTGAGTGAACAAAAACCTTGTCAAATCGAAATGAAAACAAACCATAGAATTTGGTTTTAAATATTCTCAGTAGCTTTCCCAAGGCTCCAACTGTGTCTTTAAATGTTGAGTCAGTCTACAAAAATCATCAAAATCCTGACTGGAGCCATATTAAGAGTTTCCTTTCATACCCTAATATTTCCCATGCTCTTTGGGCTGATTTCACAAAGTAAAATTTTCATTTACTCCTGTCATATGAAGGACAACTACAAAGAAAGCCTGTCTGTAAAGAGATTTAAGTATATCTAGTTAATTTATCACACCCTAGCCTTGAAACCTCATTCAAGGCAAGGGTTAATTTTCCCACACCCTCTCTCCCCTGTTCTTGTCAATCTCTTAATTGAATATTTTGACATCATTCTTCTTCCCACTATTGATACTCTCATGTTAGGGATTCTAATCATCCTATAGATTGATCTTCTTAGTTAATAATCTTTCCTTCCTCTACTCTTCACAGATGCCGTCTTGTTGAATTAACTCTGATACACAATACGTCCAACGTGAACCTTAGTCCTGGCTTTATTGCTGTTGACCCTTCCCTTTTACAGTATATATTGAAATGCTCTAACCTTCTTAACAATTGTGACCTGACAAGCTTTGCCCCTGTTGCTTATTCCTACCCTTTTTCTTACTTTTCCTCTTACTCTTATTCTTATATTCATCCTATTCTTAGCTTATTCTTATATTCATCCTATTCTTAGCTTATTCTTACATTCATCCATTCTGCTCCTCACCTTTATATAAATTTAGATTAGATTTAGATTTTTTATTCAGGTAAAGGTACATCCATTGAGTTACACACATAATGATGACTTTAAAGATAGAGATAGTACATACACTATCTAAAGCCACTAGTATGCATAGCATTTTGGGCAAGGTGAGGGGGGGGGAAACACTTACACTAAAACTTAATAGTAATTGAGCTTAAAGTATAAATTGCATTGACTGACTCTCACTCTTGTATCCTATGTACAGTATGCCTGTACCTTTCTCTCTTCTATGACACAACTCGATAATGGTCCAGGACAGACCTAAACGTCGTCGTTTCTCCTTTTTTCTAATGTGTGGTTTGGTCATCATATCCTTCAACATTGTATTTCTAATTCAGATATGACATGTAACATGACATGTTACATGTAACATGACATGTTACATTGGTGTAGCAAAGTAGCTTATCTTTGCTAACAAGAATGACCATTGGTTAATTTCCAGTGAATATAATAAAGGTAATTTTGGCAGGTCGATATAACATCTCGGTTGGCAGCGAGAGTAAATACACTGTACGAGCAACAGGACTCTCTTCTCTTGACTTTGAGCATGGATTTTCTCTTGAGCCCACCACAAACTTTAAAGAGACTTATCACAGGCCTATAAAAGGTAAGATATTCAATTGTTTCTTGCTTTTTATTAATAGTTTCTGGAATGATGATGTATTGTATCATTCAATGATGATGATTGTATTGCATAATAAATAATTTGTAACTGTAATACAAGTCCTTCATGGCCTTTAAATTATAGCTTGAAATATTATGTAGCAACTTTATTAACTACAAAGCATTGGTTCTCAAATAAAATTTATGCTAGTAAAAATCCAGTGTTGACTATAATGAAGTGCCTCTTTCTGGGTGCTTTCCGTGATGAAAGATGCAGTGGGACATCAACAAACCAGCCACCTACTTGCTATTCAAACAGCGAAGATATACACATGGATCGAGATAAAATGAGTCACTCTATAAACCCATGGGAGAATTACCAGGGCATGAAGGTAAGCAGAAACCCCAAGCAGCGGGGCCACTTGCCAGAAGAACAGTCACAAAATGCCGCCAAAGCAACTAGACTATGAATGGCAACCATGGCATACCATATAAACAAGCATGCAAATGCCAGTGCACGCACAGCATAACCAAAAGAATGTCCTTAGCCAAGGGTTCAAACAGAGGAATCAAGATTCATAAATAGCCCAAGGTGAGGCTCTCTACCCTGGTTCTGAGGCTTGCTCGCGAACACACCCGAGATGATAACTGACGGTGCAAGGGCAGCATTCTTGAATACTCGGGATGAAATCCCAGAGCACATGGAGCCCAAAACACAAGAGTCAAACCAACAAAACAAGGTGGATCTAAAACACACATGAATTGAACACTAAAACACAGAAACAATGAACAAAGCAAATGGCATGTTGGCCATCGTTGGACAATAAAGTCCAAGGATGGCCGGCACTTAGCTTAAGCGGTGGGACTTTGCCCACAACTATCAGACTGGAACACTACAGGCAGATTCAAATGCTACCTCATCAGCAATAAAACTGAGATGGAAAGCTGACTGAGGGCTGGGGCCAGGCTGCCTGGTGGATGGTAATGGTGCTAATGAGTTTCGAGCTAGTTTGAATGAATCCCTTGTTCTGTGTGAATCATTTGTAAATTGTTTTGCCAATTTCAAGGTTCCTTTTTTTGTGAGCCCTCCAGTTGTCTGTAAAGCTTCACTGACTTTCTTGGGGCTTTTTTCCAGTGGTGTGATGGATTGTCACTCTCTCTATAGGGCTCTGTGAGTGTGGGCCAGATTCTGGCTTTGGTTTCCAGTATGCTAAACGGAACTTTCTGTATGGAGCAATCTCGGCAAGATAGCTTCAGGGCGCCACTGGTGGAGCCCACCAGTGGCGCCCTCCTCTAGAAATATTCTCATGACAGAATTAAAAAGGTTTTCACATGCTTTTACAGCATATATTTCATGACGAAAATAATTTTTTTGTGGATTAAGTGGTATGACCCACACAGCTCTTTTTCTGGCAGGAGAGTACAAAAGGGGATGGCATACTAGATATTGATGTTGCTGTAGATGTTAGTCATAATTTTTCTTTTAAAATATGATAGATGAGTTTTGTTTACGAAGTCATTGATTTCTTCATCAGGTGGGTTATCCTATGTGGTAGTTAAGCCAGCAGATGTTACGGAGTTTGGAGATTTATATCGCCTGCAGATGATATCACTTGATGGTGTTATCCTTGAAGATTTGCCTCTTCATCGCTTGCCTGGATCTCATCCCATTTACAATGGTACATCTTTCCTTGCTCCAAATGAATCCTTCAACATTAAGGTTAGTACTACAGGAGATGAAGTACAATGTATGTGATGGGTTTATACCCTTGTTAGTTATTATTGAACAAGATTACTTGATTACTTTAGTTGCAGTTTTGTCCCAATAAGACTATTCAGCATACAAATTTGTTTGTACGATGATTAAAATATGCATTTCTAGGTATTATTTTTAACTTATTATAGCTGTAGTTGATGCTTATGTGTTTAAAGCTTGCATTGTCCTTTTTTATCAGTATTTGCATTACATATATTTTATTCTGAAGTAAAAGATATGAGTGAGCATTTTGTTTAAATTTGCATGATTTAAACAGAATTTAAATAATTTCAGATCTTTGGGCGGGACGAACATGGTTATCAGTTTGAAAGGATTTCCCCCACAGCAATATCCTCCCAGCTACCATGTAAGTTCAAGAAGAAAATGGATGAAAAGGTTAAGTTGTCAAACACGTTCATTGGTACAGAACAATTTGCCACTTATTTGTTATATCAAAATTTTTCTGATATATGAATTGGTAAATTTAATTTGGGCCATTGTTTTATATCAAAAATCTTCCCTAAATCACCCTTTCATTTGTTCTCTCCACCTTAGACACCTATAGTCAGTGTTTGCTTTGGTTATGCTCACGATTACATTATTGGAACATTCAAAACTTGCATTTTGCTTGAATTGTCCATTAATTTATAGTCTGAAATGCTTCATGAAGCAATATGACCATATTGAGTACAGTATTTGAATAGGTAAATATAAATACTATATATAGGATATCTGGATTGAAGTGTAGGTTAGACACACATGAATGAGTTTGGGCAAATCAAAATACTGTAGGAGCTGCCTCAAATGGGCCAATAAGCTTTTTGTAGGTACCTTTATTCTATTGTTCTATTGTTATCATGTAATTATTCAACCCATCCTCCTGTTTAGATGATTTACCATAGTACAAAGACTGACGTACTAAGCAATTATATACATTAGTAGAATTTTGTTCTATTCACTTTACGGAGTCAGCAAGGATTCACGTTATGGATTCTTTTTGCAACTTAAATACAAAATCTTTTCCAATTTGTCAAAATTCAATAGTACGGATTTCTACTTTCTAATTATGTTGTACGTCGGTATATGTACTATGGTCCTCATTGTCACTATAAGTACAGCACTGTACTACCAAAACAGGAGGATGGGTTGAATTATTGGTTATTTATTTTGTGCTTTACTTTAGTTCCCCCAGAAGTGACCTCAGCTGATCGAGTTAATGGGTATTTTGACGAGCCCGCAGTGATTACTTGCCATGTTAAGACACTCGTGCCATTTACACTTTCTTGGCAAAAAGATGGAATTGAACTAGATGGCCAGAAGACATATCCGTAAGTTATCTAAACAGTATGCTTGGATTAATATAGTGTATTTTAAGCTAAAATGAAAGCTTACCAGTTTAATCGGTATTGTGATATATAAACTTGTTTCAATTATGATTACCCCCTAATTGATCTATTGATCTGAAAAAACTGATACTGTACCATTTATCACAATACACTCCTTCATAAACTTTAGTACTATAAAATGAAAGGTTTTACTAATTATATTCAGTAATATTTCAATAAGAGACAAATACCGAGCCATAAATGACTTTGCCTGTTTACCTATCAGTGACTATGGGGGGAGTGAGATCTAGCTGTTTATGCCATGCCTCCTAGTTGTTCATATGTGGTGCACTAATTACCCCTCTCAACATTAACATCTCTCATCATGTTTCTTTTTTTAAAGTTGTGGATGGAATTGGTTTAAACAACCTCTTCCTTCAATGCTTTCCACTTGCCAACCACTTGTATAAGGAATGAGAACATCCTTTCATTTCGTCAACTCGATTGCATGTCCAGCTTCCTCTGATTTCCCCCTTGTCGTATTTCTTCTTAATTTAAATAGGCTTAATTTATCCACCTTATCTATTCCCCTCAAGTTCTTGTATGCAGTTACAGTACCATATCCCCCTCTGTTTCTTCTCAACCAAGCCCAAATAGCCCAAATAAGGTGACTGATGGCATCTTGTAGTTTAGCACTATGTCAGTACAGTAGCTTTGGGAAGCCACCCGAGCTCAAGCAGAAATTGGCATTTCATTACATTCAATGCTGGTGTTTTGCTATCGTTATTACTGCTAAGCATATGACACTACAGTACTTCTAGTTATTTTCTGTTATGCCTGACATTATACAGTACAGTACAGTACTGTGCTTCCCATTTTCTTGTTACTGCAGACACCTTTAAAGTTTGAAACAATGTTATGTTAATGTATTTTTGTGCATTTTACTAATAAAAGTTTTATACTATAATAAGATAATGATAATGTAATAATTACAACTATGTTTTGACATTAAAGTACAAGAATTATTTGTGTACTTGTTTGTCAACAGTCAGTCTGCAGAAGTGAAATACGTAGTAGATTTTCCCAGCCGTGAGGATGAGGGACGTTACACCTGCGTTGCTTTGAATATTGCTGGCAGTGCCTCCTCCAGTACTTTCCTTGACATGAAAGGTGAGCTTTTGTATGCAGCTTCATCAGTAGCCTCTGGTGCTTGATTTCCCCCACATATCCTCTTGATGTGTCAGTAATGTTTTGTTTGACTTTACTGGCTCTAATTTTCAGTCCTGTATTGTACAGTACAGTGCTGTATTTTAGCATATAATCTTACAGCTGTAGTGTAATGCCACCTTTAGTACTTCACTACATCTTTATAGTTCATATTTATATTCATTCCTACTTAGTACAGTACAACTTTTATGTAGCAGTAACTAAATTTTTCAAGAAAAATTTTAGCATCTAACAAAACCTCTGAAATTCTTTTAAAATATCAGTGTAATTCCTATAACTTTATTTGGTATTTGTAAACATTCTGTAGTCTCAATATATTTCTTACTTTAAAAACAAGTTCTTTGCAAGTCAGTCTAGCTCTGAATTGTAATTTTTTCTTAGCTTACTGCATCTTCTGTTGTGTTGTAGCTAGTTATCTTCCAACCCCAACAGAACCACCCCCACAGATTGCTGCTCCACTCAATGCCACACTGCCACCATCTCAGGCTGCTGTATTGTCATGTGATGTCAGCTCCACTGTGGAGTACAACTTGACCTGGTACCGCTATGTCGTCCAGGGGCAGGTTCAAGATTTCTTCGGAAGAATGGAAACTAGTAGGTACAATCACCCATCTGGTAGGATTACTTCAATCTCCCTTCTTTATAGGGTAAATACTTTTATTTTCTGTTTGCCGCATTTATAGCTTTAAACTGGAATGATTAACATTAAGCGAGTTTGTAGTATTGTGTTAATGTTGGAAAAGTTCTAACGGGCTTTCAAATTCAACCTTTTATTTAATACGTCAAACGAGGGGAAAATATTTGAATTTTCAGCGATGGCAAAGCAGGGATAGAAATAGAGCATGACCTTATGTCATGAACCTTTGTTTGAGCATGCTGAACCCTTGTTGTTTCCCCACAGTTGGTGAGTTTGTGAGTGTTGAGGGGCTTCAAGGCTTCAGGGTCCTAAGCAACAAGTCTCTGCTTTTGGAAGATGTTGGGTTAAAACACGAAGGCTGGTTCAGGTGCACAGCTGCAAATGAAGGTAAATATTTACCAGGAGGACATATTCCATACGAGTCCTGGGTAGACCATATTGGAGCTGGCTATGGGACCATTTGAAGTGCCCTAACTTTGTAGCCTTCTTATAATCATCTATCTTTAACTGTTCTGTGGATGTGGAGATCGATAATATGATTTTAAACAGGCAAACTTTTATGCAGTGTCTTGGACCAGCTGGTAACTTCTGTATTCCATGTTTAGAGTATCACTACTAAATTTTGTCTTAGAGATCTTAACAAAATTACCAACTATTTAGGGTACTTTTGTATTATGCCATGTTACTCATGTAATGTTAATCACACAGGTGGAAGAAGGTCCCGGGAGGTTCATGTGTCGGTGATGGCACCTCCTGAAGTGTCTGTTGTACCTGAAGTAGTACCATACCGGGCAGGTGATAATATCACTGTGTCGTGCATTGCTCGGGGATTCCCAGAGCCGGATGTTAATTGGTGGAGAGAAGACACCCTCTTGACTGGAGGTAGTGGAAAAATAGTTGCTACGACGACTCGCAAATTACACCTTTACCATGCTTATCCAGATGATGGTGGACCTTACACCTGCAGTGCTACAAACTCAGCAGGCACTGGTGTGTGCTATTAGTCTTTGGTATTTTCACTGTAATAACTGTAATATTTAACAGCATATTGTATATTAACTTTATATCTCCATATTTATTCACATAAAGATAGAGTATGTAGTTACATGTATTTTGTCCAACAAACACAAAGTGCAAACATGTAGTAGGGTTGTAATACCCACACACACACAACAGGATAATGAAATTATTTCATTACAATTCTTTAAGGACTGTTATTAATCAAATAAAGCTGACAAATCTTCTCTTCTCACAGCAAGAGCAACAGTAATACTGACCTTCATCAGTGCTCCGAATGTGACCACATTGCAAGAGGAGGTTCTGGTGGGCAGTGGTGACACGGTAACTAAAGATACCCTTTATGTATTGACATTCATATTAGCTAACCGAAATAGGTATTTTGTATTTTTGTTTTATAAAAATTTTTATTAATAAAAATTATTATTAAAAATAAAAAATGTGATGTCCATGTGATATCTGTAGATATTACACGGTTACCTGTAGAATGCCCTTGATTATTGGCTTAAAAGTTCCAAGATTTACTGTAATGTATTTGTGATAGTGCTTTCAGACCAGATAGACCTCTTGTGGGATATTTTAGACAAAGGAAAAATACTGTTCGGTGGTGAGGGGTTTGTAGAAGTTAAGGGGATGTTGGAGATATTGAACTATATATAAGAACAGTACTATCTACTCATTAATCTGAATCATATGGGGACCAATCCCTGCAGACCCAAACAATCGAATTAGCCAAATTTCTTAATGTCAAAAAATGAATGGCCAATTACACAAAATTCAATCCTTCAATGCCTATTGTTAATGGATAGCATAACTTCCTTCTTAGCACCTCAGCATCAGTTTTGACATGTTTCAAGTTTTTCTTGAAACAAAATATTTTTGAAATTTTTTTTTTAGTAATGGCATTGCACAAGGTAGAATCACACAGGGAAAGAACATTTGATTGGGCAGCATGACAGGGTTGGGACCAGTCCACCCTGGGCATAATATGCCATGTTGTTCATTTATGTAAATTTTGTTATCCAAGAGCCAAATGTTGAATTTTAAATGTTGAAAACTTTGGCTTTCATGGAAGACTCCAATTAAAATTAGGTTTGTATAACACTTCTATTGTGTTGTCAGTATCATATGTTCTCAATGTTGGTTACATGTACTGTAATAACTTAGGAATGTTTCTTTACATTAGCTTTACTTGAAGCTTATACTGTACTATATACAACTGTAAAAAGGAGATGAATATTGTAAAGAAACTACAATTTTTGGGTGAGCCCCCGTGGCTCCTTGAAGCTGTTATATAAAGATATGGGACCATCTACTTGGTCGCATGAATATATACGCCTATCGGGGACCAATGCCAAAACCTGGCCCACTCATAGAGGCACAGGGTGTGGTGGCAATCCACCCCATGCATTCTGGCTCTGTCATCTAGGAATGTTCTACCTCTGATGCTTCTCTTCAGTGGTAGAATATTCTTAGATGACAGAGCCAGAGTGCATAGACGGAAAATCCAGATCCAGCTTCAGTGAAAGCCTCGGGAAAACCCTCATGTGTTCAGTAGAACGCCAGATTGCAATCCTTTTCCATGTTGTCGCCTGGTTGTGTGGGGCGTGTGCGTGGGAATACTCACTGTATAGGTCCTCATGACAGCTCCTATGGATTATCTCATTAATATTAATAATAATAGTAATATAATAATAATAATAATAATAATACAGTAATAATAATAATAATAATAATACAGTAATAATAATAATAATAATAATATCATCATCATCTCCCAGGTGGAACTTCATTGCTCAGTAGAAGGGATGCCACCTCCAACTCTCAGATGGTTGAAAGATAACACTGTAGAGGTCACTCCAATGTCTTTCATCCAGGTATGATATTTTACTTTCAACTTCATATTTATTAAAATTTCAACTTTGTTTTAGATATCGGCCATGTGAATGGGCTTTTGTGCAGTCCATCATTCATGAAAGGTCATAGCTACTTTGTGGCCAGCTTTAATTTCATCCTATCGTTTGTTCTTATTTTCTAATCAATTGATGCTCGATATTTCATGTTAAGTAAACAATATACTGTACTATAGTATTTTTTAATTCAAAAATTATTTGGAAATGATTATCTGCAGATGGAAGCAGACCGCCTGAGGATCCTGGGGGTACAGGAGAGTGATGCCGGACGATACACATGTGTGGCCTCCAACCTGGCCGGCACAGACCAGGCCCACATTAACTTGAAGGTTGGCTCACCGCCTATAGTCATCCAGGCACCTGCAGGTATCTCTTTAAGTTTTCACAAGTTTAAGTAATGTGCACAGAGATGTGATTGTTATACACATTTAGGCATACAGTACTGTACTTTTGTTTTCATTTTTCAGAAAGAACATTTTTATACAGTATTAATTAAATCATTTTTATGTAATATAGAAAATATTGAGCTAGTAAAAGTGGCAAATTAGATGGAGTTAGCCTGGATAAAAAAAATGGTTTATAGGGGGATAGAATGTTATAAATATTTATAAAACAAAGATCACTTGTCCATTCTTTATCATTCACATTACTGAATATAGCTGTGTGGATAAATAGCTCCACTCAACATTCCTCCAAAAGGAGGTGAACGTTCAGAAAATGGACTGAGAGTTACAAGTACTGTGATATAGTTTTTAAATACATAAGCGAGCACTTGCATATGTTTGCTTGTTTCACAAATAATCTGTCCAAATGAAAGGTAATCTTGTACTCTTCAGTCACACCTTGTAATCTATGCTCAGTAAAAAAGAAATCCAAGTGAATGAACATATTTTCTTTTCATGTCACTTTTTCAGACACGTCGGTCATGATTGGAAGTACAGGTGCATTGTCATGCTATGGTGTTGGGGTCCCGGAGCCCACCATTACCTGGAGCCGGACAGATGGTTCTCCCCTGTCCTCTCAGTTCATACAGGATACAGACGGAAATCTTAGGGTCAAAGGTAAGAAAAATATATACAAAATACTGATAAAGATTTCGGAGAATTAAATGCAATACTGTGTGAGCTCACCTATCCGGACTGTATTGGGGAGGATCCCCCACCGGATAAGGCAGACATCCGGATAAGCAGTAATTCTTACCAGGAAAAGTTGATAAATAAACATATTTGCAATTTTTTGCACCACAGCCAACATAATTTGAATTTCCTCACACACTATAATTAAAAAATACATTTACCAGTACTGTAATTTAAAACAGAAACTTCATCTTACCTTGTTGTGGTTCATCTTCTTGAGTGATTGTGCACATCTTGAAATCAGTAATTCCAGAAAAGTTACGTAACCTATCGTAACACAACACAAAACTTACTGTACATGAGTTTGACAATTTAAGTTAAGACTGCCAGCTGCTAAAGCATTACTGGTCGAAGGCTCTTGACTATGGCGAGGTGTTACCTTTCCTTTTCACAACAATATTGTGCCTCACTTTAAACCTGGAAATCCAACCATCACTTCCCCAGGAATTCTGTATTCCATGACTGACTGCAAATCTTCTTGTAGTAATTCTTATTTCTGCTCTGCAAATCGTCACATCAACTGGGCAGTACAGTACTGTGCAAACCACTTACACACAGCCTCATCTTACTGTGCATAGTGTGCAGGCTTTCTATTATACCCTCTACTAGTGCAAGCTCCCTCACTCTTACTAGTAGCTTTGTATATTTTTTTAGTCATCTTTGTTTCTTTATATCAGAGACAGTACTAGTACCTATACCAAAATCCTTGGCAACACTCACAGGCGACTAGCCATTTTCACAGATTTCAATGACATGTAACTTGTCTTGAATTGTTAGCACAACCTTCTTCCTTTTAACACCTCCAGGGTGATTGTTGCTTCTACCAGACAAAGCCTTTGCAAAAAGTTATCAACGTTACTCTGAAAACAAAGTTATTTAAGAAAATGATTCACTAATGGCATAGCACTATGGTATAACATGAGAGTCGAGAGCACCTGGGTTGTTTAGCTTGACCAGGTCTGAACAGGTCTACTTGGGGCAGGCAGGCATGATCTGCAGGCCACCAGATGGAAAAAATCCCCCAAATATAAACAGGAAACTTCAGCCTGTACACGTAGTTTTAAGAAAGTTGTATCTCTTATAATATTACATAATACAGTATTTCTTTAGTTTTTACTGCATGGAATTGTTCTCGCATAATTCTTTATTCTATGCAATACAGTAATCATAGGCCCCTCCACATGCCCCTTGTCACCCTAGACAGTCCCTCACATTTCTTCCCTCTCTCCTGACTCTCCCGACCTCCCCCACATCCCAGACATATTTGGAATTAATTCCAGCAGCCATTTATCTGTCCATTGTTTGTGCAAATTAAACATTACGTTCATTTAGTCTCTACCTCTACTCCTGGAAAGCCTGCATCTCATGCAGCCTTTTCTGCCAATGTAAACTAATTATACTAATTATATCATTACGTTTCTTGAGCTCTCTCAGCTCGTCACATCCCACATCTGGCTGTTAACTTCATTATTTCTTTCAATTCTGTGATCTATTTAGATAATAAATTTATTGTTACTGTCCTAAGCATGCTACTTTTTCTTCTCTTTGACTATCTTTATAGATTACTATGATTTTTTAATGTAACAACTGTTAGTATTTTTTTAACATGCTTTGTTTTTGGTGTTGCAGTTACTATTTTTATTTTACGTGTACAGTACTTGATTAATTTTGGTCATTTCAACTTTTGCATAATTTGATTGTATTTTAGCTTTTATTTTAAGCAACTGAAACTCAATTCTGGGTAACAATGTCATATGTGGCATTATATTTATAAATGACATGATTTTATATACAGTATTTTGTTTCTTGTACAGCCATGCAAGTAGAAGATGAAGGTAGCTACACATGTACTTTAGAGAACCAGTATGGAAGACAGAGACTACATGCAACGCTCTCAGTCTCAGGATTGTGTAAGTTAAGTGACCTAGTCAGACATAGTTCATAAGGGACACCTACATATATATATATATCAGATTAAACTTTGGAATTATTAAATAAATTTACAAAATGTATACAATTTTGATGTATATACAGCTGTACTTTGGCATTAGAGGAAAGATGTAAAAGTGTGTGTAGTACTTTTATATACTGTATATAGATTTATTCGTATTTAGTGTCTTTTCATAATTATTTTTGACAGTGGCACCCCTGATTGCTGCACCTCCGGACCCCAACCTGAAGGTTACCCAGGACTCCCCAGTGACTTTGCCCTGTACTGTAGTCATAGCCAATCCTCCTCCTCGACTGGTCTGGCTCCACCAAGGCTCACCTATTGACCTAGACAGAAGTTAGTTAAATAGAATATTGAAATAGTTTTATTTATAAAGAGTGTACATGGCAATGTTACATAGTTGATGTGTAAGTTTAGAATTTGTAGTCTTTATAAAACCTCTAAATATGTTTTGTGTTCTGAGTAATTCTTATGTATCTGAGGTATTTTAGTCATTGTATTTCATATGGAGATACCGTAGGTGACATCAATAGAAGAGTGAGTAATTACTGTAGGTGACATATCGATAGATGAGTGAATAATTACTGTAGGTGACATATCGATAGATGAGTGAATAATTACTGTAGGTGACATATCGATAGATGAGTGAATAATTACTGTAGGTGACATATCGATAGATTAGTGAATAATTACTGTAGGTGACATATCGATAGATGAGTGAATAATTACTGTAGGTGACATATCGATAGATGAGTGAATAATTACTGTAGGTGACATATCGATAGATTAGTGAATAATTACTGTAGGTGACATATCGATAGATGAGTGAATAATTACTGTAGGTGACATATCGATAGATGAGTGAATAATTACTGTAGGTGACATATCGATAGATGAGTGAATAATTACTGTAGGTGACATATCGATAGATGAGTGAATAATTACTGTAGGTGACATATCGATAGATGAGTGAATAATTACTGTAGGTGACATATCGATAGATGAGTGAATAATAGTGTTTTTAGAGTTGAGTGAGGTACATAGCAATGGATTTTGAAGGGTAACTATAGTTTGAGATACTTTGTTTCTTACATTTATTATATAGTAATTGAAGCTCAATTTATTGTTAGAATATGCTTTGCAATTTCTCTTCTGCTCTACTCTCAATTGGAGTATTGTTTATTATTAGAACTGTTTAGTAGTACTGTCTGTCTTGTTAATGCTCAGGGCAAATTTATTAGAGGTCAGCCACATTTTTATTTTTTTTACTTAGCATTTAGTGTCATTTAAGATGTCTGAGTTAGTATTTAAGGATATTAAGGTTGTCTTATTATGAAATAATAATGACAAATGTAAACACCAATTATGTAAGACTGTCACATGTACTCTATAAATTAATAATGGATTGATAATTCACATACAGTATATATATATGTATAACATTGCAGTAAGCATAATTAATATATATTTTAATATTAAATGTCTGGACAAACTTTACTCAGGGATGTTCATGAAAACTGATGGTTCCTTAACCATTTCATCTGTGCGGCCACATGACGAGGGTGACTACCAGTGTGTTGCCACTAATGTTGCTGGCAACTCTTCCCTCACCCTACACCTCACAGTCCTAGGTAAAGTGCAGGTCTGATGCTACCCTTGCAAATATGATGTGACTTACTAAAATCACATGTGCTAAATATGATGACTTACAAATTACTGTATGTATTAATATATCCTCAAAAATATTCTAGAGTTAAAAATTTATCCCTTAATGAACATTTTGAGCCATGTTGATATTTGTTAGTGTGTAGGGCCAGTATTAGTGCTTAAACTGTTTCTCAGCTACAATATTAAGTTTTTAATGAACAGTAGACTTTATTAGTGTCGTGAGATAATTGACAAATGCTTATGATTTTGCAATACTTGGCAGTTCCTCCACGTGCAAAGGCAAACCGTTTGGAAGAAAGAGTTGTTGCCTTAGAGGGTGACTTGGTGAAGTTAAAATGTCCTGTTAGGGCTGATCCTAAGCCAGCATTCTTCTGGCGTAAGGATGACCAGCCTCTCTCAGAAGTGTCTAGAAGGTGAGATCAAATATAAAGCTAGTTGGGTAAATAGTACAGGTAAAATGCATACTGTAATTACCTAAGTAATTACCTAAGTGTAGTTATAGGATGAGAGCTACACTCGTGGTGTCCCGTCTACCCAGTACTCTTCGTCATATAATGCTTTGAAATTACTGACGATTTTGGCCTCCACCACCTTCTCACCTAATTTGTTTCAACCATCTACCACTCTGTTTGCAAAAGTTATTTTTCTTATATTCCTTTGGCAGCTTTGTTTAGTTACATTTAGTTAGATTAAATATATGACTTCCTGTTCTTGAAATTCAAGGTTTCAGGAATTTCTTGTTTCTCTGTACATTTGAGTAATAACTACCTGTCCTTCATTTATGGTATAATCAAATGAACTTGGGTGATTTTGTAACAAATTCTTCAAATGTTCCTTCAGAAAATAATAGTAGATGAAGAAAGTTGAAACATCTACCTGGTCACTCTCTCTCAAGGAAGACATACCTCTCAAGAGAACAAAATTAAAAAGAAACAGTGATGGAAAGGTAGATAGAAGTACAATTAGTGTATCAGGGGTCTCAGTAGACCAATGGCTATATTCTCGATTCGTAACTGAGGATCTCGGATTCAGTCCCCGGGCAAGATAGAAATGATTGGGCATGTTTCTTTTCACCTTATGCCTCTGCTCACGTAGCGATAAATAGGTACCCGGGTGTTGGGCAACTGTTGCATGGTTGCATCCTCGGGAGGGTCAGTAGTTTGACTATGGTGGGGACATGTATACGAGTCTCCAGTATATATATATTGTACAGGCTTTCTGTTCCGGATAAAAAGGAAAAATTTATTATTATTAGGAGTAGTAAACGTTGCTAGAGTACAGCTTAGTATTAAATATATTGAATAATTTTGCTGTCAAGATCAAATTTTAAAACTATGAACATTCGTTATTCAGTTAAAATAAAACAATATTTCTAAACTATAACATTGGGTTACCCCCAGAGGTAAGTTCCATTGTGTCTATAGACAAATATAATGAACATCTCAGCAGAATGACGTTCTGGCATTTATACCACATGGAATTTCAAGATGTTCTTGCAGAATGCTATATAACTTATATATAAGTGCTAGAAGGTCACTTGTGGCCTTGGCATGTTCCGTGATATGGGTTTCTGGTTACCCAGTTTATTTTTTGCCAAGTGCTATTCCCCCAAATTTCCCTCCCATGATTATTTTGTGTGGGTATGATGGTGAGCTTCTGGGTGATGTCTGCGGTGTTCATGCTAGAATGTTGCCTGACTTTGACTATTCATGACTGCTGTCTGGAGAGACAGCAGATTTGACATTAAGGAGCAACCAAATTAGTCTGCTCCGAAGAGTGCTTTTCATATCCATGTGCTCAAACCCTGATTTTTCGAAATTTGGTGTTGAAGTAATGATTGAATGGTTTTGTTTTGGTCAGGATGCGTTTACTGAAGAATGGGATTATTGTGATAAGACAGTTGATGACCGAAGATGCAGGTACTTACGTCTGTACTGCTGTTAATGCTGCAGGTGCCACTACCATTCCTGTCGTTCTTGAAGTTCACGGTAAGGCATATTTTATTTTAAACAAACACTTTAATGCTTTGTGCCAGTGGCATGCACCCATGCCACTGGCGCTTAGTGACACCTAAAATGTTTAAAAAAAAATTGTTAGTTTTTGGTTATACTTTACTGTAATTACAAATTTGTTGTAAAAATGTTTGCAGATGAATTTGCTAGAGTATATAGATTCAAAACAAAATGGGTTTTAATAATAATTAGGTGTTATGAAGTTGAATAAATGAATGTTTATGAACATTCAACACTTCATTTTTTTTGCAACATGGAAATACAAAATATAGAAATGTCACATGATTGGTCTATATCATTGTAAACAAAAAAAATAACTTTCATATTTTTCCTGCTGGTAATTTGAAGCCCATACAGAATTAATTTACACTATTAATTTTGTATATTTATTTTTCTTTGTAACATTTCAATTAAATTCTTGCCATTTTGTATTAGAGTGTTTAATTTTATTCCTCACTTTGATTTTTCTGAAGTCTAAATCTGTGTTTAAAGAATTACATTTTCCTGTATATTATTCATGATATTAGGATAATAATATTGTCATCATTTAAACAAGTTTACTTATTTATATATTTCCATTTCAGTCCCGCCAACAATTGAAGCAGATTCTGAGACATATATAGTGTCTGAGGGAGAGGTGTTGAATGTGCCGTGTGTCGCCAGTGGCAACCCACCACCCACGCTCACTTGGGTTCGTTATGACCAAACACTCATGTTGGACAACACACTTAAGGACGGGACACTCAGGTAACACTTGCAATACTTTTATTCTTATTAAATAATGTTTTTCAATCTGGTATTCATTTTGTAACTTAATCTCAGTACATGTACTAGTTTATTTCTTTAGCCTTCAAGTAAATTTATAATTATTGAAACATATAAAATCCAATTGAGCATAAATTCCTGCTCTTTAGTCACGTATAAGTGACATCCTGTAAACCCTAAAAATTTTGGACATTGCCCCACTACACAAGGGAAGCTGTAAAACATCATTTAGGTCAGTTATCTATGACTTGCGTAGCATCATCTACACACGCCATAGATAACTAAGAACTCTAATTGACCTGGCCAGGATTCGAACTCATGCCATCCAGGATCACTCCTAAACGTACACAGTACTGTGACCACCGCACCAGTGATCATTGGTGATCATTGGTGCGATCATTGGTGCGGTGGTCACGGTACTGTGTACGTTTAGAGGTGATCCTGGACGGCATGAGTTCGAATCCTGGCTGGGTCAATTAGAGTTCTTAGTTATCTATCTGTATATATATATAATAATAATAATTAATTTTATCCAGTCATTTGCCATTGATTGTGTCCAATACTTGATAGGCTGGTGGGATCAGTTGAAAGTGAGGGCTACTATGAGTGCTTAGTGACCAACGATGCTGGTTCAGCTAAGCGTGCAGTCACCGTTGTTTTGAGCAGTAAGTCTTGGTCTTGAATTTTTTTATTAATACTGTATCTGTTATTCTCTACAATAAATTATAACAATTTATCGCAACATATTTGTGTTCTTATAAGCACAAGTGAAGAGAAACACAATGAATCTGCTGTCACTGTATTTCAAAAGTTGTCAAAGTGTTACATACTCGAGCATGCTGCAGAACTCTTCTCTTGTCTTGTTGGCTGTATCATACAATATGTTGCAAAATTCCACCTGGAATATGGCCGCAGTAATTTTTTTTCTGAATGTTCAAATGGCTTCCCCATCAGCTAGTTAGATCTGTGACCAATAGACATAGGAATTACACTTCTGGGTACTCCTTCAGTCTTTAGTTATAATATACATTTACTTAGGATTAAAGTTTATTCTTTGTAGCTTAATTATGAGGGATGGTTTCCACCTCGCTGCAACCCATGGTTGTTCTTTCTGCATGATTTCAAGCATGAATTAATTATTTTAATTAATGAAAGTAATATGGTGTTTATATAGAGAGCCCAGAAATCTCGCCATTGGGTGACGAGTCCTTGACAGTGCTGGCTGGACAGGATCTAAAGTTACCATGTGAGGTCACAGGACATCCACCACCCTTGGTGTTTTGGGAGAGAAACGGAAGAAAGTTGACTGCCAGTGATAACCTGAGGCAAGTGGTTTGAAATGTTTGACAAAATTTGTCTAATATGAATTAAATTTAAAATATATATTTCATGCAGAGCAGTGGAATTCAGATGTATTCTCAGTTGCAGTACTGTAAAACTCTCTAGCGTCTATTTTTATAGTTGTGGATTGAAATTATTTAAAGTACCTTTTTCTTCAGTTCATTCTGTGTTAAATGCTTAATATATTGAAGGAATAATGCCTTCCATACCTGTGGCTTATTTAGGTTTCCAGTGTCCACTTATGTTGTCTAATCCTTTTAGTATTTGTGTTTGATTTAAACTAAAAGTTGTTGAATTTAGCTAAAGTGTATTAATAAAAGTTTGTGTTGGTTGAGCAGGCCTGCCCCAGGGTACCTACTGATGAGTGGTGTAACCCCTGATCTAGCAGGAATATTCACCTGCACCGCCATTAACTTAGTTGGGGAAGCCACCAAGACTTTCACCATCAATGTTAACTGTGAGTATATAATGGAGTTATTCACCAGCTTTTCATTAGCTTGTCACTTGGATTATAAGATTCACTTGAAGTTTATGGTACAGTAGTTAGGATAATATTTTATCACTCTGTATGAACTTAAAATATATATTATAATTCCTTGCTCTGCCCGAAGCACTGTGTGTTAGTGGCTTTGCAAAAATGTCAAAACATCAATGCTATATACTCTTATAAACCCAATGTACAGTACCTTCTTATATATACTGTATATAAATAAATATAAAAATAAATAAAAAATACCTGCTCGGTATGTATTTTAAGCAACAATTCAGAACATGGAATAGAGTATTGCATAAAGGAGTGACTGACTGATCAGCATGGAAGGGAGCATTTCTTTTATGTTCGGTTACTGTTAATGTAATAATAAAAATATTAATACTGTATGTGCAAGATATACTAAAGATCAGATTACAGAGGCAACTTAGTAGTTATAATAGTGTGTCGGACCTAACTTAAGATAATGAAAGAATTAAGTTTACATTTTTGTAGCACTACTTAATATTGGGGTGATTTTTATAATAATAATAATAATAATAATTTTTATTTAGGAAATTTAGGTTATATGGGTTGGTCTAGATGCTGAATGTTATAAAATGTTTGGCCTCCTCACACTTAACTGTTGCCTGGAGAGAAGTTACATCATCTGAGGGCTGGTGGAAGCTGCTGAATCAACAAAATGACAGAGGTTGTGAGTCACTGTGTTGCTGAGGGCAATTATGATGAGAATGACTGACCGGTTAAAAAGCTGCAATATATATAAATTAAATGCATTTATATATATTTTACATTTAATGCCATTATTCTTTCGAGAACATATATGTAAGTGATGGGTCATTCCCCAGTATAGATGCTCCCATAGTGGAGGAGCAGCTTAATCTGTGGCCAGAGAAGAGCGTAGTGGAGGGGGGTCAACTCTCGCTTCCGTGCAGTGCCCATGCCTACCCAGAACCAACTCGAGACTGGACTAAGGATGGTTCCAGGCTTCTTCCTGATGAGGGTAAAATATATGTTAATAGATTTAGTCATAACATTGAACATAAGCATCTAAATGGTTTATCAATAATTTTTTTCAAAACAATGACATAGAATGAATAATAATCTTCATTGACATGAGTGTATACAAGAAATTTTATACATATACTGCATGTATATATATATATATATATAATATATAATTGAATATTGCCAAAATTGAAGATTTTTCTCTGGGCAGATAATTTATTTTTATTTTTTTATAAAATGTGATGAAAGTTGTGAATATTTTGCAGATCTGACAATTTCAAGTAGTGGTACAGTTGAGGTAGCCCGTGCTGCCCCTAGTCACTCGGGCAGCTACAGGTGTACACTCGCCAACATGATCGGCGAGACACACATTGACTATGATGTCAAGGTTCTTAGTAAGTTTTACCTATTTATTTGATTTCTCTGCTTCATTTTCTGGAGGCTATTTTGATGTCTCATCACAATGACTGTAATAAGTTTACTGTTATGGTAAAATAGTTGTGTAAGCCTTTTAGAATAGTCCTTCACATGCACTAAATTGAAGGGTGACCACATCTCGCCAAAAATGAAGAGGCTTGCTTGCGGTCTTCAGTCATGTTTTTCGCTCTGCCAATCTTTGTTTGTACTGTATTCTTTTTCATGTCCTGGCTTACCTCTGCCAAAAACCATTGCTTCAGCCTTCATCGACTTTCTTTTGAGCATGGCAAGGCCTTCCTGCACACACTCATGCACACACCACACAAACACTCATGCAATTCATTGTGAATAAATACCACATTATGCAATATAGAAAAAGAAAATTTGCTCCATACATCCTCCAAATTATGTGAAGTGCATTAAAGAATTTGGACAAAGAAAGAGATCAAGGAGTGGTTCTGGATAGCTTAGTAAACTGTCACCAGCAGACCACATAAGGGGCATTGTGCAAGGAGACTATACTACTCTTGCCAACTTCAGAATCACTTTTCAATACTTTGATGGTGAAATACTAATGAAAATGTTCACGACATTTGTGAGACCAAAACTGGAATATGGAATATTCCACATATGGGCACCAAGCAACTGTATGGTGCCCATTCTTATGAAGCACAATTCCAGAAGAAACTGGAAAGAGTTCAAAGCCATGCTACTAAATGGCTTCAGGAAATTAAAAGCTACGAGGAGAGGCTAGAGGTGTTAAATATGCCAAAACTAGAAATTAAAAAGTAAATAGGTGATATGATGATTATGTACAAAATAATATGAAGAATCAACTAAATAGACAAGGAAGAATTTTTGAAATCTTCAGCTTCAAGAACAAGAGGCCATATATATAAGCTAAGGAAACAAAAGTGCTGAAAAAACATGGGAAAGTTTTCTTTTGCTTATAGAGTTGTAGACGTTTGGAACATGTCAAGTGAGAAGGCAGTGGATTCCATAATCATCAGTTCAATAGTTTCAAAGCAGCATCTGACAAAGATTATTATGAAGATGAGATACTATTAGCATAGCTCTCATCCTGTAATTACACTTAGGTAATTACAGACACAGTATATATATAATAATGTAACACAAATGATGCCATAAGAAAACTGCTTTCCATAATATTTGTCCACCAGTGATTAGTTCTGAAATAGAATAACTTCTTTATAGCCTCAGTAAACTTTCATTAACACATTGTTAAACTAAAACAAAGAATATAAATTATAATAACATAATTCATTAATATTGTTATCATTTATTTTCCTTTCTTAGCCATAAGATTTACCCAAAACACTGAGGGTAATTTGGAGCTTTAAAAAGGCTATTAAGCTTTCAATGTACACACCAACTACGAAACATTGTCTTGTGTAATGTAATTTTTGTAAATAATGATGCATTATGTTTATGTATACATGCATGTGTGTGTGTGTGTTTTTATATGTAAAAGCTCATGTATATTTTATATGTAAAAATGGAGACCACATTTTAGCTTCTTTATACATGTTGCGTAATGGAGTAATTAAATTTTGTAAAGTAATATTTGTAATGACATCAGTACAGTACAGTACTTCATTGGTATAATAATTAACAATAATAACAAATAAAATAATAGTATTCTCTGCTAGAATATTGTGCATTCACATAGTTGAAGTCACACTATGTAAGCTTAACTAAGATAGTGTGATCTAATGCCTGTTAATTATCAATAATTTTAATAGCATATTAAAATCTTGTAGACAAGTAAATAAGATAGAGTTAATAGACAGGGATTATATGAAATGTCTTGTTAACCCTGGACAGTTCCACCAAGAGTAACGTCACAGCACCTCTCGGAGATCCCCCTTGTGGTGGAGGGAGATGGGGTGACTATCAACTGCCCAGTTGATGCTGTGCCCTTGCCCACTATCACCTGGTTCAAGGTATAATACAATCACAGGTTAAGAACAGCTTTGCATGCATGTGTTCTTAAAGTTAGCCTTCAATTTGTATGGTTCTTGAAAGTGCAGATATGGTTGAATAGTCCTATATAGTACTAACACTTAATGTGTACAGGTAAATTTCATTGGTACACAGGCTTAGTGTAGCTCTATATTGTATGACCCACGGATCTCTCACATTCTCAGCAGTTTGTCTGGCTTCTATACATGTCATTTTATTTTAGTTTTACAAGTTGTTTTTTATTATACATGCATCATTGCACATCCTAAGATTTTTGGACTATATTATGTTTTGTATTTGTGGCTAGAAAGTGATACAGTAGCAGCGTAGTTTTTACTTGACTCGGGTTTTACAGAATTGTAACTATTATACAAATTGTAGTCTTCCTGTATATATGTTATTACCTGTATGTGCTTGCAGGTAGAGAGAATTGCCTGGGAGCTTCTTTTATCTTTTAAGTATCTGGTGCCATGTATTCTCAGTTGCAGTACAGTACAGTACTGTATAACTCTAGTGTCTACTTTAATAGTTGTGGATTGATATGACTTAAAGTACCTTTTTCTTCGGTTCATTCTGTGTTCAATGCTTAATATATTGAAGGAATAATGCCTTCCATACCTGTGGCTGATTTAGGTTTCCAGTGTCCACTTATGTTGTCTAATCCTAATTACCCACATGAGCAATCTGTACCTGTTACTTCTCTCAGTAACTGAGACTGTCATTTTTTCTTCCTTCATTACCAATGTCTTTCCTTGTTTGCTTCTCTCGGTATCAGTCTGTCCTTGGTAAGCTCTCTCAGTATCTGAATCTGTCCTTGTTTACTTCTCTCAGTATCCGAGTCCATTATTGTATCTGTATTTATGTTCAGTTGGTTTGTTTATTAAGATTGTTATTCATACTTTGAAGAAGACACATCGAAGGTGAGAGCTTAACTTTGTAAGGCCTCCCACTTAAAATTGTCAAAACATATTTACCAAATTAGCTTTGTGTTGTTCTGGCAGATTCTGTAATAACACGAAACCCTTTAATTTTATATTTAGAGTTAGCTAACATAATGAACATCTCCTGCTTGAATACCAGTATTCCATCTGAACTTTGCCTTTAAACATTTCAAAATTTAGCCACTTACTTTTTTAAATGCTTAATGAGTTATAATGGACATTTTGCTCTTCTCTACAGGATGGTCTCTCCATCTTTTCCACAAAGGATCGAGCAGACATGACTCACATAATTGTTGAGGATAATGGTCGAACTCTGCACATTTTAGAGGCAACCGTTGATGACAAAGGTAAGCTTATCAAGCTAGACATTTACCCAAAAAGTAAGTGTTTTAAAATTAAGTTAATTAGATAGTATATATATTAGATAGACAGCCTTCATTTTTGCATTTTTCATAAAGTTGTGCCATACATTTTTTGTATGGTGCAAGACTTTCTTATCGATTCTCAGAAAACGTATAAGAGAACTGGTGAGACTAGGGGTTTCTTGCATTTTCTTAAGGGAGACATGTATGGCAAGTGAATTCTTGTCCTTTCTGTTCATAAATAAAAGGTGTTCTGATGGGATGGATGTCGGGACCAGAATTCAAGTTGGATTCTGATTCAGACTCTTCCTATTTGTACTGGTCACTGTAGGAAACATATACCTAGTGCACAAAAGAACTAAGAAAACATATCCAAAATTAAAATACTGTAATTATAATAAAATAATGCCTAAGAAATGTACCTTGGTGGGAGAACTCGTCCTTCTCACTCCACTAAAGGAGGAGTTAACACAGACCACAAATACTTGAATAGAAAGAGCAGAAAATTCAAGGTTTAATTATCCTACCTATTTCTTGAGGAGAAACTGATGATTAATTTTCCTTTAGAGTTTAGGTAAATAATTAGAATTAGTCAATAATTGCTATTTATTACATAAATCTAGTAATATTGATATATACAATGTTTTATGACTTGAAGAATACTCTAAGGTGAGTGAGATTATGTACATTCAAAGCAGGAACTATGAATTACCTACCGATGAGATCACATGATATCGAGATACCAACGAGTTAAACAGATAAGATCACATACAATAAAATGAAGTCTCCACTACAGAGTAATACTCATCAATATATTATCAATACCGGAATATCTAGTCAAGAGAAAACACACAAATTCTGAACTTTTTCTAGTACTGTACTACCAAAGGCACAAGGTAAAGTTTCCCCCTTCACCATATTATTACATGAACATCAAATCTTACCAGTTAACCACAGTAGTTCAGTATTATTGCTCAAATTACAAATATACAGGATGAAATGTAATTTATCATGTAGGGTATAGGATCTCTGTGATCAATGGGTTACACGTGGTATCTACACCAAAACATATACAAGCTGCTGATCTGGAACACAAGTTATTGTAGCTAGCTAGTTATCTCTTGCATAGGTAGATAACTCTACCCTCTCTCTGCAGAGCAACCATTACCTTGAACAACCCAGCACACAGTGGACAACCATCTCTGTTTATCTTGTTTTGGTTCCAACACCAGTAGAGATTTGAATTGTTTTTGTTATGAATTCCTTTTCTAGTAGTTCATGGAGCATGTATCTGAGTTTCTGTATTTAACACTTACATTTTAATAAGGTTTCAGTCATAAGGCCCATTAATACACGTGTTAATGGTCACTCTCACAGGCATTTACCAGTGTGTGGCCAAGAATGATGCCGGGGAGACAGAGCTGCTTTTCCCACTGGAGGTATTAGTGGCACCCCAGTTCTCTCAGTTCTTTCACATCCCTGAAGTAAAGTTGATGGTGGGGGAGGAGCTAGACCTGGACTGTGACGTAACTGGTGATCCAGAACCTCAGGCAAGTTTAGAGTTACACTTCTCTTGTAAATACATACTGTATATGTATATAAAATGTTATCTAAGCACTACCTTATCTCTAGTTTTATGAACAATGATGGATATTTAATTATGTTTTGTTAAGAATATTGAAGTTATCATTTATTTAAAAAATATTTCATTGCAATTAGGCACATTTAAATATGTACTTCAATATAAAGTGAGTGTCTCATGTCTTGTGTACTAGGTATCATGGCATCATAATGGAGTTGCACAGTATGTACACGTGATGGCGGGTGGCCGGAGGGTTAACATACCCCATGTGAGGGTCAGGGATGCTGGCCTCTACACCTGCACTGCCATGAATGCAGCTGGCACCACACACAGAAACTTCACTATCACAGTCTTAAGTTAGTAACTAAATATTTATGCTTACTGATAACAGGATATAACTATTTATTCACTAAGAATGCAAATTCATATAGGATAATGGTCGATGAGGTAATTTTGTATTACCTCTTGGGGTAATAAATGGCATTTGCAGGAAACTTTTATAAGTAATTTTCACATGAGTAGGAGGCAGTACCCACTCAACCATGATGAATTAAAGGAACTCAACTAGAGGTTCTACTGACACCCAAATATAATAATAATATTTTAATGTGTCAGGGGACAGGAAGCCAGAGTGTATTCATACACTCTATATTTATATTCAATATGGGCAGGTATCTTGCATAACTAGGATTGTGGTATCGGATACTTCCATCCAAACTCCCTGTCTGGTAGTACTTCTGGCTGAAATACTTTTGATCCTGTCAGGGGCTCAGTTGGTTCTGCGCGTGGCTGGGGAGTCAAGAAATGCGAGTTCAATCCCATTTCATGACCTCAATATAGAGTACTATATTATTATTATTTGTTATTCAAAACAACTTTGTATACAAAACATACATGAATACTGTACTGTGTATCATCTCTCCAGTGGCTCCTAAGGTGGAGGGAAGTGGCAGACAGAGACAGGTAGTGGAGGCGGTGGCTGGAGGCGACGCTCACCTCAGATGTGATGTAACAGGCTCACCGCAGCCAACTGTCGTCTGGACTAAAGACAGGCAACCTGTCACTCACTTGTCAGTATAATGTGTTTCATGTAATACACAGTAATTTGAAATTATCATAGTTTATATGTACCCTGTACATCATTAGATATTTTATCAAATGTTGAGTTTGTTAAGAGAAAACACCTTGGTTAATCATTTACAGAGAGGCTTACAAAATGTCTAAGTGTGACCAGACCCATTCCAAATTTTTAAATATAAAATATTTAAAAATTTTTGGCAATTATTTGCTATATATGTATCACCAAATATTCTGAGGCTTTTTAATCTGTCTTGGTACTTGTCTATTACAGTACTACACTGAACAAATAACTTTTTCAACAAATATGTGTAGTACTACAAAAGATGTAGGAATGGTAAATTTCATTTTAAATATACAATCATTAGAATTCTAGTTTTCAATTAGTCTGCATTTTTACATGCATATAAATGCTTGGGCTCCCTATTCCAAACTTTGGAATATTGTTCCAGTAGCCAATTTGTTCAGAAATTTTAAGATATCTGAAATTTCAAGGCTTCACTGTAATAAATGTTTAGGATGTAATTGCAGGGTTAATATTGCCTGCTATTTATCAAGATGGTACCATGTAATAATATTTTTATCATCTTGATTACATATACAGTATCATATTCAATGCTCTAGCACTCACAATTAGTTACTCGGTCATTAAATCAGAGCTTTGTATTTGTACATTTATTTGTTAAAATAAGTTTTGTTATTATTAAGAGCATGTGCTCACATTCCAGAACTGGAGTGGAATACTCAACAAGAGAAGGTAACGACGAGGTGTTAACTTTACATCATGTGACACCTGCAGCTTCAGGCGTTTATACCTGTAATGCTTCCAACATTGTTGGGACTGCCTACAGGGAGTTCAACTTTACTGTCATGAGTATGTGAAACTCTCATGTTACATGATACTTTCACTTAAGATTGGACAAATGTTGGGTTACAGAATTTTTTGATTTATTTGTGTATGAATTAGAGTGGAGAAAATGGGTGTGATAGTTTGGCTTGTTTCTAGATTACCAATGTTTTAATAAATAAAAAAAATGAATTAAAAGTGTAAGTTTTTGTTCAAATTACCTGCATGTTCTCATATATTATTAATAAAATAATGAGTAAATTCTAACACAAATATTGGTCTTGTCAGAACCTCCATCAGTGAGACATATTGATGGTGGTAGTGATAATGTCGTGGAGGGAGTACAGGTGGTAGCTGGGAAGGACGTTATCTTGGATTGTGGTGTGGAGGGAATTCCTGCGCCAACTGTGACATGGATGCGTGATGGTCATACGCTTACAACTTCTCCCCGCATTCACCTTATGGCTGCAGACCAGTTGTTAATAACAAATGCCCAGGATGTAGATTCTGGAGATTACATATGCCTTGCTACAAATCGTGCAGGAACTGCTGAGAAACAATTTGATGTGCAAGTGATTGGTAAGTTGGCTGTTAAGATTTTCAAGTTTGAGAATTGATATTGCTTACAGTATTTTGTTGATATTTGTATTGTCTTGTCTGTTTTATTAGCCTAGAAATTACAAGGTGTGTTATGATGTTTGTCTATTAACTCTTAATTTCTTTTATGGAGGGAGCCCCTGGTGGATCCCTGAAACTAACTTGCTGAGATTGCAAGAACTTGCAATCTCAGGGTGCTAAATACCTCTGCTACTTGACAATGGTCATTCTTTTTACCGCCACCATGCTGCCTGCTGCGTCAGTGACATCTACGACCCTAAGTCATGCGAGGTGTGTTCTCACTGGGCCTCTGATCTTAATGATTCCTTGTTATACTTGAAAGTTTTTCAGGTGGTTGCCACTTTGTGAGCTAGGTTTGCTCGGGTTAGGCGTTTGTAGCATATTGATCATTAAGATGCCCCGGAGTTGGTCCCTATGGTGTTTAGGGACTCAGAATTGCAGGTATTGGTGATCTGAAGCCACTATCTGTGGGCCATCGGTTGTGTCTCAGTGGATGCCCTGTTGGTTGACCCAGTTTTTGTGGTTCTCTGTTCCATTTTTCATGTCATCCACAGTGTTATTAGTTTTAACAAGCCTACTATCCACCCTTAGGCCCATGATATTCACAAATATGAAGCTTTGTCCACGGTCCTGGGCTGATATTTGGGCTCGGGGGTTTGGGCATTCTAACAGATTTCTAAAGGCCCAGTATTTATTCAGCATTCATAGTCCCAGGTGGTTGTATGTTGCTTTGGACCATGTCTCTTGGCCTGATTTCTCTTCTTCATCCTAGTGCCTGCTGCCTCCTCCTTCCTGGTAAATCCCATTCTTGCTCTCTGTGGTTAGTTAGCTTCAGGAAACCGCCAAGAAGCTCCCTCCAGAAACCCAGTGTTGAATGTAATGAAAAGCCTCATTCTGGAGGAGCTCTGCTCTCCTTTAATTCAATGAAAAGCCTCATTCTGGAGGAGCTCTGCTCTCCTTTAATTCAATGAAAAGCCTCATTCTGGAGGAGCCCCGCTCTCCTTTAATTCAATGAAAAGCCTCATTCTGGAGGAGCCCCGCTCTCCTTTAATTCCGTCCCTTCCCTCCCTCCAGGTTCGTTAATTTGTTGATGAGTTGTCCATCAGCTCAAAATTGACCAGGGGAGCCACCTGATAACTTGTGCTGGGCCACCTGTTGGTAGTAACTTGTACTAACAAGCTTTGAGCTAGTTTGAACGAATTTCTTGTTCTGTATGAATCATTTGTAGAGTTGTTTGGCTGTTTCAAGACTTCATTTTTTGTGAACCCTCCAACTGTCTGTAAAGCTTTGCTGACTTTCTGAAGGCTTTTTCTGGTGGGATGGCAGATTTTCATTCATTCCCTGCACCTCTATGATGTTCTGGCTCTGATCCCCCAGTAGATCAAACCACTTTTTATGGAGCAATCACAGGAAGATAGCGTCAGGGAGCTGCTAGGGCGCCTCCAGAAAGCGACATTTCATTACATTAGTGCTGGGCTTTTTTATTTAATAATAACTGCCTTTTCAATTTATTTAACACTGTTCAATATGAATAACATTAATTTCCATCAATTATTTCAAAATTATTATATATTTACATTTTTAAATGATTAAGAGACCTACCTTCCAAATTCTATTTTGCAACAGTACCGGCAAAGATCACAGGTTCAACTGAATTGAGTGATGTCTCAAGTCCACCTCATCAAGAAGTGTTGGTAGATATGCCCTTCTCGCTCTTTTGCCCTGCCTTTGGCTCACCGCTGCCCTACATTACATGGACAAAGGTAACTCTGGTTGCATTTTTCTACTTTTTGATGATGCTTTGAAGGAAATATTATTTATCACAAACATAATAATTTATCACAAATGTGGAAAGTGTTGATTGATCTCAGTCCTTCCCCAATGATTGACATGTTTCTTGTGTCATTTTGAGACTATGCTGCTTAACTACTCACTGATTTTATCAATATCTTAACATTTTGTATTTCAAAATTTGACTCTTAATTTTTAATTATTGAAATTGTTAAATTATCAAAATTACTTTATGCATTTCTTAGTACTATAATCTCGAGTATTAACAAAAAAATTGTTGTTTTTAGCATAAAGTAGTTTTAATTTAATTAGGATGATATCGAGATGAGGTAATAGTCATTTACTGAACAGTATTACTAACGTGGATTTCAATCTAATTAATAAAGTTAAGTTCATATTTCTTTCAAATTCATACCATATTTTTCTTCTTTGCGCAGGATGATGCTCCACTAGTTGGCCTCTTGGGCACTGGTCTTGATGGTCGGCTTAATCTTGGTGAGGATGGTCGCCGCCTCTTAGTGTCTGGGGCAGTTGTTGCTGATTCTGGCACATACACCTGCACTGCTGAGAATAAAGGCGGCAAAGATTCTGCATCTTATGACGTTGTTGTTCTAGGTCAGTTACAAATAATATAGCTATATACTATAATTTAAAATGTATACTGTATGTTATATAATGGATTTTTGTAAGCATAGGTTAACTGTGTGTACTGGGAAGGAGTGGAGACATACAATAGATATACTAGTACAGTGCTATAAAAATATACTAGTACTGTACTATAAAAATTTGCCTGTGATTCACCTTATGGACAAGAAAACATGCAAGGTATAAATGCATTTTGCAGCTCCTCCAATGATTGTCCAAAACACGGACACTTTCTACTCAACTGTTGAGGGTGAGGAGGTGATTCTTCAGTGTGAGGTGGAGGGGGATCCTTCCCCAGCAGTAGTTTGGTTACAGGATGGAGTACCATTATTGGACTTGGACTTGCTGGGTGTGACGATTCAGGATACCTTCACCAGCACAAGTGATAATGTGACAAAATCTAATGTAAGTTTTGAATGTACTATTTTATTTTTGGCACGTCCTTGGAGTTTACTTCAGTACAGTATGTAATAACTTCAGTAAAGCAAGGATAATTTATTTATTGGTTTTAAAGATTAAATCAAATGAATAATTTAAAATAGATATAATTTGTTCAGCATTCAGAGTACCTATAGCCAAAACAATACTAAGACATTATAAATCATCTATTTATTCCTGACTGTGAATCAAACTAACTAAACCTGAATTTCTCCTCTTACTTAAATACATTTCCAAATACTGTAGAGTATTTCATATTTAAACAGTCAGTTGTAAGGATCTCTTCAGTGAGTGAAGTTCACGCTGGGTCTTACACATGCATAGCCAGCAGTGTGGCGGGAGCCGACGAGTTATCTTACATTGTGCGAGTGGCCACAGTTCCTCGCCTAGAGGACGACGTAACCAATACACAACTCACTGTTCGTGTTAATCGTCCTGCAACACTCACCTGCCAAGTGCAAGCCACACCTCGGCCACAGTTCTTCTGGTTCAAGGTACGAGTACGGTGTCTTTGTGTTCAAGTCAGAGACTTTCCCTGTACAAAAGAGTTTTGAAAATCAAATTTTACTAGAAGGTTTATTAATTTATATAATCTGTTCTCTTGTGCTCTTCCATTAAATATACTTCATTGGAGCAATTTTGAACCAACATTGTTCTAACATTGTGTACTTACTGTGAGTTGCTATTTTTGTTTAATTTCATTATCATAATCCCATTTTTAATTTTCATGAGATAGGAAGGCATCATCCTAGAAGATGTAGTGCACTATAAAAAAAAAGAATGTTAAAAAAATGCTAAAGAGAACCTATCCATTCACCAAATCTTTTACACTTAGTACTGCAGCACAATACAGATAGCAGAAGACAATGTCCAACAGGGATGTGCTAGAGAGAGAGAGAGAGAGAGAGAGAGAGAGAGAGTCAGAAGTGAGTACACCAGAGTCTGAAAAGAAGCAGTTTGAGAGTACGGTAACTGTAGTAAAAGGAAAAAACCTGCTCAAATTGTTCCACGGTCACATATGAAGTATAAGAGTAGTAAAGGATAGTATAATTAGGCTAAGGCTATATCACAATCGACTTGAGAATGGTCCAGGACGGACCGAAACGTCGTCGTCCCTTCAATTTCTAGTGTGTGGTCTGGTCAACATTAGGCTAAGAAGATATAGAAATGTCTTAATGGTAGATGACATGAAAGTCATTTGAGAAACTTATGAGGTTTGAGTAGGTACTGTTTACTAAATAATATGTTTGAGACTGAGAGTGGAAGAAGATAGACATGCACGTATAACACTGGACAACATTGTAGTTATTGAGGTGATAAAGACACCTGGCAGAACTAAATGTAATAAAGGCAGAAGCATGAGACCTGGTTCTTTGCAAATGATTAATAAAATTAATAAAAGCGCTTGAGTAGTATTTTGTTAATTTGATTGGTGAACTAGGCTAAAATTTTTGCAGCCATTTTTATGAGTGTAGTACATTATTGTTTGATTTATTCAGTTTAATTGTCTTTTCTGTGTTCAGAACTCTCTTCCACTAGAAGAAGGTGCCCCAAATGTGCATTTGAGAGCAGATGGAAGAGAACTAACACTTCTACAAGTAACGGAAGATGATGCAGCCAACTTCTCTTGTTTAGCTGTCAATGAGGCAGGCGCAGTCATCCTTAATTTTACTCTAGAAGTTCATGGTATGAATGCAGTTTGGTATTTATTTATTTATTTATATATATACAAGAAGGTACATTGGGATTGTGAGGATACATAGTATAGTAATTACAATCTTGTAAAGCCACTAGTATGCGCAGCGGTTTGGGCAGAAACGTATTATCTTGTGTTATGCAAATTTTCAACTTTATGACTTTCATATAAAAATATCGAGAAGATTGGCATCTTCAGTGCACAAATACTGTGCTTATTAAAGAAACTGTTTTTACAGAGAGATGAACTGGCAAAAGAGGGCAAACAAGCTTTTTAGCCAAGTAAAAGACTTATGTCCCCATTGTCAATAATGGAAATCAAATTAATCCGTTCTACCACCGAAAAACAACAATATGATATTCAACGTTTCAAATAATGGAGCAGCCTACCTTACATACACTGAACAAACCTTTATGACATTTTTCTTCAAATTTGTTCAATATTTTTTTCATTTGTCTTATAGCAAAGGGTTCGTTCGGTGTTCGGCAGGTAGACTGCTCCATGTTTCTTAAATAAAAAAAAATTAAAGAATTTGAAAAACAGAACAAATGTCAAAAAGGTTTGTTCGATGGTCGGAAAGTAGGCTGCTCCATGTTTCTTAAATAAAGAAAAAAAAATAAAAAGAAAAAAACGGTTGAAACAATTTGAAAAACGGACAAATGCCATAAAGGTTCGTTCAGTGTTTGTCGGGTAGGTTGCTCCATTATAGCAATCTTTCTTTGTGTCAAATGTGTTCCATTTGTTTTGTATTTTTCATTTACGTCTCGATAATGGAGCAGCCTACCCGACAATATTTCTTATTTATTTCTAGAAGTGCTAGTGAAAAGATATCTAAATATCTTTAGTTCTATCTTGCTCTTGTTAGACCCCATTTAGATTATGCAGCTCAGGTTTGGTCGCCATACATTAGAATGGATATAAATTCATTTGAATACGTATGAAAAAGAATGACAAAGATAATCACAGGAATGAGAAATTATAAAATCTTAATTTACAATCCCTAGAAAAATGAAAGTAAAGGATGACATGATGGAAGTACCCCTTTAAGCTTATATGTTATTCTCCGAAATTTTTATGTTACGCCTCTCAGTGGGTCTGCATATTATTGGCTTTATGTATTGTACTGTACATGCCTTACCTATGAAATTCTTCACTTCACTATTCATGTATCATTTGTATGTACTCTTGCATAAAAAATAATTATTTATTTATTATTATTATTATTATTATTTTTATTTTTATTATTATATTATATTACAGTATATAGATGGATAAAAGTGTACAACAAAGGGAATATAAATAAAGTTTGAAATTTATCAACACAAAATTGAACTTGTAACAATAAATATAAACAGGGATGTTGATTTATAGAAGTTGGAGATACTTTCTTTTTCATTCATTCTTAACAAAATATTTCCTGCATTCATTCCACATGTTACAAGGATTCAGTTGTTCACAGTCTTTCTTTTCCCTGTGATCACTATCAACACTTGTACTTGTTTACCTCTAACACACTTATTACACTTGGGTAACTACCAATTCTCTCATTTAATAGCAGCATATTTTGTTTAGCTCCACCCCGTCTAATGGAAGAGGTGGACGAGGCATTACATGTGACCTCTGGGGAAGATGCAGAGTTCTTTTGCCCAGTCCATGCCACACCAAATCCATCAATTCTCTGGATGAAGGATGCCAGCATCATGCAACAGACTTTTACTGCATTGTAAGTTGTCTGCAAAACATATTGTAAACATTGTCATGACAGAGTATAGAATACATAATTTCTTTATTGATGAGAATGTAATAATTTAAGGAAATTGAGTGTCTAATTGGCTGATGTAACCACAGTATTTATTTTTAAATTTTTTTATTCACTTGATTAATGTTGTGTAAAAAGTATAGTATTTTGGTGTTTTTATCATAGGGATCCTCGAAAACTGTTATTGGTGAATGTTAGCAAGCAACATGATGGACGTTACACTTGCCTGGCAACCAATGAGGCTGGCACGCTTGAACAGGATTTTACACTTCGTGTTATGGGTTAGTAGCAAGATGTAAGAGATGGGTTACTATGAATTGTTTAATTTTCAAGTTAAAGTAACTAAGACTTTAATACCTCAAGAATTTAAAGTTAAAGTAACTAAAACTTTAATACCTCAAGAATTTAAAAACACATAATTTAAGCAAATCACTAGATTGGAAAAAATATTGGGTATTAAAAAAAAAAAATCTCGGTTTAAATTGTGATATATTTCACACATAGAATTCAGTCTTTGCAGAGTCTTGCTCAAAGATGTACAGTCACTTCGACCTATATCAGGGCTATTTTGCTTTACATCAATTATGAGGGAAATGTTATAAAACATATTTTTTGACAGTTCCACCTCGATTATTGAACATGGACACTCCTGTGATGGAAAAGTCAGTGGTAGTTAATCGACCAATTACCATCACATGTTTCATTGTTGCTGACCCTCCTCCATCGATATCTTGGCTTAAGGTAAGCATCTCCATGCTACTACCAATTTCAAATTAACCTTAGACTCTGACATCTCTTGATATGTCTTGTGTAGGCATTTACCTACCTTGTGGTTACCTTTCATTGACACACAAACAATATTGGATAACATCATAGATATTGAGAAGGAATGGAAAAAGATACTAAATGGAACTAGATACAATAAAGATAGTTGGTCCAAACTAGATATCAGGCTGAAGGGTGATCTTAGAGGCCAAAGAGCTAGTCAGGCAATTAGCAGCAACTAGAGTGCTGTTGTTGAGGGTTGCATCCTGGGATAGGTCAGCAATTTGCCTAGGAGACCTCGATAAGCCTAAGTACAGGCTTCCTGTCCCCGACAACAGGAATTCTCTGTTTCTCCCATGGCTACTAAATAGATGAGTACTCATAGGTAAGTACAGTACATGTGCACTCATGGAAGCACTTTAAGAAATTGGAATAAAGGGGCATTTAGTACATTATTTGCTACCAATGTGCAGTCAGTGCAATAATATTAATTTCTAATGGAACCTACATCTTATTAATCACAAAAAGGAATTTTTAAAATGTCAAAGTTGCCACAAGGTTAGAACCAGAACTTAGAGGGCTAGAGTATGAGGATAGACTAAAAGAACTATACCTGGTATTGGTGGTAAGTGAAGGAGAGGATCCTGGTTGATGCTAGAAACATATTGCATTTTTTCGGGCAAAACATTTGCCCGAAACGCATTGCGTAATAGTGGCTTTAGGCATTGTATGTACTAGCTCTATCTATATATCAATCCATTAATGTAACATCACTTGTATGTATGTATGTACCTTACCTGAATAAACATATTTATTTATTTATTTATTTATTTATTTGATTCAGTAGGGACATTAAGTATTCCTTCAGGGTATAATTACTGAACAAGTTGAATGAGCTAGAATTGGAGGTAGTGGATGCTAACTCCACTCACAGCTTTAACTGTGGATATGACACAGCACAAGAGGCTCAGGAGTTATTGGGTCAGTGTGTGGAATGCATTGAAAGGCTGTTGAAACCAATAACATCCACAACTTTATAAAATATAATGAAAACCTTAATGTTGAGAGGTATAAATAGCTAGTAGGTGGGGTATAATGAGCTTGATCTCGCACCCCATAGTCACTGACAGGTAAACATTGATGGATATGTAATTAACCACTGCACTGCGCAAAGCGCCTTTAGGCGCTCAGAGAGTTGTGCTTTTTGTTTTTTAATTTGGCTATATTTTAATGTTTTTTAATGTTTTCATTACTATTTGTGTTTTGAAATGGAAATAGTTGACTTTGGAAACATTTTGACATTAAATTTACCTGAACATTTGTTGCTGTTCACTTTCCTTTCCTCACTTTCCTTATGTACATTCTTGTATATGCATAAATAAATAAATAAATAAATTTGTAAAAATAACAAAAATATGTCCTTGACAATTGCACCAAGACGTTTTTGCCGAAAATAGGTGAGCAGTGCAAGGGTTAAGTGCCAGAGGCTTTACGATGATGTAGTTGGAAGGAGAGGGGAAAGAGAAGCTGGAAGCTCTCACTTCCTGATAGCATAACTAAACGAGCTCTCAATCACAAACACATTCATGGAAGCGACATATATATTGTTTTGTTTTAATTTCTTTCTGAAATATTTAAACTTATTATATACTGTATTACAGTACATTACATTATACTATTAAATAAAAAATGTGTGATGATAAAGTAGCTGATTAAATATCCTAAGTTTTACTTCTTTTGTATATTTTTGTAAACATTCACAATTATGTACAGTATTGTATTTCTCTGTAAGCTTTCTTTTATTGCTTTAGGATGGGGAGCCGCTGTCCTCTCTCTCATCCGACATGAGCATTGACAATCGAGGCCGCCATCTGAACATCTTTCAAGCCCGGCTGGTGGACAGCGGCAACTACACCTGTCAAGCTACCAATGCTGCTGGCACCACCAACCTCACTACTCTCTTGTCTGTTCAAACTCCACCATTATGGAACAGTGTATGTTTGGTGAACTTGAGTATAGAAATTAATAAGCAATTTTTATGTAAACTGTATATATTATTGAACATGGACATATTTACATACTTCAATGGCACTTGCTGTGTTTTGTGGGTCTTTTCTAAGCTTCACTTACATTGTAGTGCTACTTGCTGGTCTGCTCCGTCACCGCTACCATCAACCACATTGTAGTGCTACTTTCTTCTTTGCTAGAAGCTTCGTGCATGCTGATGTCAATCCTCATTCCTTCACACATTTTTGTACATGTTATTGACATGATCAGTCCCACTGACATTTATATACATGCTGAGGGATTCAGCTCCTTCCTCATTTTGGGATTGTTAGAAGATGGATGGAAGCCAGGGTGTGCCTTATAGCTACTGTACTTGGTGCCTTAGTTCCAGTACCCTGTCATGCTTACTCTTGAAGCTGTGAAAGGGGGTTGCTTCCACCTTCTCTGGCTTAAGTTAATTTTCAGGGTGGTGGTGTTGTGATCAAAGGTTTTGGGAAGTCAGATCTTAGTGATTCCGACCTTCTGTTGTTTGAAGTTGTTTAAAGACGATCCTTTGTGTAGTTTGAAGGCGAGTCTCTTCCACACACTGTAACAGTCTCTAATGATATCTTGTTACAACATGTTACAAAGTTGTTAAATCTTGTTATAAAGTTTTTATGACATGTTAGAAACTTGTTACACCTTGTTAGATAGTTGTTACAACTTGTTAGGAGTTACACCTTGTTTGAACATTGTAGTTTCCTCGTGTGTGTGGCGGGTTGGTATCTTCAGGTGCCGTATTGGTGTTAGTAGGAAAGTAGGAAGGTGATCAGTTTCTGTCAGTGATTATATTCGATTTCAAAGGGTGACATATTTATCCATATGTGGTCGTTTTGTTAACACATTCATGTTGTGTAGTGTAAGTGGCAACTGCTTTACATTTATGGTAGCCAAAGCAGCATGTAGGATTCATAAGCAACATTTCAGGTGCTTATTCAGGAGTCTTTAACACTTCAAGGCATTTAAATATCCTGGGGAACTTCTATGTGTGACTGTTGAGGAGGGAAAATTCCAAGAGGGGACATGGCAAAATGATTTAGATAAAGTGGTAGATTAAATATTATATGATCATGAAATTTTTATTGTGTATATCATAATAATTATGCATTGCTATTTATTTTTCTAGCCATGAACGTAGTTTTCTAGCTAGCTGAATATGGGTTAACCAAGTGTAATAAGCCTTTCATAATAATATAATAAAGAAACTGTTATCAATTCATATTTATTACATTAATTGGTTTTGCAGGACTCTGACTTTGAGAAAGAGGTTGTGGGCATTGGTAAACTTGATCTCGATTTGTACTGCGATGTGACAGCCATTCCTGTTCCCTCGGTGCTGTGGCTAAAGGATGGACAGCTATTAACTCCATCACCTGGAAAATCTCAACTTGCACAGAATGATAAGTAAGTGATACATGTAGATTGGGCATTCAGAGAATCATGTTCTTTGTTAAGAAAATGAATAGGGTAAGGAATTAAATTATAATGGAAAGATGTGGAGCTCAAAAGTTGGTAGAAGCAAAATGAGATGAGTGTGTGAAGATGGTCTGATCTTGTTAAACAAATAAACTGATAAACATAGAGAGTATTAAAGTGACTTTGAGGGAAGGAGGGGAAAAAGGGAAAAATTAAATAAAACTTGAGACATTTCAAATAATTTGTTAAGAGTCTCATGGGATTGCCTGAAAGATTTGTTACAGTTTTTCAGATACACTGTACTGGTTTGATTCTCATAACAGTGAAGCTTTTGCCACTTGCTAGCACTAAGAAACCATAATGGATGAGAAGAATGACGGCTGACAACGATTATCATATGCAAGAGACGAAATTAAGTATTAATATAGAAAGAGTGGGCCCTTTTACTTTCCTCAAGACAGTGCTTCCATTAGGGATAAAGCTTAACTGATCTGTAATCAGTAATATACTTCAGGGTATGCTTAAGTCAGATTGTATTAATCAGATTTTTATAAAGCATCTTGTTGCATTGCAGGATAGGTTCTAAGATATGGCTTGGACCTTTGTTTATTGTTATTTTGTTTGTTTAACTTGTGGTGTTTTATATACTGTAGATTACTACAACTGATGTCATTGGAAGGGAGTGACAGTGGGCACTACACATGTGTTGCCAGTAATGCTGCAGGTACTGCTGAATATGACTTTGAGTTGACTGTGTTGGCACCACCAACCCTTGTTTATCAGCCACAGTTGGAACACACAGGTATTTTTGTTGAAGTATTAATGTTATTTTCACTAAAAACTAAGTTATTCAGCTTTTAGCTTCAAATAAATCTCTGAATTATTGGATAAGGTATGTGATAATTAGCATCTCATCCTGTATATAATAATAAGAAATTAGGTACAGAACAATATTTAAAATTTTTTGAAAAAAAATGGTCTTTCTTCTTGTAGTGTTGGTGAATCGTGCTCTATCACTTGAGTGTCCAGTAGAGGGAATGCCTGAACCTGCTATTGATTGGATAGTAGATGGCCAACCTGTCACATCCTCTGGCCAGTATGTTAGTTTGTCTACCACTAAAACTCAACTGCATCTATTCAGGTATGATCATTAAAATTAAACTTTTCAAATGTTCTCACTCTTCTTAAACTTTCCATTTGTTGTTTTCTTCTATTTATATTTAAGAGCCAAGATCCTTTGTACGCTGCATGTGCCAATGTCTACACAATCCATCCAAGACTCTTACAAGTACTGTTCTGTACCACCAAGTGTAACTATCCACCATCAAACAGTCAGACTAAAGAGGGATTAGTTCTCTCAATACTTCCTGCCAGTGGTGATTAAAATCATATTAAAACAAGCTATCATCACTCTGCTAACTACTAGTTAGCAATCAAAAGATACAGTTTGTATCTCTTGTTTTGTGTTCATATATTTATCACTTTATTAAAACTCCCAGGGTTACACAGGGCACACATCCGCTTCGTCAGGCTTCCAGTAAATTGATGCCATCTTGAAAAAAGAGCAGTGTAAAAGATTTAGGAGTAATCATGTCAGAAGATTTTACTGTTAATGAACACAACAAAGTAGTTGTCACAACTGCAAGGAAAATGACAGGTTGCATAACAAGAACCTTTCAAACAAAAGGTGCCACACTTTTAACAGAAGCACAAAAGATGATACTTTTAAGGCAGCAGTACTCTCTAGAGTGGAATATTATTGTATACTAAGAGCACCATTCAGAACTGGAGAAATTACTGACCTGGAGAGCATGCAGAGATATTTTACTGCTAGAATCATCAATAAACGATAAAAATTTTAAATCTGTATTTATGAAACAGCCAGATAGCCAGATCAGAAAGAAGCATTTCATTACATCCTATGCCTGATTTTTGTATACTATTTTTAGCTTGTACACAAATATTAATACCTACACTATACTGAAAATACTGTTCTTATACATTGCAGAGTGCAGAGCACAGTCAGTGGGCAAATTTCATGTGTAGCAAGTAATGCCGTGGGTGTCCTGATAACTAACTACACCATTACTGTGTTGACTCCTCCTTCCATCTCTGCTACCCCTGCCAGTCGTCATGCCAAGGTGCAAGAGGGAGATGTTCTCACCCTCTCCTGTAAGGCACATGGCCAGCCAACACCACAGGTGCATTAATAGAATTATGTTCAGTTAAACTGTTTTTCCCAAAAACTCTATGGTGGCCATACAATATCTGAAGAATTAATTTATGTACCAGCCTTTACAGTTACTTTACTTACTAACCTTTCTATTTCATATTGCCTTATCACTTTCACTTCTAGAGAAATAGTAAAAAATTATAGGTTTAGCCTTAAATACAGTACTTTTGCTAATGCCATATTCAACACAGAACACTTCTCGGGACTCCGGTCTCCACCTTCTTAATTATTTCAAATTTCTTCTCGAATGTCATCACTGACCTCTTTCTTTTACGTATCCTGCTTGTTGATGCTTTCACTGACACAATGTGTGTGCATTTGGAGCTGACATGGTGCACGAATGTTCCTTGATTGTGCAGATATATCCAACAAAAGTCACGGAATGAACACTCCAGTCTCGTGACAAATCAAAACAATGGGAACAATGGGCTGTGAATCTGTGACGTCACAAGGTAGAAGGCACTAGGGTGGCGCCCAACATGGTCAGTGGGCAAACTAGGCCATCTCCCACCCACCACCCCAGGCTGGCACGAGGCCTGGTGGACAGCCTATTTTTACTGAGTGCCTCCATTAACTTTGAAAATAAACACAGGGCAGATATTATAATTCTGATGAATATTTCTTAAAATCCAGGCCTACTAAACCATCTCCTGGGAGATGCAACTTTACAAAGCCAAGAGATAAGTACTTTAATGGTTGTTGGCTTGTTTATGAGAATTACTGTATAATGCAGTCGTACTGTTTGCACAGTAAAATGAAAAAAAAAAGAAAAAAATTGACATTCATAAATTGTATATTCTTGCACTCGGTAAATAGAACATTCCATAAAGTTAACTTATTGTTAATTACACTAACTTAATTTTTGATCAGGTAGCATGGGTAACAGCAGGTGGTAAGGTACTGAATGAGAGCGAGCTGTTTGCCTCTGGGCTTGAGGTACAGGACGACGGCCAATCACTGGTGGTATTGGAGGTCAATGGGGAGCATGAGGGCCGTTACACATGTATTGCTTCCAACTCAGCTGGCTCGGCTGAGGAGTCCTTCTTTGTCCAGGTTTTGTGTAAGCATACATCTTATTCATGTAGCCAGCATAATCTTGTACTTCTTTCATTATGATAAGGTTGTATATCAGTTCATTGTGATTATATTTTGATAAACATTTTACAGAAGTTAAGATATCCATTGGTAGAATGTTGGAAAATATTAGTTAGCATAAGGATTGGTAAAATTACAGACACTTATAATTTTTCTTGGTAATTCAAAATTCTGTATGAAGTTATTATCATGTCTCAAGTGCCACCTGTGATTGAGCTACCAGAGCATGGGACAACGCGGGTGTTGGTGCAGAGCTCGTCTGTTACTCTGCCATGTTTGGTGGATGCTCGACCTCCTGCAACAATCTCCTGGTTAAAGGTGTGTACATTTTGAAGTAATATTAAAATATAGCAGGCATTTACACTTACAATTTTTTCAGTCGAATTTAGTGTAAATTTCATCCAGTTTTGCAAACACTAATATTTGGTAGCTTTCTGTTATTTGCTTTGTTTATGGATATTTTTTGCAAATTATTTTTATATATACTTTCATTTACTGTAATGGACTGAAAGCTCATTAACTATTTTGGTAAAAGTTTTATAGCACACACAGACTTGAAAAATACCAAATTAACCAATTTTATTCATGCTTCCTCATCCTACATGATAACCTGTGTTTTGCTATTATGAATATTAAATGATATATCTGGACTGTTGTTATAACTACAATTTCTATATTTAAGTAGTCTATGCCTTTCATCATTAAATATAACTTAAAAATTGTGAATTATATGATAAATTTCTTTATCAGTTCAAATATATTAGCTATTCTTTTGGGTATTCAGTGTAACCCCATTGAACTTAAATAAATTACTTATTTAGCTAAGTTATGCCCAAAACACACTCCATATCAGTGGCATTATACAAATTACTTTGTGTTCCTGTAATTATGAAGTAATAGAAAATTGAATGACAGTCTTGTTTTTTGTTAAGAGATCTATTAAGAGTGAGTTGTAATCTTTTCTCTTCTTGATGGAATCAGAATGGTAAAGCGTTGGAGGTAGGAAGAGACCACTTTCTGCATTTAACAGGCAGTGGGGAGTACCTTAACTTCTTGCGGGTCCTGCCACACCATGCAGCCAATTACACTTGTGTAGCTACAAGTGTCGCTGGCAAAGATTTCCTCACTTACGACGTGCATGTTACAGGTAAGATTTTAAATGTTCTTTGTATCATATAACATATATTATAATTCATGTTTATACAGTAAATATATATAGTAGATTTTTCTCAATTATTCTGCTTGTCTCTCTTTGTCTCTACATCTATATATTTTTTTCTACTCTGTATATCTACTGTATTTGCATGCATATAAACTGCTCTCAGTTCTAAACTGCAAGGTTAATTTTGAATATTTCATGTACTGTCAGTAAGTCAGTACTATATAGTAAATCATAAGACTGTGGAGGGTTTGCTGAGATAATTTAGTCAAATTGAATACAATAAATGAATGATAAGAGAGGTAATGGATGTATTTGTGTGAATTTAAAGGTAGGAAGTGAAGAAGGTAAAGAAAACAGGCAGATATGGTGAATGAATGTGTGAGGAAGTAGCATGCAGGGCCACTTAATCTGCCTGGCTGTGTGTGGTCCTGCAGGAGACAAACTCTGCGCACCGCACTACTGCTTCAGTGAAGACAAAAAGTTTTGTATAATATACTTAATATGCAAGGTTGTTTAAAAGTGTAGTTTTGAAAAAAACAGCGTTGAATGTAATGAAACGCCATTTTATGGGTGAGTCCCGGAGGCTCCCCGGAACTATCCAGGCTCCGGGAAACCGACGGGGTTCCCCCCCCCCCCCACATAGATAATATGTTGATATAAGGTTGAATTTGTTATGGTATAAAAGTTAACATTATTTTTGTATTGTTATTTTTAGGAATTGGAATCTATAAATGGTATAATCTTGGTTTACAGTTCCTCCAGTGATTATTGAGGATATGGTGGAGAACATCATAGGAGGGGGTATTGGTGGAGAGACTGTTGGTGTGGTTGGTGGCGAGCTGGACTTAGAATGTTACACTCTCGGCACGCCCACACCCACACTCTCTTGGGCTAAGGATGATGAGGTAAGTGAAAATACAAATCTATTCATATGTGCAAACTTAAAATATATTTACAAATGTACCAGATGATTATGTAGAAATACTTCTTCAGTGTACTCATGCTAAACAAGTTATATTCATTTGAGGAGGATGTAGGAAACCAGCTTCATCCATAGCTTCAAAAGTAGATACAAGAAAGTGCTATAGAACTGAGAGTAAGAATTGCACCACACAGTTAGGTATGTACTAGAAGTAGTCCCAAAATGTGCAAGAAGGCTTGATCCTCAGTTGAGGGGCCTGAATTACAAGAAAAAACAATAGTTGAAGCTAACTTAATACATAGTTTAACTTTAAATATGATAATGAAACCGAGAGGGTACTGAGTCAGTGCAATGAACTGCAAAATGTTTGAAAGACGAGCTCAGAGCTAATGCTCATCCTTGCATAGCACACATGTATAAGGTGAAATCAGCATGCACGTATTACTATGCATATGTAAACACATGTTAATACTACACACACATGAAAGGCTAAGGAATGTATTTTTCTTCATTCTTTTTTTTATGCTGAAAATTAAATTATATTAGCAAACATATGCAAGCTTTTTGCTGTGTCAAACCTTTTACTTTTTTGTTTTTAATGATTGATATTGGTATTAAAGAAATATAGCTTTCAGACCAAAGTCTTGGTAATAATTCAGTAAATTATCAAGTTTTGATGCACTCACCAGTTTGCATTATCAAGATCATCTGGTGATATGGTTCTCAGGATGTGAAACCAACTGAACGGCTGACAATATTTGAGGATGGACAAGTGTTGAAGATTCAAGATGCTCAGACAGATGATTCTGGTCGCTACACATGCACAGCCACCTCTGCCTCCGGCGTGGCTTCCAAGGATTTTGTGGTCATTATTCACAGTGAGTACTAAAGTGTTAGCAGCTGAAAATTGCCATTACATTTTGTTTTCTGTATTTATTTTCACTTGCATTAAAAGAAATGGAGTCCTGTATTTTGCTTATTTCTGAGCTTGACCTTTGCAACACAAGCCAGAGTCATGATCTTGGACAATGCTAACACATGCCAGGTCCTCTTGGACTCTCAGCCCCACCACAAAAAATAGGTGGGACCTATTTTTCAAGACCACCTTTTCAGGTGGTCTTGCCACATACTCCAGGGGCTGTTAGACAGTAGAGAGCCTAATTTTAATTGTATATGCCATATTGAGATAGCTAATTAACACTCTGCAAGCTGTAAATGAACAAGCAACCATCTGACTGCCACCCAATAGCAGCCAGGTCACATTACAGGATTAGGGGAGTCAGCTAATTCACTTTGTGCCTGCTCAGTAAGTCACTCATTATTCTTGTTTTTTTCCATTGAGCTGGCTTGTAGAGCATCCAAGGCTGCCTAGATTAGAAATATATTATTCAAGTATTGAAATGCACATACCCGAACAGTCCCTTGTTGCTTCCGTTCCTGTGCATGTTTAGGTACCCTGGGCCTTAAGTGAGATTATCTAATAAGTCAATCATGTATGGTGGCCACCTGGTTGCAATCAGATGGTGAAAAGTGTCATTTATCACTTGTAGGAAGAGTTTAATGTTTTGATCTGTTCTTTGGCATCTGTCTTGGTATATGTGTTTTAGTTCTGCTTTCCAGCATCTTTCCATCCTTGGATTTGACAGTAAGACTATTTGAAAAGTTAATTGTTGCAGTGTGGCTCAGTCAATGAAAACCAGGCATGAATGAATCATCCTGGGTGGGTCAAGGTACTGGCTGGGGGAGGATGGGGCAACTATGAGGCTGCTCTTAAAGGGGTATTTCAATTCAACCCAATTTTGGCCGGATTACCCAAATATTCAATTCAGCGTGCTTCGGATAACTGAGCTCACACTGTAATTGTTCTGTTTATTTTTTAGAATGATGTGTAGTACAGTACAACTTTTTTCAATCCTCACATGATTTTAACCTATGAGTTGTTATTGTCTTTCAATAACATTGAAAATATATTCTCCAGGTCCACCTCGCATTATATCTCCTTTAGAGAAGACTCTGGATGTTGTTCTGAATCAGCCATTGGTACTGACTTGTGAGGCTGAGAGTACACTAACACCAGCAGTGTCCTGGGTCAGACATGGACGACCAATTACTCCATTCACAAATGCTAACTATCAGGTTAGTTAAGAAGTTGTATTTTATTACACTATTCAAAATGTCAGTCAGGAAACATTACCATCCATTTTCTCAGCCAAATCTTATTCAAATGATGTTAAACCTGATTGATTAGAGTGTATAATGCTGACAGTGATGGAAAAAATCAAGAATTTAGCTAAATTTACCTGATGGCAACAGTCTCTAGTAGCCTCCACAAGGACAAGGAGGTCTCAACATGCTTCCTGAAGACTTTTTTCAGCTTTATTTTGACTTGAAGCAGTCTTAGTATTTAAGACTGAGTTCAGTAGGTAAGAGAGTTCATGGATTTATTACCCATTAAAAAACATCTTTTGTTGCTTCTCCTAAATTTTGGTTTGGTGGCTTAATAATTGATACAGAGTATAGTATATATATTTAATAAAGCCACTAATATGCAAAGCATTTTGATCCTGTCTCCCAGTTGGTCTCATAAGGTCTGGTGCAATTCTCCAAGTCTTGTCAGCTCCAGACTGACAAGACTGGAGAATATAATATATAATATTCTGTGTACTGGTAGAGTAACTTTACTACTAGTTCAGTTTTTAGCTCTGTCTAAACAAATTCCAATACAATACAGTGAGGTACAGTATTTGCAGATTGCAACAAAATTCAAATTACTGTACAACTAATATGGAAATGTGTGTGTAACTGAGCATAAGCCTGTTTATGATGGTTGTTGCATGTTGCTGATTATATTATATATTGTATATACTGTGTCAGATCAGAGCTGGAGGACACGAGCTGCATTTGCGTCGTGTTCGCAAAGGTGATGGTGGCCCCTTCACATGTATTGTTGTCAATGCTGCCGGTCAGGACACCCTCACCTATACCCTCACTGTTCAAGGTGTACCCACACAAATGGATCCAAATTTTTTTACTAACAAAAACTGGATATTGGTTGTGTTGTTTTACCAATAATTTTAACCAATGCCTTATTTTCTTTTGCAAATATTAACGCTGCTCAGATCAGATGTGTGTGCACTTAACTGTGTTTATTGGGAGTGGGCAATAGTACACCACCACTGATCCCACCAAGGGGATCAGTGGTGTTGCATGTTGAATCAATGTTAATTCAACGTTGATGACATTCATTCGGCATTGAATTGTCATTGCTTTTGGATATTGTGCCCATTATGGGGTTGGAAAGGGAATTAGAAAAAGATCTTAGGCTTTGCCAATTAACTATCAGGTACCTTGTTCTATTAATCCTCTTCATTTTGTAAAGCTCTGTTATGCCTGCTCTTAAAGCTAAGAATGTAGGCCGCTTCCACTGTCTTCATTCATAGTTTATTTCACTAACTTATAATCCTCCCTGCACACAAATACTTTTTTATACCTTTGACTTGTTTGTGTTTATAATTTATAACATTTCATTCAGTCATCCCAAACATGGAATAGTGTCTTTGTCACTTATCTCTTTCCCCTCAATATTTTGTATACTGATCATATCTCATCCAATCATTCTTCTGATGCTAGGTTGACCCCCAAAGCCAATCTTCAATTTGAAGTTTATGGATAACAGAAGTTATGGGAAAGAGAGCTGGATAGAATGGTAGGAAGATATAGAAGAATGATAAGAATGAGCTAAAAACTGCATGATAAGAATGAGCTAAAAAAAACTGCATGAATATGAATGGGAGAGAATAGTTTTCAAGTTAAGGAAAAGGAGGTAAGAGCATAAGAAGAAAGAAAGTGACAGGTGTTGGTGATCGAATAACATAAAGAGCTTGCTCTTGTGATAACAGGAAAATTATTAACAAAAAAATCTGTTGCAAGAATTGTTTGCTGCATTAATAAAACTGAGAATTTTGTTCTTAGACAAATCATAAAATGGTCAGTTTGAATGGCTTTGGATAGTACTAGTATATTAAGCCCTCAATTTGCATGGGGGGGGGGATTCTGTTAAAACAGAGTGACAATTAAAGCTGCATAGTTTCAACTTAAATTTGTAAGGAAAAAATGAAGAGGCATTCCAGAGACCTCTAGCATTCTTATTTTCCTGCCGTTTCCTATTATAAAATTGGAGATGTGCTCGTGAGCATTTTCTTGATGTTCTGTACAGTACTATGAATAAATTATTTAATTTGTTTATAAATACAGTACTGTATTCTTGTTCCAAAAGGCAGGAATCGATTACCAGACATCGTGCCAAGCAAATTGTACCATGTTGTCATACATCTTCTCAGTAAACTTTACAATATATTTGTTTTATTTAATATGTACAGTTTATCAGTTTCCTCTTCATTTATACTGATTCACATATATTGTGATAGCAATAATGTGGATATTGACTTTCCAAAATGCAAATGAAATATTTTTAGTTGGAAACCCAAATGCTTTGTATATTACTACTACCCCACCTTTTCCTTATGAAACATCTTACAACTTAGTAAAAACAGCCTTCTGCCACTTTATATTTTTTAACATATTTAAATAATTTATTTATATACATTAGCAATATTTTATAATATGACTCGGTGACATGCTTGTCTAGATGTAATTACCTAAGTGTAGTTACAGGATGAGACTTACGCTCGTGGTGTCCCGTCTTCTCAGCACTCTGTCATATAACGCTTTGAAACTACTGACTGTTTTATTGTCCACAACCTTCTCATTTAACTTGTTCCGAGCGTCTACCACTCTATTTGCAAAAGTGAATTTTCTTATATTTCTTCAGCAGCTTTGTTTAGTTAGCTTAAATCTGTGACCTCTTGTTATTGAAGTTCCGGGTCTCAAGAAGTCTTCCTTATTAATTTTGTTGATTTCCTTTACTTTTTGTACGTAGTGATGATATCGCCTCTTTTTCTTCTGTCTTCTAACTTTGGCATATTTAATGCCTCTAACCTCTCCTTATGGCATGTGTAGCATATGGTGTACTGTTATAGTGAGCAGGGGTTTGTGTTTGTTTGCACAATTGCTGTGTCAACGACCACCTGCTGGCCTTAAATATTTATCCCACAAAAATATTAATTTAGAAATGCAGTTTTTTATAAATACGAGTGTAACATAATGTACTGTATATCAAATTCATTCCCTAATTGATAAGAAATTTTATAGCAAAATGCTGTATATTGAGTTCTCATGTAACAAAGAATTACTATATTATACATTAATTTGAATACCCAGCCCTGGTGGCACCGTAAGGCGATTTTGCTAAGATGGCTCACAATTACCAAGTCACAATGCTGCAGAGTTGTGTTTGACCTACCAGGGACTAGAGCCAGAACCTGGCCTCCATCACAGTGGTGCAGAAAGCAGGTGACACTGTACCGCCCCTCCAGGAATGCATGCAGGAAGTCAGCGATCCATTACGAATCACTGCTGGCTTGAAAAGAACCGAAGCCTTGAAACTACCAAACAAGCTCCCCAAACAGTAATATTATGGGGGATTATCATATTTTCTGTTTATATATTTGACTTCCAAAGTGCTCACTTCTAGTATTTTTTAATTTTCCTTCATAGGCCTCTTGTAGTTCATGTTTCTTTATTATGGAATCCACTTTGTTGCATGTGTTTGGATTTGCCTAATTTTTCTTGTCTAGTTGTGTTTGTGGAGAGCAAATGTGTTCTCATCTAATGATTGTTTATAGGTGTATGTATATGTAATTACTGTATAAATGTTATTACCCGTTAGTAGTCAATGGCAGAGAACAATGCTTGTGGCATCCCATATTTGTGCATGTAGCTGCATGCGTATGATATTGTACATGATTCCAGATATTTAAAAAACATTCAACTACAAAACTTTGATCAAGTTGGAAAACATGATTAAATTACTCATTTGTATATATATTCGTACAATATGTGGAAGTCCTCTAGATGCAGTAACTTAATATTTGGCATTGCAGTTCCAGCCAAGATAGAGCGAGCTAATATCCAACAACGTGTAGTGGGGGTGGCAGGCCAGACTGCTGAGGTGATGTGTGAAGCATCTGGCAACCCAACACCCACCATCTCCTGGACTCATGCCAACACACTCATTACTCCAGATCATCCTCACTACCAGGTTGTGCCTTGTGGTTGATGCTCCACCTGATATGTTGACCAGACCACACACTAGAAGGTGAAGGGACGACGACGTTTCGGTCCGTCCTGGACCATTCTCAAGTCATTCTCACAATCAACTTGAGAATGGTCCAGGACAGACCGAAACGTCGTCGTCCCTTCACCTTGTAGTGTGTGGTCTGGTCAACATACTTTTGCCACGTTATTGTGACTCATCGCCTCCACCTGATACGTCATAGCATTACTTGCCTCATTTCTCTCAGGCAAACTAAATCGGTTTCCATTGTTTTGTTCATTCAAACTTCAATAATTTGTATTGCATATTAATATACCAGTATATTAAAATAATTTATTTCAAATACATAACGTATATGTGACCTCAGTGACTAAATATTGAAACAGTCAAGGATATGATTCATAAACTTTAAAGCTGAACTAAATTGAGCGCACACATTATATTTACAGTATGTGTGTGTGTGAGTATATATGTATATGTATGTGTCTATATGTTTGACAAATTTGATCAAGCCTAAATTACCCTAACCTAAGATAACTAAGTCAGTAATTCATTTTCTTAATATAATAATATTAATTGGAATTGGCCAATTTGCAAAGAAACACTGTATTTGAAAATAACAAAAATCACTGCTTGATAGGAAAATTGGGCCTTGCATACTAAGCCAAGCTTAATTCTTGCATAAGAATTTCTTTTTAATATAATATTTAATGAAAATTTGGCATATAGGCAACTTGGCCTATTAGCTGTCATATATATAATATGCTGTATATGTATCCATCTTAGTTTATGTAATACTGTAACTGGATTTATATAATAATTTGAATAAGGATAAATATTTTTTAGAAATGTAAACGATAACAGCATATAACTACCCAAGTGTAATTGCAGGATGAGAGCTACCTCGTGGTGTCCCGTCTTTCCAGTGTTTTTATCATATAGCACTTTGAAACTTGTGAGGGTTTCGTATGTGAAGAATGAAATGTTGTATAACCCTGACAGATCGTGGATAAAGGCTCACTCTTGCGCCTGCTAGAGCTGGACCCCGAGGACGAGGGTGTGGTCACCTGCACTGCGGCCAACCTTGCTGGCCAAGACATTCTCAACTTCACTTTACAAGTCTTAGGTATACAGCTATACAATATTCCTGATGGGTGTGGAGTTACATGGGAATGGAACAAAAAATTTTATATACAGTTTTTTAAATAAGTAAGTGGTTTATTTGTAAGAAAATATGGAATTTAAAATTAAACATTATGATTATTAAATAGTGTAATTACTAAAACAGTTGTGTGAACTGCAAATGTTCAATCAATAAATAGTAGGATAGTAAACTGGATTTCCCCTACATATATGGGACATAACTGGAAACCTCTCAGTGTTCAGAAGAGAAGTTTACAAGCACCTTGAAAGGATACTTAAACAATCAGGCTGTGACTTGTACATCAGGCTGCGAGCAGCTGTATCAAACAGCCTGATTGATGAGACCAGCAACCAGGAGGCCTTGTCAGAGACTGGGCCACGGGGATACGAATCCTCGAAATCTTCAAGAGGTAGACTTAGTAAATGGGTAAATGTAGAGTAAATGGATGCTACACAATGGTAAACAGTAATCAGAGAAGGAATGAACCTAAATTTTAATTTCCTTTAATATAGAACCACTAGTATAAATGCCAAGACAAAGCTAATGAATAGTCCACTGAAGGTATAAATTGACAGGTTTAAAATGACTCCTAGAAACAGTCCTAGCCACGTTAACATACACTGATAGTAAGTGGACCAGAAGGAATGAGAAAGGAGGCGTGAAGTAAGAGGAGCAGTAAAGATATATTGAATATATGGTAATAAAGAAGCAAAGAATACTCCTAGAAGTAGTCAACTGGAGGAGATGGGGTGATAGAGAGCACCCACATGTAAAGGGTCAGGTATGGGGCATGAAATGATCCTGTAATTATGAGTACAGCACCACAAGCTAAACCCCACCATCCCTACAAGTAACAGGGAGGAGCAGATTTCACCTGCAGTCTCAGAAATTTGTTGAGCTGTGATCAACCATGTTTTATTGAGTTTTTAGTGACAAGTTCCTCATTGTAAGGACACATACAGTATTTTAACTTTATTGTTTTTTCTTGCAGTGTCCCCACATGTTCCAGATGATGCTGTGACAGAAATTACTGTGAAAGAAGATGAGAGTGTTGTCCTTGTGTGTCCAGTTACAGCCACACCTGGTAAGGAATGGAATGTATTATTTTATACTTGTGTCTATAACATATTACCGTTCAGTAAAATCTGGTCCACAGGAAAATCGGATGCAGTGGAAAGATTCAGTTCCGATGAAATTAATTACTGGATATTGCATGCTGATGAAAGATACACATTTGCTTTACCAGACTGTACTCGGGTCGGTGTACAGAAAAATTAACAAAAAATTTAATCATGTTTTCACAAAATTTTGTACAAAATCATAAATGAGAAAATTTTTGGAATGGGACACTCAATGGGCCTATATTGAAAATGGGATCATACCTTCTTAAATATTTGTTTTATCAGGTTACCATAAATTTTAATAGTAAATGTTTATAAAAAAACTGTTCAGAACAGACAAACAATCCAAATTTTCATGAAGTATTATGCAGTATTTAAAAAAAATTATAATGGAATGATAAAGCTTTCCATTACATTACATTATATATGATTTGTATTTTTTATTTGAGTCAAAACTAACATACATTTTATCAAACCTAACCTAACATGACCAAGCATAACTAAGGCAGTAATTCATGTTGTTAATATAATATAATAATATTGGAATAAACCAATTTGGAAAGAGATATTTGGAAACAACAAAAATAATTCGGCTTGTTAGACAAATTGGGCCTTACATACTAGGCCAAGTAGTACAGTTTTGGCTGTTAGGTATTGGCTATTAGGAGAAATTTCTTGACCTGGCACAGGACTCCAATCCCATACAGCATATGACAGAGCCCACTTAAGGTAACAGAAGGTAACAGCATTATAGATCTTATGCTAACATCTGAAGATTGCTTGATCAATCAAATTCAAGTAGGGAAAAATTTCACCCCTGTCATGTGATCAAAATATTCTAAGATGGATTACAATTGTAGAAACCCACATAAAGGTCCAGGAGGATTACTTTCTAGATTTCAGGCCAGACTGAAATTTTTTTTCAGTTTAAAATTAAAATTTAAAATTTCAGTTTCAAAATTAAAAAGACTGATTTTCAGGCCAGACTCGAGGAGACTATCAAGGTATGAGAGAGGAATTGCAAAACATCACCTGGAGGGAGCTAATAGGTGATCATGGGATGGAAGCATCAAGGGAAAATTTTAATGTCATTAATGAGCTTATTCAAAAATAGATGCCAAAAAGGAGAAAGAAAAGAAATGTGAACTAGATGAATGACCTAGGTAGTAAAAAAAAAAGCTTTGAAAACTAAGCGGGGCCCTCTGGAGAAGGTATAAACCCACAACGAACATCATAAATTATGAAATACAGTATATAAATGGGTATTAAATTCATCCACTCAGGTAATCAGATCTGCAAACAAAACTACGAAAGAAAACTTGCTTAAAACATAACGAAAGATCAAAAGTTGTTCTATGTCTATATAAGAAGTAAAAGCAAAACAAAGGACTCGGTATGACCCTTAAAAGATGAGACTAACCAAGTCATAATGGATAATAAAAGGACAGAAAACACTCAGAATAAATACTTTATATCAGTATTCCCACTAAAAAAATTAGACATCCCATTATTCATACAAATGTTTTAAGGAGGTGAACAGAACAAATTAAGGGTGCACCCATAACGTGCTACATAATTGGGAAGAGCATCGACAAACTAAAAGAATAAAAAAAAACTGTGGGTTGAATTCAATACAAAGTCATAAAGGAACTAGCAGATGCACTATGCCTACACTGATACTCAGAAAATTTTCTGGACCAGACTGGACCAGAATTTTTTTTAGAGTTTTTCAGAAAATTTCTGGATCAAGAGATAGTTCTCCTAGATTGGAAATATGCAAATATCACCCCTATGTTAAAAAAGGCAGAAAGAGCTTGGCAGAACACTACCATCTGATCAGCTTGACATTACACATCTGCATGCTCATGGAGAGAATCCTAAGGAAGGGAATCATTCACTATCCCACAGCTAACAATTGTGTAAAATCAATGTAATATGGGTTTGTTAAAAATAGATTCTGCCTTATAAATCTGCTCATATTTTTTATAACAAACTAACTATTCAGACAAAGGACTTCCAGTAGGTTTAATATGCATGGCCTTTGCTAAAGCTTTTCATAAGGTACCACAGGAAAAACTAGCAAGGAAATTACAGGCACATGGAATAAAATGCTTTTTCACCTACAGTTATAAACCCATTGAACTACCGGTACCTACCCGCAAAAGCTGTAAATGCCAAAACTCTGAATTTTAAAATCCAGCTAATACAAAATTTACAAGGTTAATTTAAGTTACAAGATGAAACAGTCATATGGTTGTTGTCTATTATCCATTATGTATGTTGACTTGACAGTGTGTAACATGTATTATCATACCTTGATTCAAAATAATGCAGTGATGAGCTTGTCATTTTGGCAGAACCATCTGTTGTGTGGTCGAGAGATGGGACTATTGTGGGAGTGAGTGGCCATGGAAACGTGGATGTGAGTGGTGATGGGCACACACTGAGGGTGATTCGGGCAGGCAGTCATAATGCGGGCATCTACACCTGTACTGCCTCTAATGCTGCAGGCGTCCTTGATGTACATCTCATGCTCAATGTTCTTGGTGAGTTGAGTGCTACCATTTTTTTTTTTTTATTGCCGCCGAAGGCGGCTAGTTTATTGTGCACCCCATACTCATCCTGTGAGCGGTAGTGCAAAACCATTACAGAGGGCACAAAAGGTCTTTATCAGACCTCATCTTAGATTATTACATAAACAATTTCATCTATCCTTCACACCTTATAGTTACAATGTCAGCTAGTTACAGAGAAAGTGCTATTTCAAGAGCTATATATTTACAGTAAAGTGCTACCATTTACCAATGAAACCTGTAAGGTCATTTGATTCTTATATAAACAAATATGTCATAAACAGTGCTTTGTATTCATTCACTGCTTCTTCATGTCCAAACTCGTCAATAAAATCAATTTGTAATAACCTGCTACTTCTTACTGGTACTATAATTTGATTCTAAAACCTAGACTGATGTCTCATATCTCTGATGTAGACTGTTCCCTTGTATCTCTGAACTAGACTGGTGCCTTGTACAGGATCTCTTGGCACAGACTGGTGGCTTGTACAGGATCTCTTGGCACAGACTGGTGCCTTTATACAGGATCACTTGACACAGACTGGTGCCTTGTTCAGGAACTCTGATGCAAACTGATGCCTTGTACAGAATTTCTGACACAGACATTTATACATTTTCCTGGTTGATGTCTTGTGTTATTTATTTTCTTGACTAGTCTTGTAAACTAGATTCTTTAGAGTCTAGTTCAAAGTTTGACAAGCCAACTGCAACCCTCAAAGGCCAGTTCTAATCCTAATTGGCTCAATTTTATGCAGTGCCTCCACAGATTGCTGGCACAAGGCCAGGAAGCCATCACCGACAAGGCGAAGAGGAACTGGTGACAGTGATGGAGGGCGGCCACGCAACTCTGGAATGTCACCTTCTGAAGGGTTCACCAGCACCCATAAGGCACTGGTTCATGGGCAATGACCTTCGCCAGTCACACCACACAGTGAGCCTTATTATTCAAAATTATAATTAAGATATTACATGGAAATTGGTTTGGTGTTTTGAGCCATTTTCTGTGACTTTTAGCTGCTTTTAAGTGTCACCCAAAGCCTGGGTTTGCTTTTAGATTTGACAAATTATTAATACTGTACTGTATTGTACTGTCTATTCTGTATTACACTGTACTTTCAAATACATTAATTCTTCCAATGCAGTACAAAAGTAAGTGTTCTAAGTCTTCCTGATACTGTAGGCAATTTTGTGTTCATTGACAGTGACAATGTGTAGTGCATGGTCTTAATGAATCTTCTGTTTTTGTTCACCAGTTTTAAGTCTTGAGTACCTCTCTCACACCAGCACAAAGACCCAAGTTGCTGAGCAAGTTATGTAGCTATTTTTTTTTTAACTAGATGTAATAATTCACTTGGCTGTCAGCTAGGAAGGCATGATTATGGGAAGCATTCTCTCTTCCCCTTAATGATGCATTTCTTGTCACCCCTCAGATTTGATGTCTGTGGTAGATATGGAGCAACACCAAGCAGCCACTGAAAACATGCTCTCTTCCTTATTCTTGCATTGTTGTCATGTCTTTATATTTTCATACTTCTTCTTAATATATGGATGAACCTGTTGAGGCTGTCAGTACTCTACCAGCGCATTTATTAATATTTTTGTATACCAATGCATTCAACAGTTTTGAGATTCTTTGACTTAAGAAAGCTTGGGAATGATTGGTAAAGGAGATGATTTAAGATAATTGCTGCAAGTCTTGTATTTTTACGAGATTCCTTGGTTAAATAAAATATATGGTAATTGTATATTGTAATACCTAGTATATGATATATAAATCTTATATACTGTATATAAAGTCATAGGTCTTTTGTTTTTTATATATGATAATTTGTTTTCTTAGATGGCTTCAATTAACATAAAGATTTAGACATTGTTTTCTAATAATGAAATGAAAAGTTAGGCATCCCAGGTAGATACTTCATGGTTTTGTTATTTTTGTTGTTTTAAATCTTGAGAATGCCTCATCATAAAAATGTGAAACTTACAAATCTTAATTGTTAAGTTTATGATTCTCCACTAGGTTATTGGTGATGGTGAGAAACTGGTGATCACAGGAGCCCAAGTGGATGACTCTGGGGTGTATCAATGCATTGTGGAGAATTCCGCTGGGTCAGACAGCAAAGTGGTGCGAGTGGGAGTACAGGCACCTCCCAGGGTTAACATTACAGCTCTTCCAGGACCCACCACAGTTCTCACTCCAGGTTTGCTCCAGATAATTGCTTCTTATGGGAGTACATTAGTCATAATTGACAGCAAAATTTTAGAAGTATAGTAATTACCTAAGTAATTACCTAAGTGTAGTTACAGTATGAGAGCTATGCTCATGGTGTCCCATCTTCCCAGCACTCTTTGTCATATAACACTTTGAAATTACTGACGGTTTTGGCCTCCACCACCTTCTCATCTAACTTGTTCCAACCGTCTACCACTCTGTTTACAAAAGTGAATTTTCTTATATTTCTCCGGTAGCTTTGTTTCATTAGTTTAAATCTGTGACCTCTTGTTCTTGAAGTTCCGGGTCTCAGGAATTCTTCCCCTATCAATTTTATCGATTCCTGTTACTATTTTGTACACAGTGATCATATCGCCTTTTTTTCTTCTATCTTCTAGTTTGGCATATCCCTAGATCCCTTCCTTTGTCAGAATTCTTTAATTTTTTCTCACATAATTTATAGGTTGTGTGGGGTCTATGTTCTCCAATTCCACATTCCATAATATGGCATTTATTCACATTAAATTCCATTTGCCAAGTGGTGCTCCATATACTGTACTTATTTTGTCCAGGTCTTCTTGAAGGGCATGACAATCATCTAGGTTTCTTATCTTCCCTATTATCTTAGCATCACCAGCAAACATAATCATATAATTCTGTATTCCATCTGGTAGATCATTTATGTAGACAATGAACATTACGGTGCAAGAACTGAACCTTGAGGTACTCCACTTGTGACATTCGTCCAATCCGATACATTGCCTCTGATTACAACCCTCATTTTTCTATCAGTTAGGAAATTTTTCATCCATGTTAGAAGCTTACCCGTCACCCTCCAATGTGTTCCAGTTTCCAGAACAACCTCTTAGTGGAACTCTGTCAATAATTAATAGTGGAAATAATTATGTGTTATAAAATTTAGCAAATTAGGAAGTCTCCTTAAGAATGATTATAATTTGATTACTGCTTATTAAAAAGTATATACTGTGTAGACTGATGCTATTATAAGATATGGGTCATGTTTAACTACTACCACAGGTGGAGCTGAAGCAACACTGCTGCCTGCTGATGGCCGACCACGCAACACGTCTGTGAGCACCTCCTTTACCACTACACAAGATCAGACTGTAACCCTGCCTTGCCCTGTTACTGGTTAGTTAATTAACACTTTCACATTCCAGTGAAGCTAAAATGCCTCATCCGTACTACGACGGTAAACGTTCTGACAATGCTGAAATGTGTCGTCCAATTCTTATTAATAAACATTCATCACTATCGTGCACAATCTATTATAAATACTTTTTTGTCTTTGCATCTATTCTCTAGAGACTTCATTTGTGAACATTTTTATCAAAAATTAAGTTATAACCCAGTTTGTAATGTAGAAAACATAAAATGACTGTAAACATTTTAAGCGTCAAAGTGCAGGACTCGCCAAGCCCACATGTTTACACAGGAACATTTTTACATGAGCATAATACATACACATTTGTTTTTGCATCTTTTCTGTAGAGAATTCATTTGTGAACATTTTAACACCAAATTTATAGTTATAATCTAACAAATAACTTGGAAAACATAAAATGATAGTAATATTTTTTCATATCGTGGAGCCGCCCGTGACCTGACCAAGGAGCCCAGACTATTTATTGTTGGGAACACATGGAGAGGCCAGACAGCCAGTGCTGATATGTGCATATCTAACTTTCAATTTCTTTATCAAATAGCAAAGTAAAAATATATTTAGACTGGCAGTGTTTTATTTTTTATGTAGATGTAGATTTGTTATATAGTTCAAGGAAATAAGTTATTTTGCCTTGAGAATTATTAAACACTTGTAGTGGAGAAAAGAATTGTCTTTTAATCTTGATTAAGGGCTATAGCTGTTTAATGGTGCATTATTGAACAGTTGGTTGGTAATGATCATTGATATTTTCAAATAAGTGAAAGTTGTAAGTTATCATTGAGTAAGCACTTAGTGCTGATCTTTCAATTCATTTTCTTATATTAGGGTCACCCACACCGCGACGTCTATGGTATAGTGGATCCCAGGCCCTCGTGTCCTCCTCCAGATTAGTGGTAGGGGTAGGTGGGCGGGACATCACCATCGTGGGTGTGAGGCCAAGGGATGCTGGAGTATATGTTTGTGTGGCTGTCAACCCTGCAGGCGAGGCACAGCTCTCTACTACTCTCATTGTTATTGGTGAGCATTATGAGCTCTTGTGTGCTGTTCATTGTATGATTATTTTAACTGCAATTTGCCACAGGTAATATAAATCGGTTATATAAATTTATTGTCAATTAATGTAGTGTTTGATAATTTCAGTAATGTATCGTGAGTTTTCTCTGCAAGAGTATTTTTATTAATAACTGTATAAGAAATTATCTTATACATTTAAATATGGGGGTGGCTTGCAGTCACTGCCGGGAGTAGAAGATAGTCATTTATGTTGAGTCATAACATTATTAATAAAACATTGCATAAAAACGGAAAAATTTACATATAAATTCAGGTCGGCCTGTGCTGGAAGGTAAACCTGAAGAGGAAATATCTATACTGCAAGGTGGGAGAGTTACTCTTGAGTGTAAGGTGAAGGTTGCCACCACTGAAGCTCATAAAGGCCCTCATAGATATACACACTATAACATCACCTGGACAAAAGTAAGTATTCTTAATAGTGGTCCCTAAATGAGATCAAAACTAAATGGTTTATGGTAATAAAACAAAGTATAATAAATAATAAGCTTTTGCAGATTTGGTAAGCACACCATTCCTACGTGGAGTCACTTTCAACTAATAGATGAACTCATGATGCATTAACTTTTAACTGTTTGCTACATTTAATTTAATTTATTGGAATAAAACCCTTAATAATTGTAATATAAGTAGTCATTAGTTTTACCCTACAGGTCATGTACTGTGAAAGAGGTCATTATGGAGATTTATGGTATTCAATAATTTAATTGTATGTTTGCAGGGTGGACACCACCTTGAGAACAATAGTCCAACTCTACAGAATACCCCAGGTTCATTTAAAATGGGTAATCGGGCAGATGTAGATTACTACAATTACTTGGAATATGTAAATTATGACTCTGAGCTAGGCCTCGACCCTCTGTTCAACATAACGGCAAAAAGTGACACTGCTAACTTTGACTGGCGCAAGTGGAGAAGAAATAATACAACATCTTCGTATGAGATGTCTGCTGATGGTTCACGATTAACTCTGCCAACAGTAATGAAAGACGATGAGGGGCTATACACATGTGAAGTTACTAATGAAGCTGGTTTAACTAAAAGAACTTTCAGAATCGATGCCTTGGGTTAGTGGAAATTTATCTTAACACTTCAGCTGCCATATGTTTTGAATGATAAATATTTTAAATAGTTTTTATTTGAAAGTCCATTTTGGAATTCTTTTAAAAATGGCTCTATACAAAATATACAAATATCTGAAATTTAAAAGGGATGTTAGCCAAGGAAGTAACTCGTCTTATTAATCGTAGAAACAAAGTGGCTTGAATTGATTTTTACTCATGAATTTAGTATATAGGCTGCATAATTTTTATGTACTCTGCAGTATGTTGATGATAATATAGACTTAATACTATGTATGTTTACAGTAGTTTTAAAAAATTAATAATTCAAAATTTAAAGGGGAAAAGATGTACAAATTAATGAATTTTATTCTAAGGGGCATATTTTACAATTATTATTAATATTCTTGAAATGTTGGCCTTTTAATGTGGGCACTATACAGTGCCTCCAGATATAGGCAATGAAGAGGATGTGAAAGTGTACGAGGCAGCTGTGGGGGAGCCAGTAGTGTTTGAGTGTGATGCCACCGGAGATCCTCCACCAGAGGTAGGCACTTTAGCATTATTTCTGTATTGCAATGTTTACTTATTATCATAGTAATCTTACTGCTTTATTTAGATTTTTCTAACTCTTAAGTCTCATTGACATTAAGACAATAAAAACAGATAGTATGAGAAACATCTTAATCAGTGTTCAAGGAGAGACTTTTCAGCATTTGTTTACTGAAAAGGTTAATACAAATGTAAAAATTGCCACTTAGAGTGCATAACTGTGGAAAATTAAATTAATTAATTGAAGTTCAAGAAAACTGCACATTTTTGTCTTCTTCAAATATTGAAATCAAAGTTGAGGGAAAACATAACTTGGTTGATAGGCTTACGATGACTGTGAAAAGATAAAAATGCTTCTTTTGCAGAGCATAATCCTTCTAAATTGTATAATACATATGTATCTAGTTTAGCACTGGATATTTGACATGGTCAGAGCTAAACACGTGTGCCAGGTTTTTTATTGTGCCAAATTTAGCGCCTTGGTGCTCAGCCAGTGCCTTGGTGTATCATATGGAATATTTAGGTTTGTGTTCTGACGTGTCTCGATGCAATCCTAAAATAGTCATAAATTATTATTAACCATAATTTCTGCAAAATATTGACAGATAAAGATGTTAAATATTGTGCCTCTCAAACGAGGGAAGCTTTATATGATATATAAATATACAAATAGTGTACCTACTAAGTAACCATTTGATGGTTTTGCACTCAAATTACACTTCTGTCAACATTTGTTGAATAAACATTTTTAAATTATTGTTCTCTTCTTTGTACAGCACTACACTGTAGCTTTACAATTGTTCACATTTACGTAAGAAACAAAATATTTATAGCCCCAAATAGTTAAACAATGTAAAAGGGCATTAGGTATAAACTTTTGATATGCCTCGCATGCCCACCATTACTTGTCCATTTCTGGGGAGCGTCCTCTCTGTTACTCCCCGAGTGATAGCACTGGTGCTGGCAAGCCTTAGGAGATCACACCAGGAATACAAAAAACAGATGAAGATATTTTCTTACATTTCTTTAAATATATGAATTTCCTTAAATTTATTTAATATGTATACAAATTTAACCTCATGATTCAGGTGAATTGGTACCGAGGGTCCAGCCCTGTAAAACCCAGCGCCCATTTGCAGCTTCTAGAAAAAAATCATGTCCTCATCATAACTGCAGTACAGGTTTGGCCAATTCTTTAATTATGCTGCACTTTCCTGTGCATGTCCAGTAATATATCAGTATTTACTCCAGCAAATTTATTAACACTGAATAAATCAGGCTTTGAGTGCATTTATTTGAAATGCTAGTATCTAAGCAGAACACTTGCTGCTCCATTAGGTAAGGTCCTGCTGGTCCCATGGGCAGGATCTGGTACAGATAGGATGTAGTTATAATTTTGCTCCAGAACAACAAGTTATCTTTTCAGACATTCTTGTTAGGTCATATTGATGCAAGAGAAACATCACGATTTTGGAGTGAAACCTCATACTTGAGAAGTTTGTGGTTTCATATGGGCTAAATAGTGACCTTTTGGAGGACATGCTAAGCTGAACTGAGATTTCTACAGTGCTACTTAACACCAAAATAACCCTTCAGGGCACTCTTGAAAAGTTTGCTGTAGTGCCAGTGGTAGATTGATATCCTCTCACTGTTACCATTCCTGCCCATTAGACAGAGTGGCTCTTGCTTTAGGCAACAGTTGAGTAGGGCAAATTACAAATATCATTTTCTTAACAAAATTAGATAAATAAGATGTAGTACAGCTATGTCTTTGACAGAACAGTATTTCTAATTGCAAATAGGATTTTTTTTTTTTACTTTAGGAATGAGTAATGTGCATGTAAGAGTATTAAGGCATATATATTTGTTCTTTCCCCTCCCTATCTAATATAACAAAATAATTGTATTTTCTGTTATGGTTATCTGGGAAATAGGAAGGCGATGATGGTGACTATATGTGCTTGGCAACCAACCTGGCAGGCGTCAAGGAGGAGACCTTCCATCTCCAGGTGTTGGGTATGTCATATGTCTCGTGTGAACACATCTTGCTCCCACACCTTCAACAACCTAATGTTAATACACCATGTAAAACTATTTCTCTTTGTCAAGACTGTAATGTTTGTGTGCATAACTTAAAAGTGGATGAAGCAGCACTAGCTATGTTTTTATAGCATTAGACCCATCACATTTTTTCATTCAATGAAGAAAGTAGAAATATGAGTGTCTATTGAAGTTCAGGATTTGAGAATTTTCCCTCATTCATAATATTGTTTTACTGATATCATTGATTTGGGGCTCTCTTTATATTGAGGAATTACAGTGGAGCCTTGGTACTCAAACTTAATTGATTCCAAAAGGCAGTTCGTGAGCCGATCTGTTCCGATACCAGTTCACTGGCTTGCCTACCCCTATCACCTTGTTGAAAAAAAAAATTGATTTCTTCTTTGTTCATGCTCTCGTTTAGAGGTTTTGCTTCAACAAGGTTCATTTTCAGTTTCTCTCTGTTTTCCTTTGAAAGATCTCATCTTATTGACCATAACTCCCCTCATCCCTTTGTAAGTTTGTAACATTCCTAAGTACTTCCTCCATCTGTTTAGTTCCATTTAGGGTGTGCTATATAGTCGTAATGGCTTGGCGCTTTCCCTTGATAATTCCCTTTCATTTAGGGTGAGCCTCAAGGGGTTGATCTTTCCCTTTTTCGTACCTGCCAGTTCTCCTGTTGTCACAGACATTGGTTGACTACAGGAATTTTGTCTACAATACTACTTTCACTTCTTCTGTGGCACTTTCTGACCTTTATGCAATCTCCTTCTCTTTGCAACAAAAAATTATTTTGGACTTCCATCAACTGTGTTTTGCACCAGCTTTCGGTTTGATGCCAGTTCCTGTCTGACTTCCAGTCTAATGTCTGCTTTTCTGACTGCTACAGAGTCTGGCTTGCTTTACCCCTTCTTCTGTTATTTCTTTCTCTCTGGCCACTTGTGTATAGGTAAGTTGCATATCCCTCTTGTACTGTTTTATTTCCTGTGTAACTTCCTCCATATGCCATGACAAGAGTTCTTTTTCTTGTTGGAATTCCTTGCCTAACCTATTGTTTTCACTCCTGTTTGGATTTGATTTAACTTCTTCAAAAAGCTGTTTTTAGCACTTTATTTTCCTCCTCCAGGGCTTTACTTTTGGCTTTCCAGTAATTCTTGTCCATGCATAATATATTTATTTGCACCTCAAAAGCTGATACTTTGCTGATCAAGTTTTCAATAATGACTCTCAGATTCGTGATAGTTTACAATAATCTCTAATTTTGCCAATTTGTTGTGCAAACTGCTGATACTAATACTGTCCTCATTAAAGCCACCATCCAGCTCTGTTGTTTTTTTCCTCTTGCCGGTTGCCATCTTGGATTTGAGCGTCTGCAACTGTGCCGAATTGTTCAAGTTGGGAGTTGTTCGAGTAACACAGTTCTTCTGTACAGTACATACTGTACTTTTTTTTTTTTTTAGAAATGCCATTGGAATATGGCCAATGTACAGTACTTATCATCAGATCTTATTATACGTTAGAAGCATATTTGTTTATTGCTATAAATTCTTTGAATTTCTTTTCTTGAATTACAAATCGCATTCTCTTTAAATTCATATACCGTACCATTTAACTTTTGTAATACTATACATTTTGTTTAGATTTTTCATCATCCTTTAAACTGCAGTTCTATTAGTTTATTTTTGCTGCTACTCTTCCTTTTTTTTTTTTTTACAGTCCCCCCAAAAGTTTCTGGGCAGGAGGACTTGACCATCACAGCAGTGAGTGGGCAGCAACTAATGTTAGAGTGTGAAGTAAGTGGCTATCCCCAACCTGACACCACCTGGACTTATGACACCCAAGAGTTAATTCCAGATGACAATGTTCTTATAAATAATAGCAAACTTATTATAAAAAGGTAAGTTTCCTGTGGTATTACTATTTTGAAAATACTGTACCTGTTTATATTACTCTTTACTGGAATGGAATGATGCATTTCAGACCCCCTTACCAGTCTGTTATTTTTGCTAATTTTGGGCCACAATCGTAATTATCACAAATAATAGAGCACAAATAAGAGGGCCTCATAATGGTCATAAGAGAGATTATAGTAAGAGCCGATAAAGATAAATGAGTGTTGTTGGTACTTGGTGACTTCAACTTCAAAGCAATAGACTGGGAGGCCTATGAAGCTAGAACAGAGGACATTTGGCCAGGCAGAGTTGTAAAAGTCATCCTGGAAACATTCATGTACAGTATTTAACTTCTTTGAAAGCTATATTTAATACATTATTTTCCTACTCCTGAACTTTTCTTTTAGTTTCCTTATCCTTGCATAATCCCTTTATTTGACGTTCAAATCTGTTACTGTACTGAGCTTTCATTACAGCTTAAATTCCTAATTACTGTATCTCCACATGATATTTTACAATATTCTCTATTTTTGCAAAGGCTTTTCTTAAAATCTAGTGATAAAATTGTAATAATTATACATGTAATAGAAAATTATTATAATTGTCACATTGCGACATAGCGTCCCCAGCGACCGGGCCGCGGGGACGCTAAACCCCGGAAGCACCTCAAGGTAACCTCAAGGTTGCATTGGGTCGTTTAAATGTTGTGTAACTGTATATTTGTTACCTAAATAACTGTATTCAGGAAATAAAAGTACAAATTTTTTCTACTAAAAAATAATTGTCTCAAATTTTACTCTGTGATTACTTGTTAACTCATGTATTACTTATTTAACCATGTTATGTTGTGCGTGGTGGACAGTGTGTCAGTGGACCTGGCTGGGGAGTACCAGTGTAGTGCTGTTAACTCTGTTGGCCAAGCAGCTAGACGATTCACACTCCAGGTTACAGGTACGGCGTACTCTGTTTTATCATGCTTGTTGCTTCTATTAAAGTAATTCTGATGCAACAGAGGACTAATTGTCTGTTCAATTGATGGACAAATACTCTGATAAATAAAACAAAATTTTATGTTTGGAAAAATTAGTATATATCAGTATTATAGTGGAAAAATGATAATTTTGTGAAATTCCAAAGATGATCTAAACTGCACATAGTCTTTAGCTGGATAGTTATTATTCCTGAATAATTAAGCAAAACTGGTAAATTGTTCTGTAAAGACCTATAATGATGATTGTTTAGTCCAGATTGGACGAATTAATGGGTCAGCAATTGAGGCAAGACAGGTAGACTGTGATGAGCAGATATCCTTTTGTATCCACTCAGATGACTAGATAGGTCTTCTCTAGTCAATCTAGGGTAGACAAAGGTAAATTTATATGATTGGTTCTGTAACATTCAAACAGATTGCCTGTAAAACTGTTCCTCACACATTAAAGGGTCCCATTAGTACAGTTGGGTTTGTTCTTGACTCAGTTCAGAATTCCGGGTTCAAACCCCGGGTGGGACAGAAATGGTTGGGCACATTTCCTATCACCTAATGCCTCTGTTAACCCAGCAGTAGATAGGTACTCAGGAGTTAGTCAACTTGTTGTGGGGTTGCATCCTTGGGAGGATTTGTACTCTAGTTTAACCCTGAAGGGATCTCGATATAAGCCTAACATATACAGTATACACAGGCTGCTTATCCCCGGCAAAATCCATGATTTTGCAAAATAATATCTCGTTAGGGTCTGTATGTTATATAAAATGGAAGTACTAGAAGACCTAATAGTATCCACTGTACTTTTACCATTGTTATAAAATTTAATACAATTACAATAATATTTGTTTGCTCCCCACTGACAGAGGCACCGTTCATCACCGGCAGTGACGATGAAGAGATAGTAACCGTCATAGAAGGAGCATCAGCTTCTCTACACTGTGTTGCATCTGGCCATCCTGAGCCTATTATCTCATGGTTCAAGGTGGGGTATACATTTGCCTTTTGTTTTTGTGCTTTTTATCACTGGATGAATTTTGTTATAAGGTATTTTTAGTGAATGCTCTTATATTTCCTTTATCTTCACCATAACTGTATTATCTTTAGTGTTATTATATTGCTGACAGCTTTTGTAATATTACTCTAAATAGGATGATGTCGGTATACGTGTAAACGATCGTGTGAGTGTGTCTTGGGGTGGACGGACCCTTTTGATTGAGTATGTGGATCGGGTTGATGGTGGTCACTATACTTGTTTGGCTTCAAACCTCGCTGGTAACCACACCCGAGACTACCGCATCCAGGTTCTTCGTGAGTAAACCACTAGTCTAATAAATGCCTTTATATCCACTTTTCAACATTTTGATGATAATATTTTAGGCAAGGAAATTGAAATTATGACAAAAGCCTTTTAGGTATACAGTACAATAGTTTTATATAAATACTGTTGCAGGGCCTATTATAATCATACAAACTATTAAACTAAAGGCTATATTTTTTATTTTTTTCTGATTAGAGGCGCCACAACTGAAAGAGGCTCCTGAAGAGATAGTGGCTGTGTCTGGAGAGGTTGTTACCCTCATGTGTAGCTTTTATGGTCACCCACAGCCTAAGGTGCATACAATAAGTTGATCATCACCCTTCTAACATTTTGCTGTATATATGAAAAACGTGGAATAAAAATCTTGTAGTTCAGACCACTCTTACACAAATCATTAATATTCTATATTGTTCAGTCATTTCATGATTTCAACTTACCAGTAACTATTATGTATATAAATTGCTTAATTTGAACATTGCCTGCATAACGGCTTTTGGTACATTTTCCTTGCGATTAAGTGGTGAAAATGGTGATTAAATGCATTTTATATTTGCTTGGGAACAGATCAGTTGGTACTTTAAAGGAGCTCCAGCAGCCATAGCTGAGAATCTTTTGCCATCAGGAGCACTACAGCATTTCCCAGTCCGCCCTGATCATGCTGGCAGCTACACATGTATCGCTGACAATGAAGCAGGCAGAGCCAACCATACCCTGACACTTTCTGTCCTTAGTAAGACTTACTATACCTTATTACCTATAAAGTGCACGAAAGCTCAGTGTCTTCATGTTCAGTAAGAAATCATTTTTATTTATTGAAAATATAATATATTTATTATATTTCTAGCTTTTTGTAAATGATACCAACAAACAAAATCTAAATCTATCGAAGTTTTTACTCGAGTAATCCATTGATATGGTCAATAAATTACTGTTGTTAAACAGAATACAAAGTGTTTACAAGGATGTAGAGGAACTCTAAGTTGAAAGTTTACTTTATTGGAGATGGAGATTGTTTCTACTATAAAGTAAAAATTACCTTTATTTAAATAGCAGTATAATTTTGGGGCAAATCATATTATGATTGTTTTGACTGGTGTCCCCATGCAGCTCCTCCTTCAGTACAAGTGGAGCAGAAGAAGGTGGTGGCAGTAAATGGTGAAGCTGTCACTCTACACTGTCATGCACAAGGATCACCTCCTCCAACTCTAACATGGCTTAAAGGACATCAAATTGTTATTGAAGGGCCAGGTAAGTTGAAGAAAAACAAGCTAATAGTTAATGTATTTTAATATGTTCTGGATACAATGCTTGTAATGTTGAATGCACCTATTACTCTTATACACATTATTTTTAAATACACGAACAGCTACATCAGCCCTTAATTTTCTGTGTTCAGTTTGTTTGGCTTATACAGTATATAAAAAATAGTCAGTATCATAATGAAGATATTTAAATTCTATTTTGCTGCTCTCTCTTTTCTAACCAAATAAGAACATAAGAATGAAGGTAACTGCGGGAGGCCTATTGGCCCACATGAGGCAGTTACTATTTATATTCACCCAGTCTCATTCATATATATGTCTAACCTGTGCTTGAAACAATCGAGGGATCCTACTTTTATTATGTTACAAAAGAGGTAGGGAAATGCTTCCCCCACCCTATAAAAGTGAGAAAATGGGATGATGGTAATGATGATTATTCATCATGAAATGTTAAGAGTGTATTCTTCAAGAGTTTGAAATGTTTCCTGCATACTCAGTTACTGAGAATACAGTGAGAGCACCAGATCAGTTTCCTTCAGCTTTGGCCAACACAAAACTTGTGTCCTTCCTTTGATTCCACTGTAGTTTATTAATTTTGTTTGCATCAAATTCTATAATTAGACATTAAATTGTTGTTCTATAATAATGAATGTGTATAGCATCCAAGAGTGCTAAATTGTCCATTCTCCTGCAACTTCCTTTCTCTATTTGATAGTGCTCAATTTTGAATCAATGTTCTTATTACCTGCTCATTACTCAAATTAATTAATAATTGACTTATTGTCATTTCCACAGACTTAGAAATATTTTAACACGTTTGTAATGGCATGACTTGTTGGATTCTCTCTGCAATAGAATTTCAGTTGAGAGGGAATGGGTCCCTCCATCTACCGAGAGTGACCCCCGCACTTGCTGCCACCTACGTGTGCACTGGGCGCAGTCCTGCTGGCTCTGCTCATGACCACACTGATCTCATTGTCCATGGTAAGCTTGGTAGATGTCATTGTGATTTTGTCTTTCAGTCAATTTGCATGCATGTCTGCATTTGTATTTGCTCTTTTCTCTGCTTTCTGGTCAGTTAGCCATTCTTCACTTCATGTTTGCCAATACATGTTTGCCTTTCACTAATAATATTAACTAAGGAAATTCTGCCTTATTAAATAAAATAGATAAGTTATTCATGTAATATGAATGTACTGTATTTTAATTATGAAATCCTATAGTCAGTGGCCATCTGTAGTGTGATTCACCCTCCAGGCCAGCCCAGGTAGTGGGGGAGATAAAATTAGGCATAACTGTCAGAAATTATCATAGTTGCAACATAGGCACAATATACCTCATATTTATCTCATTTCTACCAAATGAAATTTTCTTTGAAAAATCTTGAGATGATTTTGCAAAAATTTATGACACTCGGCTTCCCCATTTCTATGAAGGGGTAGGACAAGGTCCCTGCCCTTGATAGGTCATGAGATAGATTTAGATGCCCGGTGTCCTTGTCTCTACTAGGTCAGTACAGTGCTTGCTTTCATTAACATTTCAGAACCTCCTTCAGTGGTGCCATCTGCAGAGGAGGTGGTAACAGTAGCTGGTCAAGAAGTGATGCTCACATGTGAAGTGACAGGTCAACCTTTGCCAACTGTTACTTGGACACGACCAGACCTAGCCCACCAACCCATCACACCTGAAGACCCACGTGTGCAGGTCACATCTTAATTGTCTATTTACTGCTCTTTGTTTGTGCCTAAGTGAAATGAGAAAATAGAACCAAATTTTGCAAGAAACAAAAATCTTGACATTTAACAATTAACTCCTATTAAGGGTTGCACATTAAATATGAACTTTTAAATTATTAAAAGATCTCAACATTTTGCTTCATTATGAGAGCTCTCTTGCTCTTCACTTTATTTCTTATGCATTTAGCATATCTCTACAGTCATTTTGCACATAATGATTTCCTTCTACACTTAGGCCAATCACTCCCCCTCTCAACCACCACATAGTCATCTTTGCACATATAAATTTTTTGCAAGATGCTGGAAAAAATAGTTAATAACAGATTGACATAGTATATTGAAGTCAATTTTCTTGTGCCACCAAGACAATGCTACTTCCGAAGTAGTGTCCATGTCTTTCAACCCGATGATATGAGAGCCTTTGACACAGACTTTGACTATGAGAAAACTTTCCAAGTTCATTGTTGTATTCCTCACTCAACAATGGTCTCAAATTATAATGGGGCTGCACACTTGGACTCAGGGACCCATAAAAGAGTGTCTTTCACTGTAGTGTATTGAGTGTAATTACATTTATCCTAGTAATGAATACTATCACTATAATATATATATATATATATATATATATATATATATATATATATATATATATATATATGTATGTATGTATGTGTGTATGTATGTATGTATGTGTGTATGTATGCGTGTATGTATGCATGCATGCATGCATGTATATGTATTCATGCCACCATTAATTAAATATTGTATATTCAATACTGCTCTTCAACCAGGATTGAACATTGAATTAATCATACAGCTGACCCTCAGTAAAATAGAGCACTCTTCAAAGTTTAAAGTTTTTAATTCTCCAAAGTGCAAATTCAGTTGTAGTACATTTCTGCAGATTGTGAGGGGGGGGGGGGGAAGTGTCCAAAGCCATCATTAATTGTTGATGGAAAGGCACTGCCGAGGAAGGCCATATATTTGTAGGGTTGATTTATGACAAATGATTGTCATTTGTACAACACTTGAGGCTCTTTAAGTGACCTGCACCAAGAACATAGAGCAATTATAACAGTTCTCACATGTAACATGGGTAGCTGACACACGGACCATGCTACCACTATTCACTCTGTAATTAATAATTATTAGTGTTGTTATCCTGAAATTGATGCACAGCATGAAAGTATACTCATAACCATGATAGGTCTCAATCATGGTTAAATAACAATGAAATACAAAAAATGCACTATGTGATATGTATTATCTCATTCAGCATGTGCATCTACAGTTCCTACTTGAATACATATTCACTTCCACAAAGTCACTTACATACAGTAGAAATTCATTCAAAATGTTTTTTGTAAAAGCTACAAGCAGTCTGAGTAAAATTTAATTTATCATTGGGCATACAGATTTCTGGCACAGATCTGGTGATCATGCCAGTAGCAGTTGAGGACATGGGACGCTATGAGTGCACAGCTCACAACCCAGCTGGCCGTACCACGGGGCAGCTCAACCTTGTTGTTCACTGTAAGTATCTTAAATATTATTGTTATTTAAAGATACATTTTCTTGTCTGTCTACATACATATATATATTGTGTGTGCGTGTGTGTATATATACATATAGTACTTTATATCTCAAGTTTATCTATACTGTTGTTCAGTCTGTAAATCTGCTATAAAGGGAAAGATCTGCAATACATATTTTATAAACTCGCCATCATTTTAAGTAATGTATGCAATGCGTGAACAGCTCCACCAATGGTGATGGAAGAACTGTCGGAGACAGTGTCTGTGCAACGTGGGGAGAACTTGGTGCTTGGTTGTACAGCATCAGGTTACCCTCCTTCCCGCACAACCTGGTTAAAAGAGGGACGTATCCTGTCAGAGATGCCCAGGCTCACATTTGCCACCAATGGGGAACTCGTCATAACTGCAGCACAGGTAAAGCAAAACCACCAGTAGTTTTAAAGAATGATATAACAAAGGTACTGAGAAGATGGTACTCCATGAGAGTAGCTCTCATTCTGTAACTTTACTTAAGCTAGTACTCTGAAGAAATTACCTTTTATATTTTTTGGTTAACTTTCTTTTGTGTTCCCTTATGATGGCCCTACTACCACGAGGCAGCCTGTGTATGTAATTACCTAAGTGTAGTTACAGGATGAGAGCTATGATCATGGTGTCCCGTCTTCCCAGCACACACTCATTCTCATGCTATTCATTCTCCATCTACATTTTGTACAGTCAAGTTGCACTGTAATATAAAAATATGGAGACAGGAATCTTAAATTCTTTTATTGTAATGCTGTGTTTTCATATTCCTGCAGACATCTGACTCGGGGTTGTACACCTGTTTAGTGATGAATGCTGCAGGCCGCCTATACCGTGAAGTGGAGGTCTTGGTTCAGGTTCCCCCTCGCCTTGTTGTCCTTCCTCGCACCAATCAAGTCACACGTGGTGATAGGCAAGCTACTCATTCCTCAAGAAAATAATCAGTACAGAATATATCAGTCATATTCAATGAAACATGTATAAAGGAAAACCTACTGCCAGTATACACAATATATATATAGAGTATAATATTATTATTTAAAGTTTTTAGTTTGTTTGCAGGTTTGAGTTGGAATGCGAAGCTGTGGGTGTTCCAAGGCCTACCATTCAGTGGCTCCTAAATGGCACACAGGTGAGATACCACCATGAGTACACAACGGTGCTGCTTTGGTGTATAGTATTTTCTTTGAACTTATCTTGTGAAGTACAGTACTAGTATATGGTATGACATTTATCATTGTGACAAGTTACTGATACTGTAGTTTGTATGGTATTACATCTTCATATATAAATTTGGTATAGTGTATTATAATAATCACGTATAAAATTAACAAGTTTTACTCAAATATTTGTCCAGTAAAAACTGAATCAGTAAGCAAAAATTGGTTCCACTTATACGTACAGTATTATATTGCAGTATAATTAAGATGCATACAGATGTATTTAAAATGTTAGATAATATAATGTTGTCAGTGTTGCAATTATAGACAACCACACACTTTCCATGCCCCTTGGGACCGAAACAAGACAAAAAATCTGTTGCCTGAAAAATGACTGTCATCCTGAATTTTGAGGGGAAAAACGAGAACTAAAATATTTTTCCAATGTTTTAAGTGCTGATTCTCTAATGAAACTGTAGTATTTGCTATGGCGGTGGGTTGTCTATGGTATTTGTGACGGTGGTAGATTGTCTACAATGTTTGTGGTGGTGGTTGGTTACTCTGGTCTACAGCCAAAATGCTTCTGAAATAAATGAAGTCAATCTTAACTAATTCTGGATTACTGAGAATGAAAATTTGTAAAATTCTTTTAATTTTAGAGCTAATTTGTAATTAGTAATTTGTAATTACTGTGTGTGTGTATATATATACATATATACATACATACACATATACAGTATATAGTTAAAGTGTTTTATACCTGTTAGGTAGATGGCGTTGCTGTTTCTTCAAGTGGGCGATCAGTGCTTGTAGTGGAACGAGCCTCTAAAACAGATGAAGGAACATATACGTGTCTCGCAGAAAATGATGCTGGACACAGAAAGGCCGTTGCTGCTATCAGGGTCAAAGGTGAGTCCCATTAATGAAGTTTTTTCATGATACAGAGAACTATGCAACTTGTATCATCTATTGCTTAAGTTACATTCATTTTCTATTGAAAATACAAAAGGTAAATCACCATTGTTATTAATAGACATTCTTTTTGTCATCAGTGCCTCCCGTGATCATGTATGCCCCTGAGGAAATGACAGTGTTAGAGCTCAACACAGTAACACTGACATGTGTCGCAGAGGGTGATCCCGTACCAGCCACAACCTGGATCAAGGAAGGACACTCCGTCCATTCCTCAGACAGGGTTCATCTAATGGATAATGGCTCCTTGGTATGCTTCTTGTTATTATTAATAAAAGTACTGTATTACATAATTTCTATTACAGTATAATATATTGTATATATATTAATGGTCCTTCTTGTGGAGTTGCATTCATTGAGTGGATAATGTGCCCTACACCCATCCTGTAGGTGGTAGTAAGTTCAGGAACTGAACCGTAATGTTCTTTTTACCTGAGCAAATAACTGTGTTAATTATCTGTTAAAAACAGCAAATCTAAGGTATTTATCTGGGATTTTAGGTAATACTGTGTGTTATTATGGATAAAATATTTGGACATTTATCCTCATCATGACAAGTATCTTCGTAAGTGGTAATGTCTACCCTAGAGCCTGGGGCAATTTCTGTTGTTCCGGCTTGCTTGAGTGGCAGGAGGTGTCTACTGTAATACAGGTGTTTCTTCTCTCCTGTTGTCTCCCATGATGTGGGTCTTGTGCAGCTGCACAACACCCCCCGAAGCCGGGGGTTTTCTGGAGGGGTCCCCTTGGTCGGGGATGCTTGGTTTGTTCTGCTAGGGGTGCATTGTGGACTTTATTCAGTGAAGCCTTTGCAGTGCTACCTTCATGCCACTGGTTCTGCTTTGGTAGACTCTTTGTAGGTTGATCCGGTTTCCCTGGTTCCCTGTTCCAGGGTTCATATTTCTTGGGTCATCCACAGTGTCATTAAATCTAGCCAGCCTGCAATCTACCCTTATGCCCATGATGTGCAAAAAATATGCAGCTCTATCTGCAGTCTTTGGTATGTTGTCTTTGGGCAATTCAGAATTTGCGTGCAGGGGTTTTGGCGGTCGAACAGGGTCTAGGCGGCCGGGTATCTTGTGAATGTTCCCTGTCCTCAGCAATCTTTTGTGGGTTTGGATCGTGTGTCAAGGCTGTTAGTCTTTTCCTCGTCCTGATATCTGCACTCCCTCCTTCCTGGTAAGTGCTCTGTTTTCATTCTCAGCTGGTAGATGGCTTCAGAGAGCCACAAGGGGCTCCTCCCAGAAAACAAACGTTGAACATAATGCAACGGAAATTTCTGGGCGAGCCCTGGTGGCTCCCTAATACCCTCCCTCCCCCAGAGCATTGGGAGGTTTACATCATCATAAGAATTTGTGGTGGAGCAGCCGGATGACCTGATCTGATTCCTTCCTCCCCCTAAAGGAGGGGGGGTAGGTGGGACACACAAGTTCACTAGTTTCATGAATTTTCTATCATTTGTTTACTTTGTTGGGGGGAGTTCATTTGACTGTTTTGAGGCTCCAGTATGGTTTTTAACCAAGCAGTGGCCTGTTTTGTTTTACTGACTTCCTGGGTGCCTTCCCTTGGTGATGGCAAACACGAACAAATTTTATATAAAATTGTTCATAGTGCCACTGCTCTCTGTGCCTCTTTGAGGGGTTGCTAGGTTCTGCCTCACAGTCCCCAGTAGGGCAAAACAGAATTCCACGATCTGATGACACACAAACTGATGATTTTTTGCCCAGTTTGGTACTTTATCAGCATATCTTTATCAGATGTGTTTTTCAGGGAGTCACCGGGTCTCGCCCAGAAATTGTTGTTTTATTACATTCAATGCTTGTTTTTTCCTGGATAGTATAGTTTAAACTTGTATGTGCTTTTGTCTCTGTTCTGTATTCCCTATTTCTATTCCCATTCCCATTGTGTGTCCATGGTGCTTAGGGACATTCTTGGAATTGGTGGTTTTTGCTCAGTTGGTTACTTTGTTTATTGACATGTTGTCGTGGGTCCACAATATGGCTAGACTGTGGTTAGTGATTGGATTTGCCACTTCTTGCATGGCCTAACATTGACAGTACAGTACTTTTGTTGTTATAGGCACACTTTGGATATGCTTCTGTTTCTTGCCTCTAACGAATGTGTCAGGGACAGGATGTTCATGCTCTGGGTTTGTGTGATTAAGGCAGCTTCTGGTATACTGTACTGTATGTGGATCCATTCTGGACTGCTTCTTAAGACACCCTTCACCTTGGTTAGTTAACATAGAATTACTGTATGGTGTCCTTTGATTCAGCCCCTTCTTCCTGTTCCTTCCAGGTTATAAACACTTGTTGACTGCATCATTCTCCCTTCTTTGATTTTTTTTTTTTATTTTTATTTTGTTGCCAGTTCATATATACTTTCTGGCTCTTCTCTCACATTGGGCCCATCAGATTCTTTTTTAGCAGCATCACCTTTACTTAGGATTGGCATCTGCCACTTTGCTTTATATCTCATGCAATATAAGGTCTCAACCTGTCATTTGGCTTTGGGTGAGCTTTTCTTTGTTACCATTATCAAGGCTTTTCCATCATCCCCATTTACTGTATTCGAGCCTTCTATTTTCTTAGGCTACCGTGGTTCCTACCGAGTCAATGAGTTTTTCATCTGGGCTAATGTTTTCTTATTCTCTCACTGGTTTCAAATCATGCTGTCAGAGATTGGTGTTCAGTTTCCAGTTCCCATTTGGTTTGATCTTACATTCGGCAATCATATTGGACTCTTCTATGCTCTCTATCTTTGAAGGATTTGTTGTTCTTCAGGTCTAGTTATTCAGGTTTGTTTGTTATAATTTTCATTACCATTAACATTTTAATTTGTTCTTGTAATAAAACCTTGGCAATAATTTATTAACAAAATTCTAGTGATCTCGATTATATGTTGTACTAGGTAGTTCCATATCTTTTTGAGATGAATTAACATCATCACATGAAACAATTAGGAAAAATTATTCAAAGTATGTTGGATGTATAAATATTTCATGTTGTGTTTAGGTCATTGACTCGTCTCAAGCATCTGATGCCGGTGAGTACAAGTGTGTGGTGAGCAATGATGCCGGTGCAGCTGAAGCCACTGCTCACCTAGTGGTTCACACACCTCCCATCCTCACACGCACTCCCATGACTGCAGGTCAGTTTTCACAGCGTTTGCTGTTTGTGTCTTGTATCTCATAAAATGGTAAATTGTTATACCTTAGCATACAATGATTATTAATTTTAACTGCAATGATGTTATTTGTCTTTCTTTTATGTTTTTGTTTATATTTTGAGATTTTGTTCCATTATATATAGCTGTGTATGTAGTGAGATTAATGGAATAGATTAAATAAATATAACAATAAAACAGGGAGCACTTGTTGAACTTGTCTCCCTCAGTGGTGGAAGTTGGTGGAACGGTGGTGTTTGACTGTGAGGCGGAGGGCTCTCCTCCACCAACCATACAGTGGAGTGTCAGCCCAGGAGAACTACACTCTCGCTTCCTCCAACTAACCAACGGCTCTCTGCAGGTAATTTATCACCTACAAGATTTATGTATCATAAATACAAGATTTGGAAATACCCCTCTAGAGTTTGAATACATTACCATAAACTAAAATGTATAAGAATACTAGTGACTAACTGTTATGTACAGCTCATTTATTGTTGTGCTACTTTGCTCTTATGAAAACACTTGTTAATCTTGAACAGTAATGGATTGTTTTACTAAAATGTATTTAACCACTGAAATTATGAAATGGCAATATTCCTTCCTTAATTGGTTAATATTTGTGTTCTTAGCTGATAGCAGCCCAGATGGAGGATGAGGGTCATGTCATATGCCAGGCTTATAACGATCTTGGTGAGGACTTGGCAAAGGCTGACCTCTTTATTAAAGGTATGCACCATCAACTTACCTGTACTGTACTGTCATAAACTTTACTTTGCAGATAAAAGTATATATTTCAGTTGTATTGAATACATTAACAATAATAAGGATGTATAGAAGCACAATAATAAGAATTTAGATTATTTGTGAATGATTTTTTACAAAGGGCTTTTATAGGTATTTTGTGCTCTCTTCAACCAGTAATAAATATGAATACAAACATGGTATTATGGTTGATGAAATGTTTAACACTTTATATTTATTCTGTATCAGTTTTATTTATTTTGTAGTATCAGGAATGTGGGGTTCCTGGGGTCCCTGGGCAACATGCAGTGTGTCATGTGGTACTGGACAACAGGAGAGGAGAAGGGTGTGTAACACTCCTGCGCCACGCCATGGAGGTTCTCTCTGTCAAGGTGACGAGGCTCACACTCGCCCTTGTCGTCCTCACCCATGCCCTGTGGATGGTAACTGGTCACCATGGGATCCCTGGAGTGAGTGCAGGTTAGTCAACTTCTTGTTTGTATTTATAAAATTAACTTTTCTGAGCATAGACTACTCTGTTGCTCCCTTAGACAATGGTGTATTCTACTTCCCTGGGACGATGAAGACGCCATCCTAAACAAGTGTGACTTTCTCATCTCCAAGGTAGAGGGATCTTTTCTGAACCAATATTGATAAGCCATAACAAGAAGAAGAAAGATACGGAAGAGTTCTTAATCCAGCCCTGTTAGAAAGTACATTCCTATACAGTACTCACAAAAATCTCCACCAAGCCATACGTGAAATCGGAGAGAATTGCCAAGTATTGCTCTGCTATTCCTAACCAATAATTACTGTAGTTGCTCACCTTGCCTCTGTCATCAGTGTTACCATCATGTGGCAACACTCTCCATGTTGAAATACTTTCCTCTTCCACAGGATATTATCTCAGTCATTCCGATTTTGTTATTGAATGCTGCCCATAACATTTCTGTAAGTCTGTAGTTTTAATACTCATGGTGGTTCATATTCATGATGATTTGAACATTCTCATGGATAGCCGCTTTCATTTCAATCCCACTGGAATGGAAATGTAAGTGGATGAGACCTACTTTGGCCAATATGGGAGACCTTAGAAATGCCCAAAGGTGGATCTGTGTGTCTGCTTAGAGTTGTAAGCTTATCAGTTGTTGGCTACATATCGAGATCAGTAAGCATCTACATTTACAATTCATCTCATCTGATACTAGTTTGAAATCATTTATTTGTTTCCTCCAGTTTATTTGTTGTTTCTATTGCTGGCAAAGTTGGAGTTTTGAGCTGCCTGTTTTTAATTCGTGAGTGGCTGGTCCTGCCTCATACACTAATTGTTTCATTGTGTCTTATTTCCAAAAACTGGTCATCATGCAGAGGTCCAGTCCCCAGAGGTTTGTGGACTCTTACATGCTCTCCACTGATTTTTCTGTATGGCCACCAGACAGCAGAGATTTTTCTGCCTCGGCAATTTCTTTATAAGTCATGGACCCATGTTTTGTGAAAGTTTGCCGTGTTCCAGGCATTTTCCTCTGCCATGTCTTGTATGAAAATTTGGGCCTGGCGGTTTGTAGAACAAACTACTCCATCATCCATTTCTGCCCGAAACGCTTTGCGTAATAGTGGCTTTAGGCATTGTATGTACTAGCTCTATCTATAAAGCCAACAAACTTTGTAAAATCTCTATGTATGTACCTTACCTAAATAAAAATTATTATTATTATTATTATAAATTATTATTATTATATTATTATTATTATCCTACCTGCCAGGCTTTCCAAGTCTTCGTCATCAGTGTGTGTGTTGCATAAGAATGTCTTTCATTCCTCTAGTCTCCTTGTAAGTGTAGTCAAGCCTAGGATGTTGACGTCTCTGAGAATGCAGTTCTCATCATCTCTCCTGATGCCTTTCTGGACCTTCTTGTGGGACAGATCTAGAGGGTTACCTTCATTTAACATTTTTCTGTACGCTTTCCTTCCTGGGGTGTCCATGGTGATTCTTGCCTGTGAAAGTGGCTGAGTTGATGTATGGTCAGAAATAGTGTTGAGGGAAGTTAAAACGCTGCTTTCCAAGTGGTACGGCCCTCTCGGGTCGCAACGGGATTCGTACTCTGATGTTATTAGAGGAAGTGGTATCCGGCCCCAAGCCAGTAGTGGCTTTCAAGGGATGAGATCCGTGACGCAAGTAACTTAAAGGGGAAGGGAAATAAAGGCAAAAACTTAAGATTATAATTATTACCATCACCAAATAAATAATATAAGATTACACAGGGGGAGGGCTATTAACACTGCACAAGGGTATTATACAATCGTCTTCTCCTGAAGACTCTGGATCCAAACTCTCGGTGCCAAGTCCTCGGTGCTTTCGTGGTCTCTTCGACGAATCTTTCGACCAAGCTGAGTCTACCCCAAACACAGGCCAGCCAAAACACAGGTCCACTGGGGGCACCGCCGTGGAGGCCGTCAACCACAAGTCCAGCAGGTCTGCTGGCAGGTTCCGGATCAGCAACGCTGGTCAGGCCACTCCACGAGCGATACTAGGGTAGCGCCCTAGCCAGGAGCCTCGTGTGATACCACAAATCACTCTCCTGTCCTCAATACCCCAGTGGATAATCGTCTCCAGCAGTCGGTCCCGGGTACGACGATCCTTCACTGCCGTTTCATAGGCAGGGTAACGCCACAGTGTTCATCCGGGGGCCGACTCACAGCTGCTGCAGCTAAGCACAAGATATGGAGACGGCTGCCTTAGGTAGACTGACTCAACTTCCATCACAGCAGTCCCAGGTCGACTCTGTAAGCAGACACGTCATCAATAACAGGGACACCAAAACACCTCACTTACAGGCTCAGACACAAACGCCCGACATATCCACTCCATAGATGGCGTTGTAGTCTGAGCACCACCTCACCAGAGGTCAGCAGCGGCGGTGTTGTGAGCTGAACCGGACTGGAAACTGGCCCTTGTGGCCAGTACACGTTGTCCTCACCAGGTGTCGTCGTCCATTTGGAGGGGGTTTCAGGAGCTGACCCACAGATGGCGCGGTCGTCACTGCTCCGTGCTCGGACGCTGGATCCGGGTTCGTAACACCAAGATTGTCACTCAGTCATTCCTCTGCCCTCGTTCTAAAATTTCACATCCTGATATGGCCTGACTGGAATATTTAGAAAAGATCCTCATGGCATTGAAGACCTGAAAAACACACTGGCCCAGATTGAAATATGTAATACCCCAGTTGAGCAGAATTTTGGCTATCATAATATCAAATGACCACCTCAGAAAGAAGCATTTCAGCTATATTTTTTAAATATAAGATTTATACTTCATTTCTTTCAATATTTTTCTGCCAAATTTAATGTTTATAATTTATAACTTGTATATGGAGCAGCACAACCTGTGGCGGTGGAGTACGACTTAGGTCAAGATACTGCACGGCTCCTGCCCCTTTATATGGTGGTCAGGCTTGTGAGGGTGCTGCGGTTGAAGAGGAAGACTGCCGGTTAAGGGACTGCCCAGGTAAACTTATTAAACAATTATTAAAAAATGATGTAATCCAGTGCCTATACTGTATATGTTTCTGGGAAAATTCCCCTGTGGCTCCCTAAAACTGAAGCTATACACTGAGATGATTCCCAGACACATGCATTAGGTTGCATCAGTCATGGAGTTCTTAGGCCTTCTGGGGACCAGAGCCAGAACCTGGCCACCTTCACAGAGGCACAAGGAGCGGTGACATTTTGCCACCTCACCAGTGAAGGCAACCAGAAAGTCAGCAAGCCAAAACAAACCTCTGCTGGGTTGAAAAAAAGACCGAAGCCTCACAACTTGCCTAATGAACTCCGGCAGTGGCCGGAGAGGGGTTAAGTTCTGGCTCTGGTTTCTGTTAGGCTTAAGAACTGCAAGGTGATGTGATCTGGTAGATGGGAACCATCTCAGTGTATAGCTTCAGCTTCAGGGAGTCACTAGGGCTCCCTAGTGGCTCCCAATGTTAAAAATTCAATGTTAAAATTAAGCTGTATATCAGCTATAAAAGTACTGTAACAGTAAATTTTTCATTAAACTATGGATAAATTATTTACAATTTGACATTCTTTAAATGCTTAGTGTCAGGTGAATGGGGCATATGGACATCATGGTCTGACTGCAGTACAACGTGTGGTCAAGGGCTTCGTCAGCGGACCCGTCTGTGTGACTCTCCACCGCCTGCAGCTGGTGGTGAAGAGTGCAGAGGTGATGGTCTCGAGATCATGCCTTGCTCAAGCCCACCGTGTCTGGTAAGGAGGAGAATTTTTGCTTGAGAAACTTGAACATCTCTGGTTATTGCTTGAGGACATGGATGCTAATGAAATGTATTTATTGTGTTTAACTTCAGGTATTTTCATTGTTATTTTAGTGTATAGCATATAACCATTTCATCATAATGTTACTGGCAGCTGGATGGTAACTGGGGATCATGGGAATCATGGAGCGTGTGCAGCGTGTCATGCGGTGGGGGAATGCGACGACGACAGCGGGAATGCAATGACCCACCTCCTTCAAATGGTGGCCGGTTTTGTCCTGGTTCTGACACACTTGAAGATTATTGCAATCTCGACATGTGTCCTGTTAATGGTACAGAAACATGTCTTATGTATTTATATAGCTAATTTTGAATTCTGAGAGGAAAAATAAGTGTTTAGCATTTGCAAATTTATAGTCTGAAATATAACCATCATTAGAAGAAAAAAAAAATCACAAATCTTTCATGTATGTTTATCAAACTTACCTCCAAATATTGCAGCACAGTTCAATAAAGAAAATATGGCCAGCAATATAATAACTTTACATTTGTAATTCTGATTTGACTCCCATTTCCTTGTAGTATCTGTCAGCATCATATTGAAGCAGTAATATTATGATTAATATCCAGAATACAATATTAGTCTTACCCACACATAATGAATATTTCTCTTGTATTATGTCTTGTAAGGCTAATCGAAATGTATGGAAAAATAAGTATTTTATCTACAGTATTTAAATGTGATTTAATGTCTTATTATACCTGCATTCTTGTATTGACTGATCTGGACTGCTTATGGAGAAATGGTGGCCAGCCCAGCCTTGGCTTCAGGCACTGCTTGTATGGTGTCCAAACCTGGTCATTTTCCCACGGCTCTGCTTCTTTTAGACGATCCAGTAGCATACCTTGCTAGTTCCACCTTCTCCTCTGCTCTTGCATCAGGAGTTTCTGGTGCATGTTTATCACCATTTTATGGTGCTCATGTGGCTGATTTGTTGGTGTCCCACCTGCAGTCCTCCTCGTGGTAACAGTATGAAGTCTCGTGGCATGCGTTGCACCATTTCGTCTTTTTTTGTCCTTGCTCTTCAATTTCGGTTGTCATGTATTTTCTTTCTTGGAATTTTTCTGGATCGGCATCTAGTGCCAAGTACTGTCGCCTTGTATTGTACCAGGGCTCGCCCAGAAATAGATGTTTCGGTACATTCAACACTGCCCAAACTTGGGCTGAACAATAGTGATGTTTCGCTTCATGTAGGTCAATGTTCCATCCCCAACCATTCAAGTAGTTGGATGCCATTTCTTTCCCCAGTTCCATCCCAAATCCTAATGCTGACCCTTTCCAAGTGCTGTGTAGGCATAATGTCTTAATGCTATCTCTTGATAGTTTCCTTTCCCCTACATTCAACGTTTTTTTTTTTTTTTTGCGCTATGAAAATAAAGCATAATCAGATGAACTAAATACAAGTCATTGGAAAGCATTTACAAAGTAAATTATATAATTGAAATGGATATTGTTGAGGATTTGTAATGCTATATTTTTGGCAGGAAAATTCAAATCTCAAAATCATCATAGTTTTCTCCGTTTCATTTTAATTATCGTCCGATTTTCATTAAATTTTAACACAACACACAAATTGGCAGGCTTTACAATTTAGAAAAAAATAGTGATAGAATGTTTTTGGTAAAATATATTCAAAATGCCAAATTCATTATTTTTTAGTATTAGGAAACATTAATTAAAAATTTCATCTAACATCTTGTCTCAATTCATCTATAGAATTGTGCCTGGTCTTTCCATTGATACCATCAAAATTACAAATAAAAAGTAAAAAAAAATTGTTTATTATATTTTTCAAGAAAGTTTAGTTTAAACCTACTTTTTAGTAACATTTGAAGGCTAAATATAAAAACATAAATCTGAAAATATCATTCTAGGGTAAAGTTGACTCAGGCCTCGTAAATTATTGTACAGGTGGTTGGTCATCGTGGTCAGTGTGGGGGTCGTGCACAGCTACATGCGGGGGAGGTCAACGAAGACGGTTGCGAACATGTGACAATCCTTCTCCATCCCAGGATGGTCGGACATGCACTGGTCCAGACACTGACACTGAGGCTTGTAATGTGCATAAATGTCCAGGTAACTACTTAACTTTGAATAAAACTTTCAAGAATGTGAAAATTTAAAACCTCTGTATGTATTTTACTTTGTTCTGTTTCTATTATATAATACATTTTTAATGATTATAAAGGAACAGACTAAGACTTGTGATGATACACCTCTATTTCCAAGTGTAACTAGCGATTTGTCCCGACTGCTGGGACTTCCAGGGTTTATTAATGTGCCGAGATTTTAGTATGGTGCTCTTGTTCTTGTAGTAAGTGGAGCATGGGGGTCTTGGGGCGAGTGGACAGGATGTAGTATGACATGTGGTACAGGAATTCGAGTCAGGAGTAGAAGATGCAATGCTCCTTATCCAAGGTTTGGTGGCACTCCTTGTCCAGGGGAAGAACGTGAGGTTAGTAATAAATACTATTTTACTCTATTTGGAAGACTTATGCATTAAAACTTTCCTCTCTTTTATAACTCCGTGATTTCATATTTTCATTGTTTTATTAATGCAGTACGTATATTATTTAACATATTTTTAAATAAGATAATTGTTTTTAAATTCATTATACAATACTGTAACTCATATATCCATACATGGTTTGTAATTTCCAATACAACTTGGTTTGTGTTGATAATATGCTTGACCACCAGACTGCTACCTGTGAGGGAGATGCTTGTGAGATACTGCCTGTGGTGGCTCGTGGGACACTGATGGGAGAGCTCAATGGCGAAGATCTGGGCATTGTTGCTATCAATGCCAATGTCACCACACTCGGCATGCAGAGAACCGTCACTGCTAATGTCAGCCCTCTTATACCCAAACATGTATGACTGATTCTTAATCTATATTTATACTCTTCTAGTTTTAGGAATGCATATATATATATATTTGTTAATTTCTTAAGACTAGTAAACCTGTAATTGTGCATTAATACAACCTGTTATCCAAAAATGATAGTACTGTACCTATCATTACTATGGATGGAAGTACAAAATATGGACTGTTGCACCCCAAGAAAGATATTATTTGTGTACTATTAAATAAAAGCCCAGAAAAAGTAGGAAACAACCAAACCTAATGTTTCCTTAAGCATAGTATGGACGATATATGTACTAAGACCTTAAATGGCCTAATGTATACAAGGCCTAAGATTACTTATTTAGGGCCTAGGACAGGTTAGGCTTATATTTGCCATTTCACTCTTTGATATGACTTTTGTAGTAAAAAATCTGAAGTCTCTTTGGGTTCAACAGTTCATATTTTGCACATTTCACCCATGGTACCAATAGATACTATAATTTTCAGATGTTGGGTTGATATGTATTAGTGATCAAGTTATATTTTCACATAGTTTCTAATGTTTGAATAACTTGCTATGAAGGAAGTAATAGAATTCTTTCAATTTACTGTACTGTGCTTTCCACAGCATCCTCAAATAAAAATTGTGATGCATGAAATGCTGTAAATCTAACTCCTACTGTTTCTCTATTTTAATTTTACTCTTGTACAATATTCAGGGCACCTGGCTTACTCCCCTCCTGTCAGTGGTGTCTCCTGTGTACTGGACTTCAGCCTATGAGATAAATGGAGCAGCAAATGGACACTCGCTAACTAAGGGATTCTTCCGACGGGAGGCTCATGTTGCATTTGCTACTGGTGAGTAGAATTACTTTTGGGGGGATGGGGCAGCAGGAATATTCCTTTGTGTATAGTAAGCCTCTGGCTGGCCTGCTAAATGTTATTCACTTCTGTCTTACCCAGTGAATATGCTATTTTATGCAGTTGCCCCAGCTATTTTGTAGTGTATCCAGTCACCTCTTCTTTTGAAAATGTTGATGGAAGAGAGGCAACCCGGTATGCATTACATCAGTTATAAAACTGGGGTCGAGATGCTGGCTGGCGGAGAGCTTCCTCTCCTTTCATCCCAAACAAGTAGGAAAAGTGGGGTGAATGAGCTTATGCTAGTTTCGAGAGACTTCAATCATTTGTTTACATAGTTGGGGGGAGGCAGATTTTGAAGTGTTCATCTCTTTTGAACTCAGAAATGGTATGTTTTGACTTGCAGACTTTCTGGTTGCCTTTCTCTGTGAGGTGGCAAAAATAAATGTTTTCACTCCCTGCACCTCTTTGATTGGGCCAAGTTCTGATGCTGGTCCCTGATAGGCCTATAGAACTCCACGGCAGAATTATTTTTTATTAATTTATATATACACAAGTTCTTACATTCTTGTAGTCACTAGCACACACAGCATTTCGGGCAAGTCCTTAATCCTAATAATCCCCGGAATACGACCTCCCCAAATCGTTTAACAACCAGGTACCCACTTTACTGTTGAATAAACAGAGGCTACAGTTCAGGATTTGCACCTAATAAATCCTCCATGGCCAGGATAAGAACCCAGGCCAAAGTGCTCATGAAACGCCAGGCGAGTGTTTTATCACTTCGCCACAGGGACTGCTAAACAAAACTGTTCCCCAACCTAGTAGATGGTGGTATCTCAGCATATAGTAGCTTCAGGAAGCCACCAGGGCTCACCCAAAAATTGGCATTTCATTACATTCAATGCCGGTTTTATGTTTTAACAAATCAATAAAGGAAATTACTGTACAGTACTTTATTTATTATCAAAATATTTTTTTTTTTTTTTGAGATATATACAAGAGTTGTTGACATTTTTACTTTTGACATTTGACATTTGTTGTTGACATTTTTTGATATGTACATTTTTCTTTTGTAGGCGAGACTGTGGACATGACTCATGTTGTGCGAGGTGTTGACTCAAATGGTGTGTTATTGGTGGATGTGGTAGTAACTGGCAGTGTTCCTTACCTGCCTCCAGGCTCAGTCATCACACTTCAACCTTACAATGGTGAATATTGTACATTGCAAACTTACTTGATTTATACATGAATAGCTTGTCCTACATACCTCAGCACAGTATTAACAAATATAATTTATGTATAAAGTACAAAGTTACTGTACTTTTTAAAAAATTTATTTATGTGAAGGTCCTTTATAAAATTTCATCATTGCATCTTGGGCAAAGATTTATAATCATAAGAGCACTGTTACCAGATTAATTTTATGTATATGATGTAAGTAATAAATATATAATAATTTCATCAAATAATATTAATGGAATCATAAATATCTCACTCTAATCACTTCATTTTTTCTTTGTTGCCCCACAGAGAACTACGTACAAACAGGTGGAGGGTCACTCTTTGCCACTTCAACGCGCACCTTCTCTGTCGGTGAATACCACCTGCCTTATGCCTGGAACCAAACCATATCTTATGATGCAGAACTTGGCAGTATGCCTTACCTTGTTGAGACTTTGCATGCAAATGGATTAGGGTCGTTTTACAGGTAGGAAGTTTCTTTATTTTCATAATACTGTACAGAATTTTTGTTAATCTACATGTAAACATAATAGATTTTGTATGAAAATAATAATTATTATGTACCTGGGCTTTAGTAATATACTAGTGTGATACGTTATAATTAAAGTCAGGGTGTAAAGATATTTTGATAATTTTGATAGTGAAGAGAACAAAGTGCTGATAACACTGTAAATAAACACCAAGATCAGATTAAACATTAATTGTAGATAACATTTTGCATGTAAGAGTTTGATAAAGCCCTTACATGTGAAACATTATCTACAATTTTGGTCTATTCTCTTCTTGTGAATATTAAATGAGAATAAATGAACCAATGCATCATTATAGTACTGTATTACTAATATACTCTATATTTCTTAATAAGTACATTGTCCTTTCAATTTTCCAATCTATTACCCAAACATCTGGAACTAGCTCTGTGATTAGCACTGTGTGTGAATGTACTACTTAAATGTTCTTAGAAATAGATGAAGATTTGCATATTTCTCTGTTTGAATGATTTTAACAGCTCCTATCTTCTCAGAGGAAGGTAAATGAATGCTGTACAATTATTTATCTTCGAATTGTAATTGTTGTGTTTTATTTCAATCATTATATGAACAAATGCTATTCTATCATTTACATTAATGAACAAAAACAAAATTGTTTGCCCAGAAATGATACTGAAAACCACTCCATAACCTCTAAATATAACAACCACAACCTCCATGTACTGAACGGTATAACAAACTTTGGTCCAGTCTCAATTGATTTGGAAAATTTAACAACGTATTTATTTTCTGCACACTCGGTGTCCTTACATAACACGGATCTTTTTAAAATTTTGCAGCAGTGGCCAAGCTGAACTTGACCTGATTGTCTCAACATCTATTGCACCAGGATCACCTAGTGACTCCTGCCCTTCAGGGTTTACGTTGGACGAGTCGGGACCCTACTGTCGTGACAATAATGAATGTTTGACTTCTACCAGTCGGTGTTCTCATGGCTGTACTAACACTGTTGGCAGTTATGCATGCACTTGCACCCCTGGATACACACTAGGTCCTGATGGTTACACGTGTCAAGGTAAGTTTGTCCCTAAGTTGTACTATTCATTTGCTCTGGTAAAAGAAACATTCTCACTTGTTATTAGACTTTTATTGTCAAGATAAATTTGATCAAACTTCTTGCTAAGTTTAATGGTTACAATACAAAGCAATTTCCTTTTTACCTTGTCAAAGTTATTCTCACCAACATCACTTTGATCTCATCTTTCATGTCAAAGTTAATCACCTTATCTTACATAGGCTAAAGTGTAAAGTCCTGGCACTAAATACTGTCTACTGTATTTATAAAGCCAATATGTTACAGTTCATTTCAATGATGGGAGTTAGGGATGGGGGGTTCCTCGTGTCAAAATGTTTACTCACGTATACAGTAGTTAGCTTGAGAGATGAACCTGTCCTGTGAGCATTACTAGCTAGTGTACACATTAGTATGGAAAGTAAGTGCACTGGGTGCATAAATATGAGTGAAAAATAATTAGGTTCAAATAAATCTGTCTCGCATGAACCAGTATCTTAAGTATTTACATCACAGTTTTGTCATAAATTAATTGTTTGTTATTATATTTAATATTATTTGTATTTTCTGGGGAAAGCCTCTTGTGGCTCCCAAGTGCTATTCACAGGTGCAGGGGAGTGGTAACATTTTGCCACCTTACCAGAAAAGAAAACCATAAGGTCAGCGAGTCAAAACAAACCACTGCTGGGTTCAAGAGATCAAAACATCGAAACCTGCCTAATGAACCCCCCCCCCCCCTGAGTTTCAAGGCTTCGGTCTCTTTCAAAGCCAGCAGTGGTTTGTTTTGACTCGCTGACTTTCTGGTTGCCTTTCCTGGTGAGGTGGCAAAATGTCACCACTCCTTGTGCCTCTGTGAGGGGGAGGGGGGTCAGGTTCTGTCTCTGGTCCCCCAGAAGGCCTAAGGAGCTCCACAGCTGATGTGACCTGGTAGATGGGAACAATTTCAGTGTATAGCTTTAGGGAGCCACCAGACTTCACCCATAAATTGGAGTTTTGTTACATTTAACACATTGTTTTAATGTAATTATATGTTATAAACAAAGATTGTCACATACCTGGTTGATACCTGGTTGATGGGGTTCTGTGAGTTCTACTCCCCAAGCCCGGTCCGAGGCTAGGCTTAACTTGTAATGTCGTCCAGTAACCAATAGCAAAGCCCCTTGATTTGGATTTCTGTCTGAATTGAGTAAAACAAAAGCTTTTCCTTGATTTTTGCCAAGTTATCCAGAGATTCAAGATACTGAGGTCCAAATCAGAGAGCCCTTATTGTAGTTATTTAATAAAGTAATGTTAAGATATTACATTTATCCTGAGCCTTGAATATTCTTGAAATCTCAAATGTTAAACCCTCCTAAGGATCACATCCCATTAGTGATCTTTTATATAATTTATGCTGAACCTGCAGTTACACTGAAACCATCTTCAAGGTTGACTCCTACCTGATATTGATAGTTTCATTGGCTGCCATTGAAATTGCAGTTTTGTATTAACTTTCATATTATTGCACAGGATGGGTTTGCATCAGACCAATTTAACATAGAGCTCTCACTGAAGGAAGCAAACTAGTAGTTTCTACGTTACCTATACAATATATGTAAACACAAATTTGGTTGACATAGTGTATATAATTGGTAGCTTAAGATTGATTTATTGAATATATCCAAAGTTTTATTCAAAGAACATTAAAGATAAAATGTAGAACATTCAGTACAGTAATTAGTGTTTTGCAAAGGATTTTATTAAATTTGTAAAACTTCTAGACAACAAACATTAAGGGGTTGTCTGAACTGGATTTCATTATTTAGCCTTCAGTTTCTAATTCTATTTGCCATTTCATCACTATACAAATTTCAACTTTTTATTTAATTTTATTACAGATGTAGATGAGTGTTCTATGTCTGGAGTGTGTGGTCCAAGAGAGCAGTGTAACAACAGCCCGGGTTCTTACATGTGTACTTACACCTGCGGTCACGGTCTGAGGAGGACACCTTCTGGCACAGCTTGCGAGGGTCAGACTCCTTTAGTTTCAAAACTTTATTACTGTACTTCCATCACAACCATAAATACTGTATTATTATTATTATTATTATTTAACATCACCTTGAAGAGCTTTACATGAATATATTTTTAATAAATTAGTAGTAGAAGATGGTAGTGATGGGTGAATATTAAGACGGATAAAAAGGGGGAGTTATCAAGGGAAAGTGCCAAGTCATTATGACTATATAGCACTGGGAAGGGGGTCAGGATAAGGATTTGGGATGGGACGGGGGGAAGGAATGGTGTCCGGCCACTTGGACGGTCGGGGGGTTGAATGCCGACCTGCATGAAGTGAGACCGTTGCTCTACCGTAATTTCATTGATTGGCTTGATAGGGTTAAGGCCTGAGGCAAAGCATTAGAGCAGGAATACAGCAAGCACCGAGTGATAGCTTGTCTTAACTTATTTAATGCTGTTTCTTATAGAAAATTACCCAATCAAAAACTGTATTATATTTAGGTATTCCCCTATTTAGGGATACCTGCATGTTGTCTACATTTTTTCCCCATTTTAAACAGACATTAATGAGTGTCAGGAGCAGCCAGATGTTTGTGACCAAACATGTCTTAACCTCATTGGTGGCTACCGATGTGATTGTCGCCGGGGCTTCAGACTTCTTGGCCAGAGTAACTGTGTAGGTCAGTGTTATTATCAGATAGTACAGTAATACCTTATTTTGCCATTCTGTATATCTGTCAGATAAGAATATTATACACTCTAGTTGAGTTGATTAGCTTAACATGGTTTAAGGGAATGTTTATTACAGTATCTGCAGATAACCAAATCCCAAAATATTAGGTTACTGCATTGCTTAGAAAATAGTTTTGAACAAGTTTTGGTCAATGTGTCGTCCCATACAGATATCGACGAATGCTCGCAGTTCCATTCTCCCTGTAGTCATGAGTGTAAAAACACAGTGGGTTCCTTCAGATGTACCTGTCCTGAAGGCCATAACCTCCTGCCTAATGGTCGCTGCAAGGGTAAGTTAAATAAATATAAATACAAAAGTTCAAAGTTTTTATTAATGCTAAAATAATGTAAAATAGGGTTAGTTCTAGAATATTGCATCACAACCAGGTGAATGGTTCACCAAGAAATAAATGAGATCAGAATCAAGGTTAATGAGAATAATAAGGGTGAATATGAATGGCAGAGTGAATGAGTATTTGATTGAAATGTAAAGTATCCTGCCTCCATGTTTGCATTTGTAACCTTTTTGGGGAATACTGTATACACATTTTGGTGTTTCAATAAATGAGCTGTAAACTTTTCTGCGTGGCTGTTAGCATCTCCTGTCAGGATAACATCCCAACTTTTTGTTCTCTTAGAGAGTCACACAGTCCCTACCAGTCTCCCTAATTCCAGTACCTGGTAGTGTGTGATGCTGCACTATCTTAGATAGTTTAATTATAAACAATGTGGAATTTACGTGAGATAATATCAATACAGTATTATAAGGGGTCCCGGTAGTACAGTCGGGGTTGTTCTCGACTCACAATCCAGAATTCCGGATTCAAATCCTGGGCGAGACAGAAATGGTTGGGCACATTTCCTATCGTCTAATGTTTCTGTTCACTTAGCAATAAGTAAGTACCCAGGAATTAGTCAGCTTGTTGTGAGGTTGCATCCTAGGGAGGATCAGTAATTCGACTTTGAGGTAGGGGATCTCAATATAAGCCTAATGTTTATAAATACAGTGGCTGCCTGTCCGCCGACACAATGAATTAAATTATTATATTTCTTATATCATTTTAATTTCAGTTCATTTTTATCCGAGATGTGTCTAGCATATTCATAATGTTACAGTTTACAAATATCATAAAAATTAGATAGGAGGTATGTACACAAATGCAAAAATTCAACAAAAACAATGCGTGAAGCTACATCCAACCAAATTTATGTAGTAAGATAATCAAAATAATAACATGCAGTTTACTGCCATTTCTTATTAATAGGCAAAATACTTTTGGCAGGAGGAACCTACCTGGAACATCCTGCTGTCTGAAATACACCGACTCTTTCCTGCAATGTCCAGTATACAACACACGAAACTTTTGATATTTGGTACATAGGCATTAATACAGTTTTGTGTAAAACTAATCTGATGTCACTGACACTGACAGTGCTATTTCAGATGTGAATGAATGTGCATTGTACCTACATGACTGCCTGGAAGAGCAGGAGTGCCAAAACACTGAGGGCTCCTACACCTGCATCACTCACTGTCCTGCTGGTCTAACCCAAGCCACCAATGGCACTTGCAAAGGTTTCTAAATACTGTACTTTGATGATTCTGTAGTACAGTATTATGATATTCTTTTAAGTGAAGATAGGGATACTGTACTAATGATATTTACAGAAAAATTTACATTTACAAATTCGTTTATAATGGAATAATGAAGTGTTGTTTGCTTCAAAATATATTACTTAAGTACAGTAGTTGTTTGAAGCTAAATTTACTACATATGTTGCATTTAGTGTTAAACCATATTAATTTTATTTGACAGACATTGATGAGTGCTCCGAAGAAATATCCACATGTCACTTCACTCAGATTTGTCTAAATACGTGGGGATCTTATCGATGTTCGTGCAGCCGAGGATTCAGCTCGTCAGGACCAGGACAACCATGTTTTGGTATGTTTGTTTCTTTTGAGCCTAAGATCATGTGACAATTTTTTTTTTTTGCTCGTCTATATTAAGATACATGTGTGAGGGAACCCTCAGTAGCTTCCTGACCTTATCTGTTGTACCACCAAGACTGAAGTAGTCCAACACACCAGGCCGCCGAGACCCATCTGTCATCTACTGTTAGCCAGGAGTAGAATCAAGCTCGCTCTACAAGAACATGAAACCATTGTCATGCTCATTTTAGCAGGGAAGCATGGGACTATTGTCTGGGACAAGAAGCCTGTTAGGCATATCAAGGCCTCTCTCTCTCTCTTGGCTCACAACTGACCATTTCCATGATGCATCTCACAACAGTTGTCTCAGGGGGAACAGCGGTATCAGATGTAACAAAACTTGCCAAGAAGTTTGTCTTGCACCAGAATCAAACCCGGGACAATTTTGGTTGTGAATAGTCTATACTGATCTCTGGGTCCAAGAGATGTTATTTTATTATGTTGGAATTCATGCTTGGGCCCAGAAGAAACCATATTAGGATTTAGGCTTGGGGGCCAGAAGAAGTCAAGTTTGGATTTAGGTCTAAGGCCAGAAAAGGGTATGTTCGGATTTAGGCCCCAGCATGGGAACCAAATAAAATAAAAAAAAAAAGCTACAACAAGAGGTGCAGGACCTCAGGATAGAAGGGATTAACCCATCTAATAGGTGGCAAGCAGAGGTAGTAATGAATGACCATCGGCATGTAGCAAGATCAATAAGCTTTCCCCCTTGTCAGTGAGCATGGGCTGGCTCACCCTGAACTACTCCAAAGACTGGGGGGGGTTTTCCAGGACCTGAAGGTAAACCAAGCAGAAATTGCAGGCACAGGAACCACTCACCAAGAAGAAAACAAATGCCTAATGCAACCTAGAGAGAGAAACTCTGCTACAAAAGGTGCCAGTGGCACACTATATGAAGAAAGCATGCACAAACCTATGGACCCCAAAGAAGACTAGCCATGACCACCCCAATCTCTGAACCTGGCACGAGTTACTGACCCTTGTATTACTCAGGGAAAGGTACTCTCAGGAGGCTGGCCTTTCAGGGACAGACACCCAAACCAACCAGGAAAGGTAACCCTGTAAGAATAGAGGCATCGCCAGTGAGCACTTAGGGAAGGTTATGCTTAGACACATGCAGCTTGAGGTGAACAATTGACCAAAGTCCACACAACAAGTGACACTTGTAACCATATGCTCATGAAGCAAATACTGCAAATTGGAATATTGTACAAGTAAATGGGACCCCTGCAGGACAAAGCCCAAAGGATAGCCAGCACTTATCTGGAATAAATGGGACCCCAAAGGGGTTAGCGGTGACTGGGAGGAGTTGCAACGTTTACTCCTGCACCTTGCTATTGACTGAGGTGTTCACCGACTGATCAATAAGCTCCCAGTGCTGCCACCTGTGATGAGCAGTTGGAACTTGAGGGTGAACTACCCAACTACTGGGCAGATCACTTGCAGAGTTGTTGGCTTATCTTGCTGTTGTCTGCTTTGTCTCATCCTATCTTTTTGGTGATTATCATGGTAAGGGTGATCACAGATTCCCTGCTCTGTGAGTCTCTGTGAGGGAGACAAGATTTTACCCTCTGGACCCCGGTAGGCTTTTATTGACTCGCAAGGACCTGGTGTGACTGACATAGGTGAGAAGCTAACCATAGTGGCTAATGAAAGGGAGCCACAGCAAACCCACCAGAAAGAGGCATTACATTATGTTCAATGCTGTTTTTGTTTTTTTGAGGGGGGCTGTTTTTATGACCAGATTTAAATACCAGTGCTGTATTGTGAAAGTCCACATTTTAATATGTTCTGTATTGACTGCATATATATTTCCAACATAAATTTGTATATATTTATTCTAAATTTTATATTGATGATGCACTTGTGTGTTGGGTGGTGTTAGATGTGGATGAGTGTGTGACCACTCCATCACCCTGTAACTACCAGTGTCATAACCTGCGTGGGACCTACCAGTGTATCTGTGCACCTGGACAACAAAGGCTGCCCGATGGGAAATCCTGTGTTGGTGCGCGTTTATCCTGCTTTGTTTTATGAAATACTGTATGTAGTTTTGAAATCGTCTCGAAAGTCCTGTACCACGAGGTATATTTGGAAAAACTTTGTTTAGTGGTCCTAGGTGTTTCATTTTGCATACGTAAGCAAAGCGCTTAGTTCCTCTAGATACTGAAGCCCATGTTTTAAAATAAATAATTCGAAAATATTTTCAGTAACTTAAAATATATTATTAAAACCTGATAAATGCTCAATATAATCATTCTGATTTACCTCACTTGTTTGGTAAATAGTCAAATCCTGAAGAATAACTATGCGCCTTGGCTGTACACAACACCCAGTCAGAAATATGTAAATACAACCTGCAATAATAGCTGATACTGAAATTACATTAATGACAAGAAATATTATTAGTGGGAGGGTGTTGTGTCTTGCAGGGCTACAGTACGTAGAGGAGCCTCGCGCCCGCTACCCTGTCCCCCCACGTCGTCCCAGACCTGCCTTGCCTGGCTACCCAACCACAGAGTTCCAGGAGAAACTCCTTCAAAAGTTCTACATCCAGTCTAGCTGCCCACAAGGCTTTGAGTATGAGGATGGAGAGTGCAAAGGTAAAGGAAACTAAACCAGACTAACTACTGTACTATCCAGTAATTATTAATGAGTTTGCATAGACAACATGGATCTGGCCATTAACAGTGGAGAGGGATATTGAATGCTTTGTTTACATAGGGGAATGGTTAACACAATGTAATTTAAGGGTCAGGTTAAAATACTAATAAATGAAATACATAATAAAAAGTTAATGCCAAACACCCACAATTAAAATACAAAAAATAAAATTATATATTATATATATATATTACATATATATGATATAATACTGTGTATAATATATAGGAGTACCACCTCGGGTTGCGTTTTAGGGACCCTCAGCCTCGAAGAAGAAGAGGATATGTAGCATCCAGGGGAGCCTTGTGGGGCACCCACGTACACTCACACATTGTCTTTTCCTACCACCCCTATATATTGTATATTTTGTCATTTTATTTTATATAAACTTCATTACACAAAATGGGTTACATGCAAGGTATGAGGCTAGTTGTCACATGTTAAGTTCTTCCAGCTCATCAGATGATGGGCAGGAATCATGGATGCAGTATGCGTTTTCCCTCTGTATCGCCACACTAAGGTACTGAAATAGGAAGCTGGTGGCTCTAGGGTCTTTTGTTGTTTCAATTAGCCTAGAGCCCAGCTCCTTCAAAAAACTAGTAGCACTTTTACCCCAGGCACCAAGTGTCTCCGAGGCAATAGGGACAAAATTGAAGTGGTGATCCAGCTCTGTGTTTACGAGACTCGGCTGCTTGTCTGTGAGTGGCAGCGCCACCCGGATGTGCAACACTGATGTCAACCTAGGTGTTGGCTAAAATTGAAATGCACGTACAGTCCCACACCAACTGTGCACTATTCTTCCAGTGGTTCACTTGTGATCCCGTCTGGGTAACCAACAAGCTTGTCAAGAGTTGCGAGGCATTAGGTAATGGGGTTCCCTCTGCTGGACAACCGGCTGTGGTAAGGCTCTTCTTAATACAGTAATGTCATTTACCCCTCTGTATCTTGCATGCCATCCTCCTGTGCTTTTGCAGAACAGGCCATGCCGGCCATACCTGTCAGCCAATACACCTATATTTGGTGTGGATTTGGGTAGCGATTCGAAGAGCCATGGCAATTCAGAGGGCTGGCTGTGTGAGACGCGTGCCGGTTGCTGACTTTGGGCTTAATAGGAAGGCACCTGTATGGGGAGCTGCTACAGCTCTTAAGTCAAGCAGTGTTATGTGGACTAACATGTGGATAGTCACCTGCTCTCTGCATTTCCTTAAGCGGGGCCAGGTTCTGGCTCTGGTCCCTGATAGGCCAAACAGAACTAGCTGTAGCCAATGTGACCTTTCAGTATAAAGCAGTCTCAGGAAGCTAGCTTCAGGAAGCCATCAAGGCTCATCTAGAAATTGGGGTTTCATTACATTCAATACCGAGTTTTCCATAACTGTGTTAACTTGGCACTTTTACAAGCTCTTTCAAATAATTAAATTTTTAAATTTTATATTGATTGTTAAATACATAATCTAAGTGGTAGATCAAAAACAATGTCAACAAATTTATTTATTTAATAAACTTGTTAATAAGATACATTGATAAGACTAGTTGTGTTATATAATGCCTCCAGTCCCTTAAAACCTCAGTAAATTGCCAATTAGACAGCATTATGAAGTTAAACAAATGCTGAACTGCATAAATCTGGAATCACTTCCACAGACCAGGTGAAGTAGGTTAAGAGTCCAAAGCCAACATTAGTGAAAGATAAAGCCTAGGATCATCATGGTATAATGCTGTCTTAACTGTAGACCTGCTGCAGCATCATGCTAAGAAAACTAAAGCACATTATTGTTACATATATAACATTGCTTACCTACATATACTGTCATATTGAAAATGTTAACATTTACAACTACAGTGTGTAAAATTTTCAGATGTGGACGAGTGCACCTTGACAGACAGATGCCAACACCACTGCCACAATACATTTGGCAGTTACATGTGCCTCTGTCCTCCTGGCTACCGTCTAAATCCTAACCAGCGAACATGTGATGGTAACTTGTCGAGCATGACTTACATTGTAGTCTTACATTTGATCCTTCTGAACATTTGAATAACTTACACAGATTTTCTTCAGTGTATCACAGCCAGTCAAATATCAGTTCTCCCCCCCCCCCCCTCATGGTTCCTCCCAACTAGCATTCACAGGAATAGGAAGATGGGAGGGGAAGGGAATGGGGACTTTGAGCCGATCCTACAGTGTGAAATGAAAGGTACTGATTACCTGTTGACAATTTTGAGTCTACTTTCACAGCCTTCCCTGGTAATAGCCATCACTCCAGCAGAAACTCATCTTATACCCCTCTTACTGTTATGAAGTACTTTCTTAAAATTTCAAATTTCTGCAAGAAACAGTGCGAAATATAAATGGTTTTCTTGGCTGGATGAGTTCTTTTTGATAGCTGCATATAGAAGATAAGCAAACTACTAAATTTCTCAGGATAAATAATAGTAATTGTAGCATTTTACCTTTCATTTAGATATTGACGAGTGCCTCGAGCAGGAAGTAGAGTGTGGGCGAGACGAGTTGTGCTTCAACTTGCGTGGATCCCACAAATGTGTGCCTACCCCTTGTCCTCCTGAGTATCAACGAGATATTGCTACTGGGTAATTATCAGGTTTTTGTTTATATAATGTTGGTACATTATACTCTACTTTTTCCATTTAGAACCTACAGTATTTACAAAAGTTCAAAATTAATTGTTTAAGAATTAAATCATTATACATCTTAATGTAGTGTTTAAACATTAATTTAGCATTCTGAATTTTACTTATAGGTCATGTATTCTGGACTGCCGGAGAGATCATTCTAGCTGCCCACCTGGGGTCAGTTATGCTCACATTCTTGCCTTCAAAACAGCCTCTCTTCCAGCTGGTATACAAGCTAACCAGGATCTTGTCAGACTTATGACCTATGATCAGGCAGGAAATCTGGTGCCACATACACTCTTCACCATAATAGAGAATGAAACAGGTAAAATGTACTGTAATGTATTCCTTATTAATTCAACCATATTCTGAAAGCATATGCATTGTATTAAAAAACCAGCGTTGAATGTAATGAAACGCCAATTTCTGGATGACCCCTGGTGACTCCCAGAACCTATACACTGAGATGGTTACTTTAGCCATGAAGTTCTTAGGCCTACTGGGGACTAGAGCCAGAACTTATCCCTGTCACAGAGGTACAGGGAGCAGTGACATTTTGCCATCTAACCAGGAAAGCATTCAGAAAGTCAGTTATTAGTTAAAACAAACCACTGTTGGGTCCAAAAGAAACTGAAGCCTCAAAACCCTCCAAATGAACTCTTCCCAACTATGTAAACAAACAATTGAATCTCGGAATTAGTGTGAGCTCATTTGTCCCACCTCCCCCACTCGTTTTGGGGAAGGGAAGAAGGGGCTCTCCACCTCCATGGGTCTGAGCTATCGATTCTGGAGCAGATGTACAAACAAAACCTACCTGATGACCTGGAAGAAAGGAGGGAGAGATTCAGGTAGCCACTGGTGCTTAACCAGAAATTGGTATTATATTGCATTCAATGGTTGCTTTTTTAGGGGAAGCCCCTTGTTGCTTCCTGAAGCTAACTAGCCAACATGCAAGTCAAGTGGCAAAAAACACGACCACTGCATTAGGCCTTTTGTCAAGTGCCTCAGCATCCTCCAGGAGCAGCCCATCCTCCGAATTGACAGTACGTTTTAATACTAAGTGTAATAAGTACAATACAGACTACAGGCGTAATACATAAATACACTTAATCACCAGAATCGTACTCAAATATTGTGAATATTTGGGTTTACCTGAAAAACTGAATAGAAAACCACGACCTAACCTAACCTTCTTAGTGTATGAGGACAAGCATTTTATTGCTTCTTAATTACAATGAGTACTTAACCTATAGCTATATTGATATTAGTTTTATAAAACTAATAAAACAAAACTAAAATCTTTCAATAAATTGTAAAGTACAGTGGCGCCTCAATCAACAAATTCAATCCGTTCCGGCACCGAGCTCGTCATGTGGAAAACTTGTCTTGTGAAACAACAACAAAACTGTCGTCGAAGGTGTCCGAGAACCAGCAGGAACGCTCATTAATCGAGCGAAAGTTCGTCAGTCGAGACAAGTGTTCTGCAAGTGGCTTGCTCGTTACTCGAAATGCTCATAACTGGAGCCGCTCGTCACTCGAGGTTCCACTGTAACTCGGGATATTTTCAAATTTTGTATAAAATCTCTATTGTTTAATAAAACTGAAAAAGAAATTCTTTATATTTAAAACTTGTGTATAGAGAATTGAACATGAAAACTTCATCCTAAAATTCTGAGTGTCTTAACAGAAAACGAGGAGAATATATGGGGAGGTAAATGTAACAGCACAAGTAATTGTAATTATGTACTATTCCCAACAGTCAGGAAATGAACTTATTACACTTAGTATTAAACCGCACTGTCAATTCGGAGGATGCGTTGATTTTGGTGCGATTCTGGCGATTAAGTGTATTTATGTACTACACCTGTAGTCTGTATTGTACTTATTACACTTAGTATTAAAATGTACTGTCGATTCAGAGGATGAGCTGCAACACCCACATCCTGAGAGAGTGAGAGCAAGCAAACAAAGGCAGCAATTGAGAGGCGCATAAGAAAGGCTTGTCCCCAGAAACACTTGCAACATGGCCGATACCTCATGCCTCTTAAGCGCATGGGTACAACAAACGTTGCATTAAGCACCAAGCGAAAACAGAGTCCACTAGCTGATGCAACCTGGTAGATGAGAACCATCTCAGTGTGTAGCTTCTGGGGGCAACATGAGGCTGTCCCTAGAAAGTAATTGTAATTTTTGCTTCTTCATAAATTCTTAGTGAATTCCCAATGGCAATGATAAATACTATTTTTACTCAAGTTGTAAGAAATTATATGTTACACAAGTTGAAATTACATTTTGATCATAAACAAAGCATTATTAATTATAATAATGTAATGTACATTAACAAGGCTTCAGCAACCCTGCAAAAAAAAAAATAAAAAAAAAAAAATCGAGAGCATATCGCAAAAGAAAAAAATCTTCATTCCGTAATGAGGTAACGGTTTCATTACCCGTTGTTTTATTTTCCTATTGGCAGAAATTTAGTCAGCTGCACATAATCATAAACCTACATTTCCCTTTCAGGTATTCCCTTCAGAATCCGCCTACAAAATGGGAAGGGCATCTTAAGGACTCTCCAGTCACTGACCGCTGGACGAGAGTACAGGTAACTTGCAAAATATTATTAAATCATTTCTGTATATCCAGTGAGGATTCTCAGTCCCCAGACTGTATACCATTACAGACACAGTACTCGGGTCATAACAGTGTGGTAGTAACTAGCCAACATACGTTAGTGTTGACCCACCTAACTGAAGGAAGGTTGAACAGCTGGGTGAGCTGTGTAATTACCTAAGTGTAATTACCTAAGTGTAGTTACAGGATGAGAGCTACGCTCGTGGTGTCCCGTCTTCCCAGCACTCTTTGTCATATAATGCTTTGAAACTACTGACGGTCTTGGCCTCCACCACCTTCTCACTTAACTTGTTCCAACCGTCTACCACTCTATTTGCGAAGGTGAATTTTCTTATATTTCTTCGGCATCTGTGTTTAGCTAGTTTAAATCTATGACCTCTTGTTCTTGAAATTCCAGGTCTCAGGAAGTCTTCCCTGTCGATTTTATCAATTCCTGTAACTATTTTGTATGTAGTGATCATATCACCTCTTTTTCTTCTGTCTTCTAGTTTTGGCATATTTAATGCTTCTAACCTCTCCTCGTAGCTCTTGCCCTTCAGTTCTGGGAGCCACTTAGTAGCATGTCTTTGCACCTTTTCCAGTTTGTTGATGTGCTTCTTAAGATATGGGCACCACACAACAGCTGCATATTCTAGCTTTGGCCTAACAAAAGTCATGAACAATTTCTTTAGTATATCGCCATCCATGTATTTAAATGCAATTCTGAAGTTAGAAAGCATAGCATAGGCTCCTTGCACAATATTCTTTATGTGGTCCTCAGGTGATAGTTTTCTATCTAGAACCACTCCTAGATCTCTTTCTTTATCAGAATTCTTTAAAGATTTCTCACATAATATATAGGTTGTGTGGGGTCTATGTTCTCCTATTCCACATTCCATAACATGACATTTATTAACATTAAATTCCATTTGCCAAGTGGTGCTCCATATACTTATTTTGTCCAGGTCTTCTTGAAGGGCATGACAGTCATCTAAATTTCTTATCCTTCCTATTATCTTAGCATCATCAGCAAACATGTTCATATAATTCTGTATACCAACTGGTAGATCATTTATGTACACAATAAACATCACTGGTGCAAGAACTGAACCCTGTGGTACTCCACTTGTGACATTTCTCCATTCTGATACATTGCCTCTGATTACTGCCCTCATTTTTCTATCAGTCAGAAAATTTTTCATCCATGATAGAAGCTTACCTGTCACCCCTCCAATATTTTCCAGTTTCCAGAACAACCTCTTATGTGGAACTCTGTCGAAAGCCTTTTTTAGGTCCAGATAGATGCAGTCAACCCAACCATCTCTTTCCTGTAATATCTCTGTGGCTCGATCATAGAAACTGAGTAAATTCGATACACAGGATCTTCCAGATCGAAAACCATACTGTCTGTCTGATATTATATCATTTCTCTCTAGGTGTTCTACCCATTTAGTTTTGATTAGTTTTTCCAATACTTTCACTATTACACTTGTCAATGATACAGGTCTATAATTGAGGGGGTCTTCCCTGCTGCCACTTTTGTAGATTGGAACTATGTTAGCCTGTTTCCACCCGTCTGCTACGATTCCTGTACACAGGGATGCCTGAAAGATCAGGTGAAGTGGAATGCTGAGCTCAGATGCACATTCTCTCAGAACCCATGGTGAAACGCCATCTGGGCCAGCTGCTTTGTTCTTACCGAGCTCCTTGAGCATTTTTTCCACTTCGTCTCTAGACACCTCTATGTGTTCTATGTTGTTCTCTGGAATTCTTATTGTATCTGGTTCCCTAAAGATTTCATTTTGTACAAACACACTTTGGAAACTTTTCGTTTAGTGTTTCACACATTTCCTTTTCATCTTCCGTGAATCTATTTCCCATTTTCAACCTCTGAATATTATCCTTTACCTGCAATTTGTTGTTTATGAATTTATAGAATAGACCTGGTTCTGTTTTACATTTGTCCGCAATCCCTTTTTCAAAATTTCTTTCTGCCTCTCTCCTCACTGCCGTGTAGTTGTTTCTCGCATCTTTGTATCGCTGGTATGTTTGGGGGTTCGGCCTCTTCCTGTATTGATTCCATTTTTGTGTCTTTCGGTCTCTAGCCCTCTCGCAATTTCTATTGAACCGATCTTGTTTCCTAGTTCTGCATCTCTGTTTTGGTATAAATTTTTTTGTGCCTTTATCATATATTTCACAAAACTTGCCATACATCTCATTCACTTCCTTGCCTAGCATCAAATTAAAGCAAAGCATCAATGTAGGGCATTCAAATTGCATCTTAATACATTCGATGTGTTAAGTTGAAGTACTTTATTCAGGCACGCGCACGTTTTACCAAGTATTGGATTAAAGTGGTGAGATGGTACAATGTTGTACGTAATAGAACAAACACATTTAATTTTAGGTTTTAAAAATGAAAAAAAAATTAATGTAATGAGTGGCACCCTGCAAATTCAGATCTTAATAAAGTAGATTTCACAAAAATCCACACCAAATCCATCACATTGTGATTTTCATAAAATTAAATTTTTTCCTAATCTTGCTTTAATATTTATAAATACCGTATTATTCAAAATAATGAATTCATATACAGTATCAAAAATGTTTCCCAGAGCTTGTATTATGTTATAAATTGCACAAAAGGGTTTATGACAATTTTTCAGGTGTTGCTGAGCTGAGCTAGTGCATGTGTATGGCTTGTGTCTGCCTAATCCCTTCCAATACATCCCATCCCTTCAATACCCTCCCATCATTTCCTAACTCTCTCCATCTCTGCCCACCCACCCTTCCAAAAACTCCTGTCCACTCAACTGATAGCTCACACCCACCCTTACAAAACCTCCTGCCTGCCCTCTCAAAACGACTGCCTGCCTTCACTATAACTCTCACCCACCTTGTTGATAACTTCCACCTGCCATTCTGATAACTTCCAAAATCCCACCCACCCATATGCTCCTCCTAGCCTACCTGCCCACTCGCCAAATCCCTAGGTCCCTCATTCCCATCTGTCCATTCAGGCACTTATTCCTGCCTGATCCCTCACTCCCATCCACCTGCTCTCTCCTGCCTGATCCCAAGATCCATAAAATCCTTCCCACCCACTTACTATCTAGGAGGTAGTGTGGGGCAGGTTTGCGAGTGATATCTCGGATATTATAAACATACCAACATTAATTATAGAAAATAGTGAGGATTATTAAAAAAGATAATATAAATTTGAGACAATTTACAGGCAGGTCTATCACACAGAAGTAGATGCGAATCAAAACAAACAGAATGGCCGACGTGATGGGTACTGAATTATCAATAAGATATAACAATTTCAAAGGTTTCACTGAGGAAGAAATAAGGAATGTAGGTTTTATGGGCAGGTTAGTGAAGGTTGAGGATCTTCCAAAGATTCACAAAGAAAAATTTCTTTAATTAGAAAAAGAAAATGAAGATCTTAAAAGTAATGTTAACCTTTTACAAGGTTATATTTTGCAGAAAAAGCAAAGTTGCCAGCTTGACAGATAAGGTAAGGAGAAAGAAAGGACAAATTTGAAGTAAACAAAAAAAAATATGGATAAGAACTAAGAGAAACTCTACAGGTTAACCAAAACAAAGTTAGGCAAAGATTTTTTAAGAGAAAAATCACAAACAACTCAAATGGAGGTTACTAAAAGATTGGAAAAGTGTAAAAAGGAGATAAAAGAAACAAGCATAAGTTATGAAAAAAAAAGACACTCAAAGAAGTATGTTTTGAAGTCAAAAACAGAAATGAGCAGTCAGGAACTGACGATCAACAGGCAATTAGGTAAGAACTGGTTACCAGCAGTAAATTGGTACAGAGAATGGTAGATAGAAGACTATAATAATTTTTGGATGTTTGAAAAAGGAGATGCCATCTAGGGTAGACAGAGCAGCAGAAGAGGAAGAAACCATTGAGAAAATAGTAGGATTAGGAGAAGGCCTCTTAATAAAGGAAAATGTCTGTGATTTTTGGAGGATAAGCAAATATGTAAAAGGTAAGACTTGCCCCAAAGCGTCACATTAAGTGAAGCAAATTACAGACATGATGCATAGTAAGGTCAGGAAAATGTAAAATGATGAACTTGGGAAACAATGGTCATTATTATTATTAGCATCTTTATTGATAAAATATACAATTTTGCCTAATCTGAGTAATCCAATTGAGTTTTATTACATTCACACACAAGATAATAGGTCTAATCTTGTAAGAGAAACCCTTGTGTAGGGAGAAATAGCAGTGCTATTGAGAGAGCCTTGTGTAGGGAGAAATAGCAGTGTTAAATGTTGAAAAACAGTCTGGAACTCTGACCCCTTTCAGATGCACAGAGCATCATCTCAACAGGAAAATGTAATCTCCTAAAAAAAAAAAAAAAAAAATTGTAAACAAAAGGGATAAAATGATTAAGAAAAAGCAGATTCAATGCAAGAAAATATAGAGAAACATCAGTGTTAAATGTAGAAAAACAGCCTGGAACATTATAAGACACACAAATGAAGTATTGGGAAATGTGTATGACATGTATAGGGAGGAGACATTATTGGAACCAGGCAGACAGGGACATGTGCAAGCCCCTATCAGTCACTTGGGAGAGGGAGGCAGTGACAACCAGACCTGTGTTGTGGACGGTCTCCAACAAACAAGATAAGTGCAGTATTATAGATGTTTATAGCGGTGCTTCCCCTTTTCTTTATGAGTTAGGGATAGGAATTTGTGGAAATAAGGATTTTTAGAACCCTGTGTGTAGGGAGAGTGTGTTGTTAATTCAGGTGTATGTGCTCAGCTGTGTCACATGGGGGTTATCCATATTTATTTTGTATATCCATTTGTAAACCCAGGCCCTTTGTAGTGACCTAAGAGGAGTGGAATAGAGTAATGACCTTAAGTCCCAGGTTGTAGAGGGAGAAGGAACCTACTCCCTCCCCCCCCCTTTTTGTCTGTATCAATCCTGTGGTGGATCCAAGTACACCCCCCCCCCCCCCTGTTCTAAGAAGTGTGAGGAAATCTGGTATTTGTTAAGTAAAATCTTTTTTGTAAAATTGCACGCCAAGGTGTATGTCTTGCCCCATTTAGTTAGAACTGGTGATTATTACTATATAGACCCCGGCACTTCCACTATTTATAAGAATGTAAGAGCGGGTGTTGTTACCGATACTTTAGGGTACGGCTTTCAATCTCGTACCTTAAAATCTGTACATTGAAGCACATATATTTTGAGGTTACAATCTACATCAGACATTATAAATGTTTCAATTTACAAATTTGAACTGCAGTCACAAAAGCAGGGATGGATTCATAAGAGGGGTAGCTGAAAAAAAAAAAAGTTTATGACTAAACCACACACAAGAAAATGAGATGACATTTTGATTCGTCCAGGACCATTATCAAGTCGATTGTCAATCATATAGCATAACATAGATGAATAGCAGCCCTGGCAACCCTCTGGCAGCTACCCAGTGTCATTCGCATACTTGCCGCATTTTGGCTTGGTCCTCCTGGTTCTGTGGACACCAGCTTTACAGCTAAGTGTTGGCTATCCCTTGGGCTTTGTCCTGTGCTAGTTCCTTTACTGCTTCACATGAGTTTATCATGCCAACCTGTTGCATGTGCCTTGATAACTTGTTTGCCTTGGCTGCATGTGGCCAGATTTGCCTTCTCTGGTTGCCGCTGGTGTTGCCTCTACCTTCTGTTCGGGGTCTCTTTCCCAATTGTTTGGGAACCTGCCCCTGGAGTCTACTACTTATCAAGGGGGGACCCTCCTACCCCATGTAGTGCAGATTCTTTGGGTGTTCCATAGGGCCAGGTGGTTGGAGAGGACTAACAAACTGGCAGGGAAGTCCAGCAGCTAGTGAGTAAGCTGTATTGTCCAGATACACTGTAGTACAGTTTGCAATTGTCTATAAATACTAATGTTGTGTTGCAGGATGGTGGTAGAAGCAGTGTCCTATGATGAGATAGAGCATTTTATCAAGTACTCCACAAGGTTCATCATCTTCTTGCACATCTCGGAATACCCATACTAAGTCAACAGGAGTCAGGCCATGTTGAAGTATGTCTTGGTAGCCATGGTAATAATGTAGTATGATACTGAATCCACAGTCAAGACTAGATATTATCCATATCTAACAGTTATGTTATTTATTTCTTACATCTTAAGTAGTTTTTAAAGATACAGGTACCTCCTGAGTAGTGTAGCTTGAGAACTTTTCAAGTTCTCAAGTCGGATGTAACAGTAGTCTTGTTGTCGTAAGTACAGTATATACATATACTAGAAATCGGTGCAACATTAAAAGAACTAACATATGGTACACTAAAACTTTCAAGCAAGTGCAGTTTGATACATTTATCACCACCTGTTTGACTCATTTGCTGACAATTTTGTAAAGGGAATGCATCCTCTTGTGAAATGTAACCACTAATTCATTTACTGCATATTTTGTTTATTTAAAAATAATATAAATTAAATGTTAATGAATTTCAGTACAGAATTTTTATCAAATCTTTTGTCCTTGCTTATATAAATTTCTGCCATAAACATTGAGCATCAATTTCTAAATGTTATCTGGGTTGAAGACTAAGTAATTAACAAAAGGCACCAAGGCTGAAGACTGTAGTCTATGCTTATCCTGGTTTTCTCAGTAGCTTAAGAAAGGCCTCTGTCAATCTTTATTCATTTGTAATTTTAGAATATAAGAATGAGTTTCTCTATACAGTATTTATCAAATCTATACACATGTATATTTTATGTATAATGATAATAAAAACTTTGAATTAGCTATAATTTAAGTGGCCATGATTGTTTACAGGTTATCAGCTGATATTTCCCTTTTAACATTCCAGTGTGCACATCCACTGTAGATATATATTGTAGTCTCTAAGTCTTCCAAATATTTGGCAATGAATCTTTTTGCAATAAATCAATGAAAAATCAGCCTTTCTTTTTATTTGGTCTATAAGATAATTAAAAAAAAATTACCATACATACCTTAAACCCGATACAATACTGTATCATCTCGTCGTTTTCCGTTACATTTGAAAAGTGTCTGATGTTAAATATTCAATATATGTGTAGAGCATTTCTGTCACTCACAACTTGCCCTGTCTGTCAATCAACAATGGAAGAGACTACGGGGAGACTATGTAGCACCATAAAATGTGCGGAATATTCAAAAGGCGCTAAATATCACCAAGGATGCCAGTACTTGAAGAAAAGCGCACAAGGCGAATGATACCAAAGGTATCTGATTCACCAAGGATTCTATTTGACGTACAGGTGACCATGAGGGACAGTCTGGAAGCAAGACACATGCACATCCTGGAAGTCAGGACATTCAACAAGGAAATGCACAAGGGACAATGCAGTTTGGACAATAAGCAGCAGAACAGCGCTCAATTAAGTGCCCATGAGTTAAACGTGTATGGCCAATACATAACCTCGCCAGAGCTGTTTTCCACCGCCCGTTGAGGTGGTAGGAGGAAGGCCATGGGGCCCACACTACCCTTAGGAGCACACAATGTGTTACCAAATACTGTAACAGAAGACCAACAATCCTGCCAACGGACACAGATCGAGGAATGAATAACCAAGTAGAAGTCGAAATAAGGATCACCTTTGTGGGAAATGGGACAGGTGTGTATAGCCTCCTTAGCACATGCACACTCATTTACGGAAATGCCAATATGGCTGGGAACCCAGAAAACTCTACTTTTCTTAAATCTGCTGGAGATAAGAAACAACCAATGTTGAATTTCGATTACCACAGGATGGACTGGATTAAAGGACTCCAGAGCCATGAGGGGACTGCAAGAGTCAACAACAAAGGAAGAACGAAGAGCATAAAAAATTGCATAAAGTTCTGCCATGAAGATGCTAGTCTCCAGGGCCAGGTGACACATAGGTGTAGTCAGGAAATACAACAGAGTAGCCTACACAGTTGGCAGACTTAGACCCATCTGTAAAGACAGAAATGGAGTGGAAGTGTGTAGAAAAGTTAGCAAGGAAAAGGCATTTCAGAACTGTAGAAAAAGTAAAAGCTTTTGTCATGTGGGTCAAGGTTTTGCAAAACTTAGGAAGGGGGCACCCTCCATGGGGGGGGGGAGGGATGGAATGACACGAGGAGAAATATTGGTAACACGAACCGAGAAAGAACCTTGCAAGAAAGACAGACAGAAAGGGAAAGGTGGTGAAAGGGAACAGGGTCCATAGGAGGGGTTATGGTTAAAATACGACAAGCAAGAGCGAGGATGTTGTAGGGACCACACAAAGTAGAGAGGACAGTAGCAATTACGACAATCCTGTAGAGATAGGATGCTGGTTTCAACATACAGGCTTAAGGTAGGAGTCAAATGAAAGGCACCAGAGCCGAGGCGTAACCCAGTATGGTGAGAGTATAGAGACGATAAAGAGAAGAGGCAGATGAGTAAGCAGGACAGACATAATTGAGTTTAGACAGCACAAGAGAGGAATGTAAAGAGAGGAGCATGCACCTACTGTATCAGCTCCCCATGAAGTATTGAACAAGATTGGAAGACCACCTGTACTGTATTCAGAAATCCAGATCTAGATCCCAGAGGTTGCAGTATATACACAATTGGTCAAAAGAAAATCTTTTGATAGTATATCTGACACCTACATGAATAATACAAGATCAAGGCAGAATTCACCATTTGACAAATTATCTTGCAAATTTTAAATAGAAAACAAAAATGATGCTGACCTTTACTTAAATCTGGTCATTGGATGCACAGCTGGCATCAGTAATAGGCATTTATCTAATCACACTCTATACAAAATCCATAATTTTTCCTAGTCGTTCCTGTACACTGTAATTGTTCTCACTGGAAGTATAATTCACATCTTCGTAAGTAATTATAAGAAATTCACATAATGTTAGCATTCCCCCCTTCTGGATCAAGTCCATATAGCTATTTCCTTTTTAAGTTTCACTGTGCTCAGGAACTGTTTCCATGCATCATTGTTAAACATTCCCATTATTTCCTTGATACTACACTTACACATGAGTAAAATACTTGATGAAATGCATTCATTCACTTCTCATCTTTACAATTTCTTTAAGAATATGACTTAAAGCCCTATTCATATCACTATCTTAAAATTTTCCTTTTGCTTTTGCTTTAGTGGAAGATCTGTAAATGGTGCAGGTTGATGTCTTGAGTCTTAGGCATTTCTTTCCAGTGTCTTGGTTGCATTTAGGCTGATTATCATGGTGTTCTTCACTGCAGAATTTTGCACTGTCACAGCGAATGAATCCATTGTTACCAATGTAGGGAGCCCATTTGTGATTCTTTGGAAGTACCCTATATGGATTTTTCATGCCTGGAAAACAAATACAGTATATAGTTCAACATCATAAGGATTCATGAATTTAACTGATTACATAAGGATATAGACAATGAAGTCTATCTGTGAAAACAAGAAATTCCTTTCTGAAAATAGTGAAGCAGTCAACCAAAGGCAGCAAAAGTGTCTAATATTTAACCCTTTCCTTACTTTTGCTGTAAACATCTTGACTCAAAACCAATCAATGCATTATTTTTAATTAAAAAAAAAAACAGTAGAATTCAAGAGTTGATTTACTCCGTCAAAACTATACTTTTCCTAACCTTGCAATACTTGCAATATTTCTGAGTATTGATGATCGTCTTGGTGGTGCAGGTAATTATTGACAAGTGGGGTTATTTTGCACAAAGAATTTTAATTTTCATGAACTTTGCATTCTATTGACAGCTGCACCCAAAATTATGTCATTAAACAGAAATAAAAAATGTGAAGCTTATATACTATACGGTACCAAGATCTGATATAAAGATATAAAACAATAAGAAAAAGTCTAAAGAATTGTTGTCTTGCATGTTACTGGCAGATACTAATGTCAACAGTGTACGAGAAGTGGTAGGGAACATTAATTGGTTGGGCGTGGTGTTGCTATTTTGTTTTGCTCTGTACAGGAACATAGCAAATAACTAGTCATGGTACTCACCAAGATGGAATATCAAGCAGCACATTTTTCAATGCAAAGATAAACTATTAAGGCATCTTTCACATCAAAGCTCATTACAAGATTCAAGTTACCATTTACTATTTGTGTCTGCAGGTTGGAGCTGTTAGCTCTTGTATCTTAAATTGCATGCAAACACCCTGTGAAAACCTTGGTCACATAATTAACACAAGAAAAAAAGCTAACATTATAGTCTTTCATGCCAAAACTTTAAGACATGTAAAATTATTATCTGGTCGAATCCTAGCTATGGTGCAAATATTTAAATAACAAAAATGATGCATGTAAAAAGTACACATACCATTCTTAAGGAAACAATAGGCCACCAGTTCTTTTTTTACTTTCTCCCAAAATATATTGGCATCATTCTCAGGAACAGGAGAGTTTGGAAGTGGAATGCCATTTTCTGAAAAATAAAAAAAAAGTGAAAACCAAAAAAATGTTGTGAGGTAATATCTTTGTATATTCTTAGCATTACTAGGGCAAATAAATACATCACAATAATGTGCTGAATTACTATGTACATGGATTTACCTGAATCATTAAAGGCTTCATTTTGAGCAGGGTCACGTGTAAGTACTTTCGGATGATAGCCACACCGAAAACAGCTGAACTTATAGTCGTACTCACATAATGCTTCAAATGCCAGGTAAGCATGTTCCAGTTCCTTGTGATTCAGAGTGAGGTCCAAGGTATATTCGATAATAGATACAGCACGACTTATGGCAGTGTGATTCTTAAATAAAGAATTAAACATTATTGGCAATGAATTATAATAAAGATGGCAATATGTTAAAGTGATTCTTTATTATATAAAATTCCAGTTTGCAACTACAAATATAAATTCAACTTACCAACAGTGAGGCACGAATGAAAACAAGAAAAGAATAAGTGATAAGCAGAATGTTGTTGAAGTTGAATAATCCATCTTTAATCTCATTGTAGCGATACTTCATATGGCATGTTGGACACACTTTGCAGAAGGTCTCAAACTGTCTGCATGGTGGCTTGCAATAGTCAACTACTATGGGCCTCCTTGAGACAAGCTGAGGAGAGCCAAGGGCAGAGTGACAGAAGTGGCAAGTTGTCTCACTTGGTATCAGCTGTGTGGGACACTTGTCCACTGAAAATGGTGGAAATATATTGCCACATGGAATGGACTTCATACTCATTATGTACTGAATCCTCCTTTCAATACTTTCCTCAGGCAATTTTTCTCTAACTGTATGCTCCAGCACTTCACTGTTATAGTTATTCTCTCCTTCAGAATCACCCTCAGTTATCTGTTGCAAATATGACTTGCCAGATTCCTGGTATAACCACCATGCTACAACACTTCTATGCCAGCAGCTTCTCTGCTTACAACGACACCATATAGCTGATTTAATAGAATCCAGGGTGACAATGATGCGCTGGAACTTGCACCATCTACGCTCTTCACCTGTGTACACACTCCAGAACTGGTGTCTATTTTTCACATGCTTCATCTGTGTTATACCAACTATAAATGGACTGTTACTTTCTATGGCTTCATCATATTTTTCTTTACATATTTTATGGTTTGCTGAAGATATTAACCCCTCACTCAGCATATCAAGTAATTTATCAAGGGACATTTCACACACACTACCTGCTATACTAAAATCTATGGCCTTCAAGTGATCGCACTGATACAGGTGATCTCCGCTTCGCTGATGTGCTTGGAATGAATCCACACAGTCTCGAACCTAAAATAAAATATGTAATGGTAATGATATTATTTTATTAATATTTAGTACTTTATTTATACAAAAATTATGGATAATGTTTAAATGCCACAAATCACAAGTACAGTAGTACAAATTGTCCTTATAATTTTTATGTTCATTTGGGAAGAAAGTGAAAAATTAACTCTCCGAAAGTTAAATTTACACTTTACTGGGCATGAGACATTTCATTAAAGTATATCTTAGAATCCTGGAAGCAAAAGGGGATAAAAATGGGAAACACAACAGTATATATTCATGCAAGTGTGATCAGAAATTCTGCAGTTACTCTCAAAGGAAATTAAGTATGCTTAATATATATGATCTCTTGCTTTTGAAACTTGGAACTTCAAGAACACGTGGTAGACGATTGGTAAACAAGCAAGGTGGTGATGGATGCCAAAACCATCAGTAGTTTCAAAGTATCGTATAACAAAGAGTACCAGGAAGATGAGGACACCATAATGTGTGTAGCTCTCGTCCTGTAACTACACTTGGGTAACAATAACGGGTGTAAAGGAAGAAATGTATATGTTTATCACTCTGAATGTTCTGTAATGTGTTGACTGTGATGTACTCAGCTTGAGCTACCTCATCCCTTTGTGTGTATTTATACAGTACCTCATTAAACTTATTTTAATTTCAACACTTGAATAATTGCACACAAACTATATATAACTTAATAATAATTAATTTTATTGTGGACAGCGCCAGTTTATAGATATACTTTAAGCTTATATTGAGGTCCCATGAGAGAGAGAGAGAGAGAGAATTGGACATACTGTACTACTGTATAATGCATTAAATATTCAAAGAAGCTATATAAATTATAATCACATTAATACAGTACCTCACAATATCCAGGATGGCTGCTTCCAACAACTCTCTTGACATGTATTGGATGCTGGGTACCACGCAATGTTTTGGAAACGGCATAAATTCCATTTTCATCAATTGAAACAGCATGGCGGTATTTTTGTAGGGTTATAGATGCCTCTGGCGGATGGTGGATAGCATTTCTATGCCGAGCCATATACTTTTTTGTGTAAAATTTGTGACAATCTGGACATTTTACAGAAGTATTACTTAATTTCTCCTCATTATCTTTAGGTTCACATTTCTCAACATGTTTTCTAAAAGAATTTTTAGTAAGAAACTTCTTCTCACAAAAAGGGCAGTGAAAGTGATTTTTCCTTTTGAGGCTTCTTCTTTTTATACATTCCAGTGGGCAGCCAGTTATCATATAACCTAAAAATTCCAAAAAATATTTTTTAGAAAATTATGCAGAATCTACAATATGGTTATGAATTTTAGCATTGAGCTCTGATGCAGCTTGCATAGACCTAATTCAACCTTTCAGGATTTAAATTAGCGAAATTTTAACGTCTACTATATATGTTTATTTAATCATACAAAGCCAATGTTCAAAAACAAAAGGTAAGTATTACTGTAATTAACCAGTTCATTTGTATATAAATATGATTTCACTACTGAACATTTTCAAAGTACCTACTGCCACTAATTTAATTATTTTTAAAACATTGATAATATAATTCAATAGGAATAGAAATACTGTACTGTAGTTGTCCTTTTGAAGCATCAACTTAAGATTTATAACTGATTTGCATAAATACTCAATGCCAAAAGAAGAAAACAAACTACAAAAGAAATCTGCAAATATCCTACATATTAGCTGTTACAACTGTAACCGAGAAGAATTAAATACAGGGAGTCCTCGACTTACAAATATCCGACTGATAACCAAACCACACATCAGAAAATGATGAAATGTCGACGTTTCGGTCTATCTGGACCATTATCAACTCTGGTAATATTACTCGACTTGATAATGGTCCAAGACGGACCAAAACGTCATCGTTTCTTCATTTCTGATGTGTGGTTTGGTCATCATATTTTCAGTCATGTTATTGTGACATCATCTGCAAAACATCCAACTTGCAAACACCTTCCAAAGTCCCCATTTTCACATCTAGATCTACTATGAAGCGGCTCCAACGTTCCCAGGAATCCAACCAATGCTACTTTTATGTCTACATGGCCATTTGGCTACCGAGTGCTACAAAAACATCAGCATGACTGTGGGTAACATGTGGCTGACCATGTTACCCCAGTTAGCAATATTCTCGTGTCCATTGTAGTTTCACGGTGCAGTTTCTGGACTATTTCAAGTATTTTTCAATGAAAATACTATTAATAATAGCCGACTAGAAAAACAGTGTGTTGGTGATACACCAACAATATAATACAGTACCTCACAATATGAATGGTCCATGGAAGAAGAACTTTTTAGTATAGAAAGGAAGCTATAGATGTAATCAACTGCTCTGGGAAGAGAGAAACACCAACACAGATCACAAATGTACAGAGGCTGGGACATGTGAGAAAATGGTGACTGGTGATCTCTAAGTCAGGTTCTGCTGGTAGATAATAATTGTGTGACAGGTTAAACTTTAGAGTTCACTCAGTAAATTTTGCCAATACAGTAGAGCATGGAACAAAAAGGGGCGAATGGTACTGTATCTCATTTAAATTTGCCCAGATAGTTTTTGGAGATACCTCTTCATTGTCAAGTACATAAGACTCAAATTTTAGCAAGCTACAATAACCAGTGACACTGACTCCCCCATATATCACAACATTTTGCTCTCTTCCTTAACCAACTAGACCTCTTTGCCCTTCAAAGAGCACAGTTAGACAAGCAGGATAACTCCATCATTCAAGATAAATATTAAAAATGTTTTTAGTATATTATTTTCCAAAAACATTTATGTTAGGTATACAGTATCCAGTATGTTGAATTTTGGTAGTCCAGTAACACATCCCCCTTTTACGTAGTGTTGCAACTACAGGAAATCTGGTTCCATTCCAAGTGCCAAGCATCTGATGTAGGAAAAAAATTCAGAAAGAATCCCATTTGTAAGGTGAGGACTGCCTACATTATTAGTATTTAAATTGGCTCTAAAACTAGCCAGAAATACAGAATTTAATTAGGGTCTTTATAGAACGAAATGGGCACAGTATTGTATACATTGGATGAAATAGCATCATCAGTACTTTTTTACATATAAGGCTAAAAATGACTATAATTTACATCTACTGTAAAATAACCTATGATTTATAGGTAACAAATGTAAATGCTCACCTTTAACATGGACATTGCCAATTCTATTTCCATAAAAGTGTGCTTGAAGATGTTGGAGTACCTGCATCTTTGTGGTTGGTTCAAATCTCGATGATGGGCATATTGGACAGTGGTGATACATAAAACTTCCCTTTTTGCAGCCTTTCAAAGATAAGAAAAAAAAAACATAAATAAACACTGAAATATACATATTGAAGTTGTTTGTGGTTTTAAAATTATAACATGACATAGGGAATTACATAGGACAATGCATGCTTAGCTGCTATAGCTCAGTGAATCTTGTGCAAAAAGAAAAAGTAAGAGAGAGAGAACGAGCTTCCACATCCAACTTCCTACTCTTGCCCCCCCCCCCCCAATCCTACTTCCCATACCCTCCTCTCCTTTCTGCTTCCCATTCCCCTCTCTATCCTGCTTCCCATTCCACACACTACTCTGCTTCCCATTACCTTATCCACCCTGCTTCCCATTACCTTATCCACCCTGCTTCCCATTTCCCTGTCCACCCTGCTTCCCATTTCCCTGTCCACCCTGCTTCCCATTTCCCTATCCACCCTGCTTCCTATGTAACATGATACAAATACAGTAGTCATAAGAAATATAAATTTAATGATATTGATAGTTACCTGCTTCACAACCATAACACTGTTCTAACGTAAAGGCTTGGGTGATATCTGTATCTTGTGGAAGTATCGTAATATGAGGCATTTTGTAATCCTGGGCGGTGCGACCTCACACTAGACAGACACGTTAACTCTAATGCCAGTCAAAACAGTATTCCTGTTAAATACAATATGCAGTATTGAATACGTCATTCTATAGATTATCCTATGATGTAACAAAATTTTAGGGCACTTTATTTGCAAGGAGTTCTAAGAGGAAATTGTGTAGCCTTCAAGTGTTCCATTACACTAACAATGCAAGCTCATGGTTATACAGTATTAAAAAATATGCCAATCGCCAAATATAATATATTTGCTGAGTATATTCAAATATATTATATTCAAATTATATTATATTCAAATATAATATAATCATCAAATATAAATGCTATCAGTTCTAGTTATATATATATATATATATATATATATATATATATATAATATGAAGCTACATTGGGTTTGTGAGAGTACATTTATAGAGTAGTATTTATATTTTAAGAAACAACATATCTGGTTTAGTTGGGGATAGATTTTAACGAGTTTGTGAAACTTCTAATGTTGATGTCAGTGGCATGTATGACCTACGTGTAACAGAAGGGGGGGGACATAACAGGGAGCAGTATACCACCAGTTTTACATAATATTATCAAGAAGCGCGTGTGGTGGGGTTAGAGAGAGTGGAGAGAGCCAGAGAGCAGCACTACGACAACACGACCTCCAGCCTCCGGACGGGTCTTGTTTACAGCCACAGCTTCACCTCTGGTAGCAGCATTGCCACATCTGAATTGCTGAAAGTAGCGAGCTGAAGGGCTAAAAGTAGCGTATTTGCAATAAAAGTAGCGAACTTGCAATAAAAGTAACGAATTTGCAATAAAAGTAGCGAATTTGTAATAAAAGTAGCCCAATAATTTGTTTAGTTACTGATACGGTTTTCAAAGTAATATATTTTAATAGAGTAACCCCACGATTTTATTGGTTTTATTTATATTATCATTGCATGTATTTTAATGAAAAATGCGTTATGATAACTTACCAATATTCGCCACATGAATGAAACATAATTACGGGTGTGGACTAAATGTAAACACAATATGTGATGGAGTGCGAAAAGATACGTGAATTCAAAGACAATTCTATAACGAATGTTCCAACGATGTGTAAATATTTAATTCAAAATGATCTGCTACCAGAAATTTTAGGCAAATATCCCCAGTTTACTAACTGTAGGTAGTAATTAATTAAGTGATTGTAACCTATCCACCGCTGCCCACTGGATGGGGGGCGGTGTGCAGGACAAACATATCAATTGTGACACTAGCTCTCCACATATGTCAGTTGCTTACTTAGGAAATTGTACTTGTGTCTGTACACCATTGTCTGTACACCGAGCCCATTGTTGATGTGACGATGTGCATTGAATTTTGTAACTAGCTCATCAAGATTGTAACTTGCTTAGCTAAACGAATTGTTGGGTTCAGTCCCTGAGCCCATTATGTGCAATAAATTATCACTCTTTGAGTTTCTTAACATTAGTAGCCCAAATTAGCCTAACCTATTTTTAAATTGGCCTAAAAAGTCGCAAGTAGCGAATTACAAATTTAGGAACGCCGGGCGTTCAAAAGTAGCCCAATGCGCTACTTCTACTCCCAATCTAGCAGCACCTCTCACAAACATATATTCCTAACATACCTCTCATTAACTATTATAAAATATAATTTATTAAAAAAAGAAATTTAAATGCAATACTAAGAGGATATTTTAAGTGAGTATTGTAAGATAATGCTGCGGTATATATTAACCAGGTAGAGGGCCGGGGTGCGCGGTGGACGGCCTGTCTTTCCTTGCGTGGTCGCCCCTTGGACCTGAGACCGTCAGCTGTCTAAGGGAACCACTCGATTTTTTCATCATGGTGAGTCTTTTCTTACCTTTACACCCTATACGTTTGTACCCCAGTGTCCCGCGCATGCGGCCAATTGAAAGTTTCTTGGTAAATTTTGGTGGATTTGTCGTAATGTGATATGGAAAGTGGGGAGTGTGGGATCAAGCATGGCCGGGGCCATGTTGGTGTCAGGCGCGGTGTTTACATGTGGTGGGCAGGCCAGCCTGTGGCCTAGGGTGTGTGGTGGGCCTCCCGCCACACCTCTCCCTGCACACTCCTGGCCCTTGCTGGCCCGCTCCACGGATTTAATGTTGCGATGGAAGAATTTGGTATAATCTTTTAAGATGACGGCAGGCGCTGAACGTTTCTCCCAAGTAATGTGACGTCACTGCTAGAAAATACCCCTAATGATATTTTGTTTTAGCCCGAAAGTTTACATTCCATACAGTAAAAAAAAAAAAATAAAAAAAAGGGTACAGGTAGTTTAAAGTCCTCGAGTTAAGGAACTTGGGGGATCCTTAGAGAGGTCACGTGTTTAATTGTTAATGGCGAGGCCCTCCCTGTACGTGCCGTCTAAAGCCATATGGAATAAACAAAGTTTTCAGTTTCTAAATGAACAAAAAAATCACATTTACTTTGATGTATAGAATTTTATATTAAAATGTCTTGTCCGGAAATTTGTGTAGAAGCCTACAGTATCCAGGTTTCACATGATTCCCCATTAAAAAGTAGAGGGGCAGTAGGTATGGTGAGAGAGAACTACCAGTGCTCCCTCTTCACATAAGTTATAACTGGCCGACCCATCATGCTGTTCAAGGGAGGACAAATGTAAATACCTCCAAAGTATAACTGATCAACCAGGCTATGATTCATATGTCATGGTACAAACAACTACATGCAACAGTCTGGCTGACCAGACCACCAACAAAGAGGGCCTGGCCACAGACTGGGCCATGGGCCTGACAGCTGAGCGGACAGCGCTCGGGATTCAGTTTTCAGGTTCCAGGTTCAATCCCCGGTGGAGGCGGAAACAAATGGGCAGCTTCTTTCACCCTGATGCCCCTGTTCATCTAGCAGTAAATAGGTACCTGGGAGTCAGACAGCTGCTACAGGCTTCCTAGGGGGTATGTAACAAAAAGGAGGCCAGGTCGAGGACCGGGCTGCAGGGACGCTAAGCCCGAAATCATCTAGAGATAACCTCAAGAACATGGGGATGTTGATCCTTGGAATTACGGCAAGGTAACCAAAAGGTAAAATAATATGGTTCTGTCTATTAGACAAGAGTATCCTAAGAAAATGGTGAATTTTAGTCACAAGATTTAAAATTAAAAGCCAAACCCAATTCGCATAAATGGTGAAGTGTAAATTGATGTAAGACCTTGGGTGAACTTCGACAAATTCGTAAGCTGTACACTTTACCTCACTTGTGGGGGCTGAGCCTTCATTTACTGAGAGGTAGTTTTCAACCTAAAATTTAAAGTTAATATTTTGTTATATTTCGAAAGTTAATTATTTTTATAAATGTTTTCAACCCTTAGCTTGTAAACGTTAAATACTTACAAAGCTGCCATTATTGAGACATGAGGTTCAGATCTGTAAGTAAATTCATGTTTGTCGAGTAATTTCAACACTGACATATCATTCAGTATTGTAAAACTTTCAACCCTGGTAATATCACATCAAAGATGTGATAAATGGGATTTGAAACTCACCAAACTTACTCTTAACCTTAAATATTAAAAAAAATTACACTACAGCTGTGTGAAATGCTCATATATCATTTTACTATTACCCTTTTACTCCACTGTGCTGGTGGGTTACTTCTGGTATTGTAGTGTCTGGCCAATAACACCATCACAGTATGTGACTGCAGCTGGTAATTCCAATCATTATGGACAAAGGTGAGGTGGCCGTGGGAGAGAATCATTAATAGTGAAAATTCGCCGTTTATATAAATAACGATGGAGATTTAGGATGGAAACAGCTGAACAGTAGCGATGCAAAATCTGTGTTCAGTGACAAATATTGCCTTGACCATTACTTGAGGCATTAGAAACCTGAGCAGAATTGTAAATCTTACATCGTTTGAGTTCGGAAAATTGTCATTAATACTGTAGATGCTGTTCTTAAGAGATTCCTTCACTTTCCACCAGCAAGACAATGTAAGTTTAGGAGTTATTGTTGATCTTTCTAAACTGTTCACTTGAGACAGTTAATAAAGTTCCAGCTGTGTCTGGGTAAAGTGGCAGGATGAACAACCCAATTGATTTTCTTCCTATTGGGAGTTGTACATGCTGCTGGAATGGCATGTTTACTCACAGGATGAGGGATACTTTTCAATATTGTCTCTTCAGGGCAAATTTTAAATTTAACCACAGTAGAATAGAAAGTAAAATCATTAATGCATTTTAATTTTTTTGCTATTTTAAGTTATATATCATACTTTGTTGTTGATGTTGAATACCTCTGAATTTTGTCGGTAAACTGGGTCTAAAAGATTCCAGAATACAACCCAATTAATACCTACTTGATGGGTTTCTGGGAGTGTCACTCGAGCCCTGCCCGAGGCCAGGCATGACTTGAGAGCTTGGTCCACCAGGCTGTTATTTGGAGCAGGCCAGTGACATCACACACCTATCATATTTTATACTTTAAAGGCCTGAAGACCTTATTGTACACCACTGAGCATATATCACTAGGTACCAGATGTTGCTGAATATAAGAGTGTTTATACTGTAGTCAATCATAAATATAGAGTACTTATATTTCTGTGTATGGTATTTTACTCTTAACTACATAGGACAGTGTTTAATGCAATACTGTACTGCATTTATCCTCTACTAAGTTGCTCTCACAGTTTGGAAGTGCGTTCCAAGAGCTGTAGCCCATTCCCCATAACTAACAAGGGTGGACGTGTTTTGAGACAATTGGACACTTTTCTGTAGGAAGTGCCGGGCCAACTGGGTTGTTTTTGGTAGACATACCTTACCTTGAGGTTACCTTGAGGTGCTTCCGGGGCTTAGCGTCCCCGCGGCCCGGTCGTCAACGAGGCTGTTGGACGCGGCTGCTCGCAGCATTTTTTTTTTTTTACCTTGTCATGGCCACAAGTCATGTCAGATGTATAGGCTTGTGGGTCACCCTAAGCAACAGATTTCTAGATCAAGTAATCACAAGACAAACCTGGTTCCAGGTTTGTCTTGGAGAGTAGAACTCTTAGAACCCTCTCCAGGTACACAGTTAGGGGACTAAATACTACTGCTGCTGTATATATATATTTTTTTAAATCGAGGAATAATTTAAGCATGATTTAAATACCATGTACTTTTTTTTATCATCCTCTGGTGGTGTTAATGAATATTAATTTCTATTGTTTCTGTAGGGTTTCATTAAAGTTGTCAAGAATAAGGCGTACTTCAAGCGGTTCCAAGTCAAGTTTAAGAGGCGCCGAGAGGGCAAGACTGACTATTATGCTCGTAAGCGTTTGGTGGTACAGGCTAAAAACAAGTACAACACGCCTAAGCACCGGTGAGTTTTGATATTTTAAAAGAAAATATAAGGAATGGCAAACATTATTTTTTCTTAATGTGGTACTGTATTGTGAATTTAAATTTTTATTGGACAGCTATTAGTTACGTTTTAAACTTTAACATTTCGTTATTGCTTAAATATAACTTTGCCTAGCAGTAAATTAATCCTTGAAAAATTAACTGCTGTGTATATAATTCAGTGTATTTGGATATAAAGGGTAGGGGTTGTGTAGTATATGAAATATATTTATAGCAATGTAGTAGTGACATTTATAAAGTAGTTCACATTATTCATATTTCTACTAATTATCTTTACAGCATGATTGTGCGTATCACAAACACTGATGTCATCGCTCAGATTGCATATGCCAGAATTGAGGGAGATGTTGTCATTGCTGCTGCATACTCTCATGAACTTCCTAGGTTTGGCATCAAGATTGGCTTCACCAACTATGCAGCATGCTACTGCACTGGACTCCTGCTTGCAAGGAGGGTGAGTTGGTTATTATATTTTCAAGCTGAAACCATAGATTTTGATAAGAACATGAGAATCAGGGAAACTGTAGGCAGCCTTTTGGGCCATATGAGGCAGGTGTTATAGGATAATAACAATAGGATAAATAGGAATCTTAAGTGAATGATTCTTTAGCTTTCACATTTATGGTAAGGAAGTTGGTCTTTGGTCAATTGCAGCCTAAAATATATAGATTATCGTGAAGGTTCTCTAGGGGGAAGTTCATTAAATGCTTCTTGAACCAGAGTACATGTGGTTCATCTAGAATTCATATCTACTAAACTTTTTGTTTTTACCTTGTCAACTGATAGATATCTCAATTTGTCATCACAAATTAGGGAAGAAAGACAGTGGTAACTATTAATTCGCCATTGAGGCCATCTTGCTACTACTATGAGCAGGTGAGGAATCTTGAATATTTGTTTGTTTAACCCCTGCACTGCGCATCTGTTCATGTGACACTTCCGGTGCACACAAAAATAATTTTTAATTTGACATTGTTAATTAGCATCCAGGAAGCACAAAAAATCTCCTGTGGCTTAGCTGTAGTAGCTTGAAGTTGAGTTTTCTCAGTGCTGCACGGGAATAAGTTTGTCAATTTATATTCATTGGTTCTCACTTTATTTACTTTTTTGTTCAAACAAGTTGTATTGATTTGTCAACGGTTGTGTTCATTATGTATACTTTTGAAAATATATACATGTGCACAGGTGTGTGTGTATATATATACGTGTATATATGTGTGTGTATGTATGTATGTATATATATATATATATATATATATATATATATATTAAGCATGCGCAACATGTAGTTATTCATACTAATATACATGCATATATAATTGTAAGCCTGAATCTCGTGATTGCACATAGTTTGGCTGTAAATTTATACATTGTTATTACTCATTTGATGTTCAAAGTTCATTGGCTCATAGTATGAGCCAATGAACCCTACACGATCAGATGATGGATGATGATGTGCCAGACATGGACCTCAGCTTTTTAGTAATACCAAAGAAGGAAAATGAGTGGTTTTTTCACAATGGGGGAATGGTTACTGGATGTCTGAGGAAGCAAATGTGAGCCCCCAAGTATGCACAGGAGTTTGAAGTGTTATGTTAGGCCAAAAATAACCCTGGTTGTGATGTGCAGTTTAACCTTTGGACAGCAGCTATATAAAAATGGTCATTCCTGCCTATGCACAAAATATAAAAAATATATATATAATTTTAGCATTATTAACTTGAATGCAAATGTAAGAAAAACAAGAAAATAGTGAATATTTATCTTTGTACTGGCACTGAAAGGATGCATGGTGGTTTTGTGGTCTGGCATGTCAACACATGACGCTGACACTGAGCTGTGCGATGTGAAACATGAATCATATTGTCCTTGAATGTTTCATTTATTGTTATCACTTGTTTCTCTATTTACAATGTGTATTGATAAACTTGATATATCACATAGTTCATATAACATAATGTTTTAATTGATTGGTTTGTCTGGTATACCTAATAACAACCAAATACAGTATAATAAAAACCACAAGAGCATAATATTCAGTGGTGTTGGGCTCTGGGTGGTGACATATGACCTAATTAACACTAGTGCGCGCGGCACTCGTGAAAAAAAAAAGCCCCTTGTGCGTGCGGCGTTCTGGGCGCTCAAGCGTAAACACAAAAAAGTGTATAATCTTTTCACGCTCCTAACATCAATTCTCGAGCTACGTTTTTCATTTTGGTATCAATGCGTTGGCAATAAAATTCTCTACAAGATCATATGCATAAAATGTCACCAAAGCATTTGCTATCCCACCACGAAGTAAATAAACACGAAGATGACTCGCCGTGACACCCAAACAGGAAGTAAATGTTCATACTCTTTCGTTTGTTGTCGGCCTCAGTCATCCTACAGCGCTTATTTTGATATCACTGAACTCGCAATAAAATTCCCCACCCAGACATATGCCTATCAATGTCTAATTATGTTCTGCACGAGTGTGGGAACTGGGCGAAGCGTTAGCCGTGATTTCAGCAGCGACGACACTGTTGTGATGCAGTGCTTTGAAAGTTTATACTTATTTCACTGTCCTGACATTATTTTACGAGCTACGTATTTCATTTTTATAGCAATGTGTTTGCAATAGAAAGTTTTATATATAACAATAGAAAGTTCTATAAGAACATGGGTAGAATTGGCCAACAGAGCGTCAAATAAATTTGCGGTGAATAAAATCTTGAGCGTGTTTGTACCCGTGAGCGTAAAAAGTTTTTACTTTGCTCATGTTTTTTCAAGTTTATACTTGTTTCACACCGTTTTTGTTTGTTTGTATAGTGTTCGGAATAAAATTCTCTACACAGACATATGCATATAAATGTAGAATCATGATCGCGGCCAACACAAGAGTGTGTGGAGTGGGCGATTACCTTCGTTGTGTCACCAACTCAATAGTCTCTCCTCTAAGTTACAATACATTGCCGTTTTCTCAAATAGGCACTGTGCCTATTAGAGAAAACAAAAATTTCATGGCAAACATATTCATATTCATATAAACCCCAAGTCGATCAAGCAGTAAATACCCACTATAACACGGTCCGTAAATTTACGTCGTGATCCGACAAGCGCTTATCTAAACCGCCCGTAATTCCAAGTGAAGTTCTCAGAAAAGTGTTAACACCATATGGGCGACAGTATAGATTGAAACAAAGGCATAAGCCACCAATGTGACACCCTCAGGTGGCAACAGGCTCCTAGTACATGTAGCACATGATGGTGGTTCAATTGATGATTGGTTTATCTGGTGTACCTCATTACAACCATACGGAATTGTTAAAACTATGTGAACATCATTGGTATACATAGGTAACTATGATGGAGTTTTATACAATGATTGTATTCACCTAGTAACAAGTATGGCTATAACTGCATCACGTAGCAAACATAATCATGAAACAATAGCAAAAAAAAATTCACAGTTGAAGGTAAATTCCATTACATCCATATAGAGCTATTATATCCTTATTTGTATCAAGCATGAACTATCCAGACAATAATTTAATCACATGACTATAACCACATTACCCTGTTGATCAACATACGATGATAACTGCAGTCTAAGGGTTGAAAAAATGTAAATAATACTCTCCTCTCCACTTTATCCTCTAAATTGGGCATTCTGGCAAACAAAATGAACTTCAAATGTATATGTATATTTCAGATTTTGAAGAAGTTCAAACTGGATGCCATTTATGAAGGTCAGAAAGAAGCTGATGGAGAGATGTATTCAGTTGAGGATGTTGATGAGGGACCAGGAGCCTTCCGTGCCAACCTTGATATTGGTCTGGCACGTACCACTACTGGGGCCAGGATTTTTGGCGTCATGAAGGGTGCTGTAGATGGTGGCATTGAAGTTCCCCACAGGTAAAGGATGCTATATGTAATATTTGTAAAAGGTGGCTATAAGGTATTCAGCACGTATATAACAGCTCTTGGAAAAAAAATGAGTTATGCATGTACTGAAAACTAATGAATATGCATTCATTTCACCCACAGTGAGAAGAGATTCCCTGGTTATGATAAGGAGACTAAGGAATTTAATGCTTCTGTTCTTCGTGATCATATTATGGGTAACCATGTGGCCAATTACATGCGGGAACTTATGGAGGAAGATGAAGATGCCTACAAAAGGCAGTTCTCCCGTTTCATCAAGAAAGGCGTTACACCTGATGAGGTTAGTATTGATGTAAGATTTGGACTGTTAAATTGAAATATATAAAGTATATCTTGATAAGGCTTTCCATATCTCGGGGACAGATTATATTTGTGTTTTTTGTGTGAATATAACGGTTTACTAAAAAAGCTGCAAATTTCTTACATTTTCTTATAGGAGCATATTCTCAGGGATTAGTTGTAAGAGTATTGTGTTTTCTTCTAAACAGCTGGAAGACATGTACAAGAAGGCACATGCAAACATCCGTGCCGATCCACTACCCAAGCCCAGAGTGGAGAAGAAGGTAATGCATATAATGATAATTTTGTATTTATAAATAAGTAGTTATATATACAGTATTTGGTTGTCAAAGCACTTGGAAATTTTAACTTTGCCTAACTGTACATGTAACATCAGTGTACAATGACATTCATCAATGTTTGATGAGCCTTATAGAACTGTACCACTGGAACATATATAACTGTTAAACGTTCTAGATGGTTGCTCTTGGGTTATGATTTTCATAATTATATTCTTCAAAAAGTTTTTGTGAAGTGGCAATTGCCTTTACATGCCAGCTTCAAATGTTTATTAACATTTTTATTTAAGTGCATGGAAGAACATCATAGTGGTGGTTTGTTTGTATAGGTTCATATTTATATAGTCACTAGTATGCAAGGCAAGTTAGTGTTAGTATACTTTATAGTCCATTAGTGCCATTTTAGAAACCTTAAGTCTTGATGTCTTGACCTCTTAAAATAAATCTGGATTGCCTCTACACACAACATTCTACACACACATGCCTCAATGCCTCTTTGTTTTCCCCTATTGCCTCGTCTACCCACCACCACTTCTACTTACCGGCACTTGTTGCCTGTAAGTAGAAATGTCACCATATCTGTATCCTATCCTTTCTCTTCAACCACCACTTGTACACACTCCTACCTCCTCTTCCTGCTACAAAAAAGTTTGACATATATAATTGTGTACATGTTTTATTTTTATTCACACATTCATGATTTTTGTCAGACCAAAATTGGAATATGCAGGGGTTGTATGGTGCCCATATCTTTAGAAGCACATCATTAACCTGGAAAAAGAGGTGCAAAGGCATGCAACAAATTGGCTTCCAGGCCTGAAAAATGAGTTATGAAGAGAGGCTATAGGCAATAAATATTAGGCTTGGGGGGGGGGGGGGAGGAAGGAAGGTGATATCACCACCACTTACAAATAACAACAGGAATTGACCAAATTGGCAAGGAGGCATTCCTGACATGGCAACCTCAAGAACAAGAGGTCATAGGTTCAAGCTAATGAAACAAAGGTGCTGAAAAAATATTAAAAAGTTTTCTTTTGCACTCAGAGTGGTAGGCAATGGAACACCTGAGAATGTTATGGAGGCCAAAACTATCAATGGTTTCAAAGCGTTAAGACAGTACTGGGCAGACAGGACATGAGTGTCTTATCCTGTAACTACACTTAGTTATACTACACAGGCATGCAATATACTAGAAGGGATGCCTTGGATAGTGTCTCCTGTGACTTCCCCCCATTCTACTTTTTTTATATACCCCCTCTTCCCACATCCTCCATACTCCTTATCCCTTCTTCTCATCTTCCTCCATTTTTCTCCACTCTTCCCTTAGACACGACACAAATACATCCATTTATTTATGTAGAAAGAGTACCTGGGTTTTTCTTATTAGTAATAATAGAGGCGAGAATGCATTAATCTTTACCAACATGAGCGTTGCAGTCTGTTTTGGAAAGTTGTTGGGTTTTGTCCAGTAAGTAACTGTCATAGTACAGCTTTTTTTTTTAGGGTGTTTACACTTTTGAAGTAAGTCAATAAACGGAGTAATTGTCATATGACTTAACACTATTCACTTGATTTTTAATAGGTTACAAAGAAGAGATGGAATGCCAAGAGGATGACCTACGAGGAACGCAACGCTGCTGTTCAAAAACGCAAGGATGCCTGGCTGGCTAAGATTGAAAGGGGGGAAGCTACTATTGAAGAGTTGCGTGTACCTAGGCATCACCATTAAAGCTTGTGCCCTGTTTATATAGTTTTTTTTTTTTTACCCAATATGGAATCTTATGATTTTTAAAAAGCATTAAATCCAGTAGTAATAAGAAGGTATGAATGTACCTTCATGAAGTAAAAGGCTGGTTACTACTGTAGTTGAATAGTGTGGCCTCCTGATGGTGATTTTAGAATCTGTACCTATACGTAGTTGAAGTGCGTTTTAATTTAGCGATATCTATTATAGCCGTCATGATTTCTGTACAGGTACTGATGGCCAAAGATGGTGTTGGTAATTTCAAATTGGAAGTTTTGTACGTGCTAGATATTGTTTGCCTTGGCATACATTATGGTTTGTAAAGCTTTATTTATACAGTGGTAGATCTGAGATTTATTTTGATTTGGTTAGTAGTGTACTGATACTGTGATGGTTTGGTGTAGTTATTTCAAAATTGCCTTCAAATTTAAGAATTTACTTAAGTAATGTAAGAGTTGGGTATGGTTTCATACTTTTGATTAATGTTATGAATGGAAATTTAGTTGAGAAGGCTAAATCTTTTACTGTAGCAGCATGACCTTTATTGGTTCTATCATTGTATAGCAGTAGGGCTCCCATAGAATGTGGGAGGTTCTGCTGTTATCAGGAAAGTTTTTTTGGTGACCAGGCTAAGGAGAAAGGTCTGCACTGGAATTGAATGTTCGATGCAGTTTGACCTATTAAAAGGGTGCAGTGCTTGGGACAATCCACACTTTCCTGTGCTAACTGGTGTTTGGCCTTTGTCACTGTCCTAGTAGGTGGATGCCCATGGCCCAAGCCTTTTCAATTCATGTTCATGGCTACCAAACACTACCTAGTCACAGAACAGTGTGGTGTGCGATCAGCCCTCAAGTTGGGCTGGCTTAGAAGATGGGTTCTGCCCTCTCCAGAAGGGTGCTTCCTGCAGGCTCTGGCTGTGTTGGACCTAAACCCATCTGTTTTTGGTTCTCCATTCTGATCTTTTCCCAACCCCTGCCACTTCATTGGTAGAGAAGCCTCATGTCCTTGGTAGTGACATACTGTAAGTAGCAATTTTTCTTTGTTGAAAGAGTGCCTTAAAGGGGGGCCCTGACAGCTGAGTGGACAGTGCTTGGGATTCGTAGTCCTGAAGTTCCGGGTTTGATCCCAGGTGGAGGCGGAAACGATTGGGCAGTTTTTTTTTTCACCCTGATGCCCCAGTTTGTCTAGCAGTAAATAAGGTACCTGTGAGTTAACAGCTGCTGTGGGCTGCTTCCTGGGGTGTGTAACAAAAAGGAGGCCTGGTCAAGGACCGGACCACAGCTACACTAAGCCCCGAAATCATCTCGGGATAACCTAAAGATAAAATACTCCCTTCACTATTGGGGAAGCTTGGCTTAATTGGTCTTAACCCTTAGGCTGCAGTCATTGTCAATTGTTGATTCACAGGGTAATGTGGTTATATGAAGATTTAATCATTATTTTTTGGGTTTTACATGTATGATGCAAATATGGATATAATAGGTCAATGTGGATTTAATGGAGTTTACCTTGATGCTTGAAAAGAATCCTACCATTTCATGGTACGAATGGGGTTATCATCACACGATGATTTAAACAAGTATTTTCTGGGTTTTATGTATATAATGTAATTAAAGAAAAATAATTGGTGAAACACCCGAGGATAAAACAGTCAGCAAAGTTGAGTACCAGGCATTGACAAGTACCAGACGCAGTCTTGCAGTGTAAGTATAAAATCCCAGTGAAAGTATAAATATTCACTTAGTTTGTGTTTTCTTATATTTTGCATACAATTTATTAATTCTATAGTGAAAAATTATTTTTTTGGAATTATATTTTTTGTGCATAGATAGGTATGATTATTTCTCCTTAGCAGCTGTCATGCACTAGTGAGGTCACAATGTTAAATATTTATAACTGCATTGAGGTGGTGTTAGCTATTCCCATAAGCTCAAGGTAGTTAATCCCACTAAGAAGCCAAGGCAGCTTTCCCCCAAGATTTTCACCCTGACAAGTTGTTTAAACTTCTTGAATGTATGACCAGTATTTGTGTTTTATAGTTTATAGAACACCATAGCACACTGCATAATTGACATCCTGGTGGATTTGGAACAGGTTTTTCAGACACAACGTGTTGTTCCTTGTGGTAATGTTTCGAAGTGCAATTTTTTCCTGGTTGTTCTTAACCGTCTCCCTTCCATGCTTCCCTCTGGAATGTTTTCTGCACTTTGCGGATGACTTCACTGTTGTGGCGACTATTCTTCCTAACACAGTACAAGTCTCATCTGTGAACATTGAATGTTTCACACACACACACACACACACACACACACACACACACACACACACACACACACACACACACACACACACACACACACACACCCCACCCCTCTACCAGTCACAGCTTCATGCTCTCTACAACCAAGCCTTATCCTCTGTTATTTACTCAAAAGCACATCATTTCTCAGTGCTTGTTTTGGTCACCCCATATCTTGCTTCTGAATTGAAAGCTCTAAGGCCCTTTACCTTACCTATCTCCTTGTGTTGTCTAAATTAGACTGGCTTTCCAGTGTATTACTGTGCTTCACCTACTCTTCATTGTCTCAATGTCCTGCACTGTACCCCTATCCAGAGCTTTTATGTTAAACCTGGTGCTCTGTCTATAGGGTCATCACATTAGTTGTGTTCAGTACTTTGCGGTGTCCCTATAACTTCCCCCATTCCTACTTGTGCTACACTTTGACTACTACTAATTGGCCTTGTTTCTTCATTTACTGCAGGAATGGTCTGTTTACAGAATTTTCTCTATGCATTTACAATAATTTCCCCATGTGTTCTTTTCTTAGCTAAACCTTACCCTTGTGGAGGGTCCTACTTGTGAAATTCTACAAGGCCCTGAACAACATGGAAGACTTGTACCCTCTTCTACTGTTAAAAAATTTCTTTCCCTTGAACACTTCCTGTCATTCACACTGCTGCTCTGCACAGATGGGTCAAAGTCTGCTGAATGTTTTGGTTACTGCAATAATTTTTCCCGAATCAAATGTCTTATTTTTGGTGCCCTTTGAAAATTACAGTACTGTACTTGATTTGTGCCACCCTTCCCCGAAGACTCATTTTGACAGCAGAGCTTTATTCAGTTTTGTATGCTCTATACCAGCTGTTAACGTTTCTCATCATGTGGTGAAAGAAATCTAATACCGGCTGTTTCTCATCCCTAGCAGATTTAAAACCGTAAAGTTTTGCTGGTAACCCTGCCATATTGGTATTACTTCACTGCAGTGGTGCAAGGACTGTACCCAGAGGTACAGAGCTTTTAACTGCATAGACGCAATTTAATTTGGTTGACTTACTCTTGTGTTCTTCGACAAAATTGAGTATCAATCGTCCTACTTGACCTGTTATTTCCATTAACCTCATTTTGTGTTATCACTCCATGGTCACATTTATCGAATGCCTTTGTGAAGTTCGTGTATACAGTACCACATCTGCATTCTGTTTTTATAATGCCTCTAGATTTTATTGAAGTGGTCAAGTAGCTGTGTGAGGCATGATATTCCTGCTCTAAATCCATGTTGGCCTGGGTTGTGGAGATCATCGGTCTTCATGAAACTGGTGACCTGCTTGACTCCTAATCATGGTGTTACATAACCTTCCCAGCTTTGTGCCTTTTTTGATAATTACATCGACCCCTGATCACACTCAAATACATTTATGTGGGACGTAATTGCAACTGGTCTATAATTCTTAGCCAATACCTTGCTCCCTCCCTTCTGTAGAGGAGTATGTCTGCCAATTTAAGTGCATCTGGTATCTTCCTCATGTCCATGCTCTTTCCCAAAACTATACAGTACCCCTGAATATGACCTTCCTACTGCCAAAAGCAGTGAGGAAGGGTTTTGGCTGGGCTGTGTGCCACCTCTATCCCCAGAACACCGACAGTGTTAAATCCAGTCTTCCCAGCTTGGTACCATCTCATTGCTAACTTTGACATTTTTTGCTCGTACAGTATTGGCATCCTGAATTGTTAGGGGCCTTTTGACTATTCTTTAAACCCCGAGCATGTTAAAGGTTAACAGTGTTACACAGTTTTCCAGACAGGGTGCCTCCTTTTGATAAGTACTTGCTTACTAGTACAGTACAGTACTGTAATTACACTTGAAGAGTACAGCCAGTTACTAAGTGGAATGGACTGAAAGTTGTGGATACCACCTCCATCCACATCATCAAAAGCATATAGTGTACAACTCACTTGTCAAGACTTATAAGAACATAAGTTAAAATGAGCCAGTAGGTAAGGCAATATGAAAACAAAATTGTAGTTGCTGATATTGAAGTACCTAATAAATTTAGGAGAATTAATTGCACATTGATAGTTCAGGGTATAATTAACAAAAATACAATATCTTGCATTGCTCTTGTACATCCAGCATGTAAGAAAATTAAACCAGGTATATTGCCTCGTGCAAGGTAATAGCTATTTATACTTGACCAAGCATTCATGTATACTGTGTGTATATTATATCAAACTATGAATATCTGTATGATATTATATATATATATATATATATATATATATATATATATATCATATATAGATATCTATATATATATATAGATATATCATATATATAGATATATCATATATATATATAGATATATCATATATAGATATATCATATATATATATATATATCATATATATATATATAGATATATCATATATATATATATAGATATATCATATATATATATAGATATATCATATATATATATATATAGATATATCATATATATATATAGATATATCATATATATATATATATAGATATATCATATATATATATATAGATATATCATATATATATATAGATATATCATATATATATATAGATATATCATATATATATATATATAGATATATCATATATATATATATAGATATATCATATATATATATATATATATAGATATATCATATATATATATATATAGATATATCATATATATATATATAG